TCTTTGACTTAATTATCTTTATAATCAACTTCAGCTGTTAAACCAGCATAATCTGTTAAAGAGGGTATAGTTTTAATATCTTATACAATTTTTGAAGATTATCCTAATAATTCAACAATAGCTTATTCTACAGCATTTACTTTTTCTAATTCTTATTATCTTGTTTTATCAAAATTATTAATGTAATCAGTCATTTCTTAATCTCTTTAATATAATATTTCATATTTCTATTTATCTTAATCTTATGATTTTTTATCTTCTAATTCAGTTTGTAATTCTCTTAATCTTTTTTCATAATTTTCTATATTTCTTCTAATTTCTCTAACTCTTTTCTCTGAATTCTAAATAAAAGCATTATCATCTTTAATTTTATTTAATAATCTATCTCTGGCTTCTGGGAATGTTAGATTAGCTTCATTCAATTAAACTTCTAAATCATTTTTTTTTGAATCCATTTCATTTATTTATTCTTTTAGCATCTAACCTTTTAATTTTTAAGCATCCATTCTCAATCTATTATCTGCATTCTACATTCTTGCATTTAATTCTTCTAATTCTGCTTTTTAATTATTAATTTCTTATTAAAGTGATTTATTTTCATTAATCAAATTCATATATTCATTTCTTTATTCTGGATCTAATTCTTGTAATTTCATATCAGCCAATGATTATAATTCATTTAATCTATTCTCAATTTAATTAATTTAATCTTCTTAACTTCTTCTTTCAATAAAAATATCATCTAATTAAGATCTTTATCTCTCATTTTAAATCTAAAAGATAATAAAACTATAATTTAACTTTGATTCTTTCAAAAATATTTTTAATATCTTCTGGTCTTGTATTTGCTCTCCATTTATCAAATGCTAAATTATAATCAGCCAATTATCCTTCTAGATCTCTGACTTCCTTTGTTAATTCTTCATGTCTATATTTTTAATTGAATTTATACCTTCTTTCAAATTAAACATAAAGTGTATTAGCTTTTTAAATTTCATCCTATTATTTTTTGAATCTTTCAATCTCATTAAATATTTCCTTTTGCTTCTCTCTCAATTAATTTAGATAATATGATTTATCTTATATTTATCGACCAGGTCCAGCTGTCGTAGGTTTGACTCCAATAATTCCATGCTATGTAACAGGTCTATCCACAAATTTTAAATTGGTTGTATTTGCAACTGATTAGAAATTAGGATCATTCTAATGAACTATAGAATGAAATATACTCTCATAGCTGTAGTCATTCGAGTTGGCACCCTCATGGCTGCTGTTCCCATTCTCTACTGTGGTTACATAATTAATTAAATAAATAAATATGTAGAGATCACACTAAGAATTATTTAACTAGAAGGATTATTAACATAAGCTTTATTTCAAAAATAATTATGACTATTATAAATAATTCTAATGAGATCCAAAAGATTTAAATTGATGATTAATATTAAAATATATATCTCAAATTATAAATTAGTAATAAGAAAGTAATTTAAACATCTTTAAACAAAGCAGCAATCAACTTTAATTAAATTATTACTCTTAAAGTTTATCAAGTTATAATTTTATTGTTTTATACTTATAATGATATCCCTCAAATATTCTTCATGAATTATTGAACTACTTAATGTTGTTTCTAAATAGAATTAGGCAAGATAAAAGCAAAATCATTTATAAATTGTAATTTAAAAATTGATTTCTTAATTTAAAATCTATTTTTTAGAATTTTATGACAAATTTATTAAAATTGGTATATTTTATTTAAACTTCGTTGCCTTCAATAATAGATAATAAAGACTCTTATTTTTTGATTTATTCTATTTGTTTGTATTTAATTATAATGTCTGTCTTTAATATTTGATTCTAATCATCATCACTCTCATATATTCTGCTAATAAATTAACTATTACCACTATTGAGTAGATAACAATTTTAATGGAAAATATTAAAAAAATAAATATAATATTATTAATTAATGCTTTATCAATAGCTCATCTTTCATCAATAAATGTTGATTTTTTTAAGAATTACAAATCTAGGATATACTTATATATAATAAATATAAATCTATTTATTTCTTTAAAAATAATTTAATTTAAGGCATCTAATATTCTTGATTGAGATGTTAGATTAAAGATTAAGATGAGTAGATATAAAATGAATGATTATTATAAATTAGATATTATGCATTATAATTAAATGAATGTTGTCGTTAATTTATTATTTGAATGTTAATCAATCGCTGTTATTATCCTGAAACTCGTAAAGCAATCGACCATTACAGTTATGCTCTAAATGAAGAAATAGGAAGAGGGTTTAGTAGCAAAGTTTATAGAGGAAGAGATGAAAATACTTAAATGACGGTGGCTGTTAAAGTATGATATAAATTTGTAAGACAAGGTAATTGATATGAAGATGGTTAAACAGAGCATTCATGCCACTTTACTAAAGAATGAAATAAATGCTCTGAAATCATTTAACTCAAAGAACATACTAAAATTGTATGATGTTTTCTAAACACAGAATAATACATACATCATAACAGAGTATTGCGATTCTGGAGATCTAAGTGGTGTAATAAAAAAGAGAGGAAGAATTGATGAGCCTGAAGTATTGCGAATCATGAATGAAATTATAACAGGATTACTTGAGATCAATCAAAAAGGATATATTCATAGAGACATTAAACCAGCAAATATTTTAATAGAGAAACAGATACCTAAAATAGCAGATTTTGGTTTTGCTGTCTAAATAAATAGTATGGAAGTCAAACAATAAGGCAGACATTATAATGTAGGAACTCCTTTATATATGTCTCCATAAGCATTGAGATAATAAGGTCATACAGAAAAAGGAGATGTATGGGCTATGGGTGTTATGTTCTTTGAAATGTTATTTGGACAAACACCATTTACAGCATAGACAGAATAAGGATTGTTAACAGCTATTTTGCATCATCATCTTGTCATTCCTTCACATCCTTCAATCTCAGATGCTTCCAAAGATTTTATTCGTAGATGTCTTTGCATTGATGAGAATCAAAGAATGAGAGTCAAAGATATGGCAACTCATCCAATTTATTCACAATACTCTCAACCCATTTATAAACCAATTCCCTTATAAACACAATAATCATCTAATATACCAACACCTGCAACTAGAACTCCTATTATTAATAAAGATAGATCATAAAGCTAAGGAATAAGAGATTTCTAATCTAGACCCAAATGTCAAGTATTTTAGTATTTTATATAAGACTCAAATTCATAATGATAGTAAAGTAAGTAAGAGATGTCCTTCAGAAATGTATCATCTACCTCATCCACCTACTACTGTTATTGAACCTCCTACTTCTGATCCTATGAGATCCAAAAGTCAAAAACAAATTACTGAATCAAGAAAAACCATTAATCAAGAAAATTAGTTTGAAAAAAGAAGTTTTAAGAAAAATAATACTGTACTTTAAGAGTAATATATTTAATTTATAATAATTAGACGATCTATTAATGTACAAACTTAACCATCTTAAAATACTACTCCAGTTTAATCACCAATCAAATTTAAGTCAAATAATGATATTTTATTTGCTTAAATTAATTATTGTAGGTTTCTCTACAAATTTTCATAATAAATCATTAATTCAAGGTAATTAACTTTATCAAATGGTTTAAAAGAGAAATTGTTATTCTTAATGGCAAAGAACATAGCCATGAAAATTTCTAAACTTCATACTATTATAGATAAGGAGAATTCTAAAGATAATACATTCTAATTAGAAGATTTCGATGTATATAGGAAGGCTGAATCATTCTAAAAATTTAGTTAAGCTATTGCAGAATATAACGAAAACTATAAACGATACTTTGACAAGACTTATTAAATGATAGTTAATAAAAGTAAAATTTAATATAATTTATATAGATCTACCTTAGGATAAGAAGTTTGAAGCCTTATTTGATAAAGATTTAAGTGAATTTGAAAGTTTCTATTTCATCACTCAATCTTATTTAAGGTAAGCATTGTAAGAATTGAAAAATGAATTTCCTTCTCAGAGTTCTGATCTAGATGCATTTTTACCAGAAGAAGTATTCTTTTTATCTATAATTACTAGTATAATTTTAGTTATTTTGTGAGTCAGTAACTTAGCAATTATTTACTTATCTGTCATTGTACTCTTTAAAACATGAATGATTATAAGAAATTCTCAAAGATGTTAAAAATTGATTAGATGGTTGATTAGAAATAAAATAGATGCACATATAGACAAGTAGAAGAATTAAGAAGTAAAATATAAGAATTAGTTTCTAAGTGATTTTGATTTGTAAATTTTATATTACATTTTATATTTAATTAATGAAATAGTAATAAGGAGTTGTTGTTGTTTAACCTAAATACTATGCCACCTTCAATCAGACTCAACCACCATCTTATTGGGATTATGAGAATGCTAAAATTGAATATGGGTATAATTTAATACATATATTTAAGATCAGAAGAGCCTTATGAAGCAATTTGTAAAATTGGCAGAGGCAAATATTCTGAAGTCTTTGAAGGAGTAGATAATAGGAATGGAATGAAGGTAGTTCTTAAAGTGCTTAAACCTGTTAAAAAAAGAAAAATACGTAGAGAAATTCGCATTCTTTAAGTCTTAAAAGGAGGCACTAATATTATTGATCTTTATGATGTGGTCAGAGATCCAAATCTAAAAATTCCAACTCTCGTAAATAATCAATTTAATATAGGTATTCCCTTATATGGAGAATACAGATTTCAGGAGCATGTTCCCTAAATTAACTGATAATGATATTAAGCATTATTTGTTTGAATTATTAAAAGTAAACTAAAACTTAAAATAGGCTTTAGATTATGCTCATTAAAGAGGTATATTTCATAGAGATGTGAAACCATAAAATATTATTGTTGATCCAAAAACTAGAACCTTGAAACTTATTGACTGGGGATTGGCAGAATTTTATCATCCCTCTCAAGATTATAATGTTAGAGTGGCTTCAAGATATTTTAAAGGCCCAGAATTATTGGTGGATTATTTATTTTATGATTATTCTTTAGATATATGGAGTACTGGTGCAATGTTTGCATCTATGGTATATTGATATATTGAATTTAGATTTTTAAAAAAGAACCATTCTTCCAAGGCAATGATAATTATGATCAATTAGTAAAGATTGCTAAGGTATTAGGAACAGATGGATTAAAATAATATATAAAAAAATACAATATTAAATTGGATAATGCATACAATGGACTTTTACTTAAGTATAAAATTAATAATATATATTTGTTATCCAAAATAAGATTGGTTATCCTTTGTTAATTAAGATAATGCTCATTTATGTAGTTTAGATGCAATTGATTTGTTATCTAAAATGTTATTATATGATCATGCTGAAAGAATAACTCCAAAAGATGCCATGTTACATCAATATTTTGCAGAATTAAAAAAAAATTGAAAGATATAATAGATATATTAAATATATATTATTAAAATCATTGGTTTCTTTTATTTTTATTCCCACTTTTCACATATTCTTTAAATTGCCTTATGATTAATTTTAATATTTACGCTTAAACTTGCCTTTCTAATAGTTCTTAATATTAGAAACAAGGACCTTCTTCATCCTCACCTATAAGCATAGCAATAGTATCATTATTCTCCAAAGGTTGAAAACCAAAATTCTATGCTTAAATCATATCCTATTTCTTTTCTGTTGTCTCTTATNAAGATCAGAAGAGCCTTATGAAGCAATTTGTAAAATTGGCAGAGGCAAATATTCTGAAGTCTTTGAAGGAGTAGATAATAGGAATGGAATGAAGGTAGTTCTTAAAGTGCTTAAACCTGTTAAAAAAAGAAAAATACGTAGAGAAATTCGCATTCTTTAAGTCTTAAAAGGAGGCACTAATATTATTGATCTTTATGATGTGGTCAGAGATCCAAATCTAAAAATTCCAACTCTCGTAAATAATCAATTTAATATAGGTATTCCCTTATATGGAGAATACAGATTTCAGGAGCATGTTCCCTAAATTAACTGATAATGATATTAAGCATTATTTGTTTGAATTATTAAAAGTAAACTAAAACTTAAAATAGGCTTTAGATTATGCTCATTAAAGAGGTATATTTCATAGAGATGTGAAACCATAAAATATTATTGTTGATCCAAAAACTAGAACCTTGAAACTTATTGACTGGGGATTGGCAGAATTTTATCATCCCTCTCAAGATTATAATGTTAGAGTGGCTTCAAGATATTTTAAAGGCCCAGAATTATTGGTGGATTATTTATTTTATGATTATTCTTTAGATATATGGAGTACTGGTGCAATGTTTGCATCTATGGTATATTGATATATTGAATTTAGATTTTTAAAAAAGAACCATTCTTCCAAGGCAATGATAATTATGATCAATTAGTAAAGATTGCTAAGGTATTAGGAACAGATGGATTAAAATAATATATAAAAAAATACAATATTAAATTGGATAATGCATACAATGGACTTTTACTTAAGTATAAAATTAATAATATATATTTGTTATCCAAAATAAGATTGGTTATCCTTTGTTAATTAAGATAATGCTCATTTATGTAGTTTAGATGCCATTGATTTGTTATCTAAAATGTTATTATATGATCATGCTGAAAGAATTACTCCAAAAGATGCCATGTTACATCAATATTTTGCAGAATTAAAAAAAAATTGAACGATATAATAGATATATTAAATATATATTATTAAAATCATCTGTTTCGCTTATTTCTATTTCCATTTTTTAATTAATCTTTAAATTACCTTATAATAATATTAATATATACGCTTAAACTTGTCTTTCTAATAGTTCCTAATATTGGAAACAAGGACCCTCTTCATCCTCCCCTATTAACATTGCAATTGTATCATTATTCTCTAAAGGTTGAAAACCAAAATTCTATGCTTAAATTAAATCTTATTTCTTCTCAGTTGTCTCTTATTATTATTATTGACTTTCAGTTGCAAACATATCTATATGACTAGCTTAATAGTTTCCTGCAATGCTTGATTGGACTGTATTCACTTAGCTATATTATGATGGTGCTAATGATGATACAGATTTGTGTCTCTCTTAACTTCTTTAAATAATGGCTCTAGCTTTAGCATAAGGATCTGGAGGACGAAGAAAATCAAATTAACTTGATTATGATTAATTTTATGATTGCATTTCTGGTATTAGAGATTATCTTTTAGTTTATTTAGCAGGACTTTTTGATTTTGATATTTTCTCACTATCAATTTCTGGTTTTAATTTACTTTATGTACTAATATTATTCTTTGATTATTTTTTATTTGGATCATTATGAGTTGAATCCTTTTTAATATTTCTCTATGAATTGTGTTATGATTACTACTTTACAATAGTTAAATTAATAATTTACATCTGATGTTTTTCTTTCCAATAATGCCCATTCATATTTATAATCTAATTCAATTTTATTATCACTAGCACATTTCCGTATCAATTATTTTAAATATTCATAATCAGGTGTTTACTTAAATTGTAATTTTTTAACATATTCAAAGTACTTTGAAAATTCATTAGGCATGTCTTTACATAATTCTTCAATCATTATTTACATTTTCATTTTTCCAACTACTTTAGTTTTCTCTTTATCACTTACATTTTATAAATTTTACCAAGGTAACGAACCTTTATATAAAAATACCAGCATATATCCTAAAGATTCTAAATCATCTCCCCTTCCTAATTCAAAACCCTTATGAGCACCAATCGATGCATATCGTGTTGTTCCTATAAAAGGTTTTCCATCTCTAAAAGGTCTATAATAATTTCTTTATTTTATACACATGATTTCCATTAGCATCCTTATAAACCTTAGAAATTCCAAAGTCTACTAGATATATTTCATTATTATCACGTCCAACAAGTACATTTTCTGGTTTCATGTCTCTATGAATTACTGATCTATGATTATTTTTTAATTATCATACCTTGAATGACATTGCTCCAAAATAGTTATCATCTACTCAGCTAACATTATCAATGTTTTCAATTGAAATCTTTTGAGATGCTTTGCATAATATGCCAAATCTCTTCCCAACAATTAAATTACCATAATATTGTAAGGTCCCTCTGAACCAGACCAATACAATTTTGGAATTCCTTTTATACCTTACAACCGCTATAATATTTATGACTAAGCTATAGATTCTAAAATTTATATACTTCTCTATCTAAAGACTTAGCTTCATCACTTTCTTCTTTTTCAATCTTCAATGCTATTTATTCACCAGTTTTTTTGTCTTCTCCTTAAAAAACAACCCCAAAAGATCCTGAACTTAATTTCTTTAAAACAACAAACTAATTGTTGAAAACTTTCAATTCCTTCTATTATTGAATAGAACTTGTTGTCATTAATTAATTTATTAATGTTTTGAACTTGAAACCACTCAATTCTAAATAACTTCATATAGATTATATATTAATAAATTTCAATATATGATTCTAAACAAATTTACTTATGTATAATATTCTTTCTAAAATTTATTGTCTTTTTATATTAATAACAAAATAAAATTAAAATTATATGATTTTTAATTCTAAAATTTGTTAGAAAGTATAATTATACATAAGTTTTGATAAACAACTTTCATCAGCATTATTATTTTATATTAATAATCAAATTTTTATAATTTAATTAACATTTTATTAATATTGGTATTATATATTTTTCAGAAATGGAAGGATAATTTATAACTCAAAATGGGAATTACGTTAACAATATTGTAAAATCTAATGTTGTTTTTTAATTTTATTAATAAAAATATGATAAATTTAATCTCAATCATATAAATTGTCATATTTAATGTATTAGGAGCTCTCATTGCTAAATACTAATGCGATTGTTCATTATTTTTAGAAGAAACAGTTTGTTTAGGATTAGACACTTGTGATTGGTTTAATGATCTATGTATTTAAAAAGATTGTTCTAATATTGATGAAACTGAATGTGATTTAATTGGAAAGTGTAGTCTTAATCCTAAAGGAAAATGTGAAGCTACTCAATTTTGTAAAGAATATTAAGTCAAAGATTAAATAGATTGCATGATAAAAAAAGGAAATTGTGCTGCTGATAATAAAACAAATACTGCTGGATTTTATTAATGTAAAAATTATATTTCCGTTGATTGTAATTCATTAGCACCTGAAAATTGTACTAATAATTATGAAGATGGCGAAACTTTTTGCTGGCTAAATTCAACTAAATAATGCTAAAGCTATAGCATTAATTCTTGTGAAGGATTACCGTTAGATATCTGTGATAAATTAAATTGTAAAAACTCAAATGGGATATGTTCATCCTTTAAATGTTCTGATATAACATCTTAAGATTTGTGTACATATGTAAAAGATGGTTATTGGGGAGTATTGACACTTTGTTAATGGAAAGAAGATTCAACTCCAAAATGTATTGATAGAACAGAAACCAATGATTTTACTAATGAAACATGTTCTAAGTTGACAGATGGTAGATATTATTGGAAAAATGAATCTTGTGTATCATGTCCAAAAAATTTTGAAGATAGTCCTAATTCCTCGTTTTATTTAATTCTCAACTTAATTTTTATTTTGAATTAATTATGAAATTTTAATACCATATATCAAGATTTACATTAACATAAGAATTTATATATATAGTAATAATTATAATATAACATTTTTGGATTTTGATCTTCAACTTTATTATATTTATATATAATAAATAAATATTTTTTTTTAGAATTACTAAGGAAAGAATGTAATTTGAAAAATAAATAGATAATATTTTGAAGAAAGAGATTTATAATTCAAAATCCAGTATAAATCTTAACTTCTACAAAGAAATAGAAAAATCAATAGATTCTTAATGGAAAATAAATTAAAATTAATGTGTAAATAATTAAGAAATATATCATAAATAAAATTAAAAAAATTATTTTATACTTTTAATGGATATAATGTTTTTCTATCTTCTATCATTAATAATAATACTTATATTTTTAATTATGGTATTTAGAGATTTATGTTTTACATTTTCAATTTTCTTTTATAGATATATACATCATTTTTATTTTTGGATTAATGTAGTATATATTTCTGATTTTAAATTCTAAGAATTATCCAAAAGTTAGAATGTTTTATCAAATTTAATTAATTAGGTAGTAGTATATTAGTAAATACACTCAATCTGAAATTGGATAAATTATTATAAAATACCAAACTCTTATAAAATGGATTCAATTGACTATTAAGAAGCTAAATTCAAATTTTAAGGTGTTCGTAAACACTTTTTTAAGGATGTCAATTATCATATAACAGTGTTTGATGATATGGTAACAATGGGAACAGTAGAAAATTAATCTAAATATTATAGACTTCAGATTGCCAAAACCCAAAATACAGAATAAAGTTGAATCTTGAGACAAAAATAAATTGGGAGTTGCGAAAGAATAAAACAGAACTTGATTTCTTTGAATTTGATCATTAAAATAAAAGAAAGGCTGTTCATGCCTAACCAAAGGATTTATATAAGTACAGTTAATTCTATAATTAAGATTCAAAGAACTAATAGCAGGAAGAGTAACTTTTGAAGGCATTGGTGATTTATTCTAGCCATTATATCAGATAGGAAAAGGAAGTTCTGCAAAAGTATAGTTTTTTTGCTTATTTCTAGGTATATAGTGCAAGAAGTGCTTTAGATCAAAGTATTTATGCAGTAAAAGCTATAGAAAAAGCATTTCTTAAAATATCAGAGAATGGGAATGGATTAGTAATAATATTTAACATATTTAGCGAGCATTTTAATCAGAAGTTCAAATTCTTAGAGCATTATAATAAAATGAAAATAATTTTCTTGCTTTTAAAGAAATATATGAGGGGGACAACACATTATATGTAGTTACATAATATTTAGAAGGACTGAGTCTTAGTGAAGAATTAGAAAAAGCAAAAGTATAATTAAATATAAAGAATAGATTTTGCCTAATAGAAGACTACCAATAAATAGTATAAAGACAATTATGAGAAAACTTTTAAGTAATTTAAAAATTTTACATTCTCATCGAGTATTTAATTAATATAACGTTTAAGATTATTCATAGAGATTTAAAACCAGATAATCTAATGTTTTCTAGAAAGAATGATTACTCATCTTTAGTTCTAGTTGATTTTGGACTTGCCACTTCAGAACTTCTAGATAAGTAACAATATATATATATTATTAGATATTTATTTCCCAAATGTGGAACTCCAGGTTATGTAGCCCCTGAGATATTGACTTCTAGACAAGACTAAAGATATAATTGTAAAGTAGATATATTTTCTGCTGGATGCATTTTCTATAAATTGCTCACTGGACATAGTTTATTTATTGGATCAAATTTTGATGAAGTTTTAAACTCAAATAAAACATGTTATATTGATTTAGATTTACCGATTGATGGTATTTATATAACAGAGCAATCATTAGTAAATATATTTATTATTTTAGGATATTTTGAAAAAGATGCTAAACAAAAATCCTAAAATCAGGATCAGTGCCAATTAGGCATTATCCCATTCATTTTTTGATTATAATAGTGATTTTAGCACTTAAGCTATATAATCAACTTGTTAAAATATGGCAAAAAATGCAATATATTAATTAAATTTAGCAGAATCTGAATCTAGATACAATAGTTAAAATGAAATTAACGATGAATAATAATAGAATTCTAAAATTAATGATATAAAAAGATACTCATTAATGAATGAGATACCTCTTTCAGCAAAAAGAGGCAGTGGATTATTTTCGAGCACATTTTATCAAAAGGATCCTTTGTCAGCCATAAAAACAATAAAGATACCAAATGAAACATCTCAACCACTTAAATTAAGCAATCATCTTTCACCTTCTTGATTTTGATTCTTAATCTTTTTTAATAATATTATCCAAAATGATATTTCAATTATAGATAACAAATTTTTTTATAATCTATTCTTTATTATTCTTATTAATTTTGTTATTTATCTCTTTATTGTAACTTAAGTCTTCTAATATTAAGTTGAAATTTGTTTATGAATAACTTCTTATATAATTTATTAAAATGTACTGTATAATATTGTATAATATCTTCTTTCAATAAAGATAACACTTTTGTTTTTAAAATATTTTAGAAATTTATAGTTTATTCTCATATCTCATAAATATTTTGAATTTGTATTAAAGGATTATTTCCTTTTTATTTTTTTCATATTTTCTTTAAATTCATTCAAAGAATTAATAAAATGAATGTAAATCTTTGATATGATCATTTTTGAATTCTAAAATAATTCATAATTTATTAAGTCATTATGAAATTAATAATAAAATGAATAATTTTCCTGGTGATATTTGGCATATTAAAGGTTCAGCTTTGTTATTCAAACATAAAAATAAAAAATGATGAAAGAACCTGAGAAGATCATAAAAAAACAACATATAAATGGATAACTTAAATATTAAGTGAAATGGAAAGGTTTTGATGAAACAACTTGGGAAGTAGAAGAAAATGTAAAAAAGTACAAAGAGTTAATTGAAGATTTTAACTATTTCTGTTTGACTGGAGATAGATATGATGATAAGAAACTTGATGAAATAAGATAAATTACAGCATAAGCTCAACCAAGAACTGCAATAAAAAGAGTAGCTGGACCTAGACCTCCTGATCCTAATAAAAAGGATAAAAAAATAGATAAAATAGATTAAAAATATTCAGAAATTAGTGAAACTTTATCTTAAAGTCAACTTGAAAATGGTAATAATAACAATATTCAATTTTCATCTAATACTAATAACAACACACAAAATAATAATGAGAATTCAATTTCTAATATCTCCAATTAAAATAATGTAGTTTCAAATTTATAAACAGCATTGATTGTCAATATACATTAATAGAATCACAAAACTAGTAGTATAATCTCATTAAAATAACAGGAATTAACTTAGTAAATAATATTTTTCTATTTTTTTTTAGAAAAGTAACATAACACTATGCAAATTAAGATGACAAATTAGCCATGATTAAATTATAAATAACTGAAGATAATTGTGTATTCTAATTATAATGGAAATAAAGATCAGATGGAATAACACCACTTCCAGAATTTTACAGTTATGATTAGTTTAAATTACAGGCTCCATTATTTTTTATTAAATTTATAGAAACTTGTTTATTGGAATGTTAAACAAATGATAATGATATCAAGTAATGAATCAATATTTAACTTAGATTTGAAATAGCAGGAAAGGATTTATCTGAAAAAACTAATTTAATTAAAGGAGCATTATAAAAAAGAGAAGAAAGATCCAAAAAAATAAATGCGTAACCCTTATTGATATCTTGATTTTATGCATATAAAATTATTATAAATTGTTAATATGAATTCTAAAAAGAATTGAATCTCATCCATCAATAGATAAATTAATACATAAATAAAATATTAATGTACCTAACAACACCCTAAAGATATCCATTATTCAAAGGTGTCCCCAGTTCTCCAGTTATGCCTCGCCCATTCTACTAGGCATCCTCACCTACAATGAGTTTCGTAAAACCTTTCGCTTAGTAAAATACTTATCGTCCTCATCCATCTATGCCTTCAAGCTAAAGAGGTCCTATTCCAAATCAAAATCCATATCAAAGAGCATAAACTCCTCAAGCATTAATCACAGGAAAAACTGTACCCTCAAATCCTCCTCCTCAAAGAGTACAAGGAAGTTTACCCAATAATATATTTACAAAAGGATAGAATCCATAAACATTAATTCCAAATAAACCCTATACTAGAACAATGCCTTAACCTAATAATAAACCACAAAGTGCAATACCAGTATTTTATTGCAATAATTGATTAGGCTAATCAATAATAAATGATATAATCTTTAAGCAAAGAAAATTAAGACTTAAAAAAGAAATTAGCTGAAAAAGATGTTGAATTATAAAAATTGAAGACTAAGGAAGAAGCTTTGGAATAGAAATTTAAAGAATTATAAGATTAATAAAAGAGTTGAAATACTTAGGGAAATAATATTTATATATTAATCATTCTTATGACCATCTTGCAATTCTATCTAAATTATCATTTAATAATTATTAAGCTTCTTTAACTCTATCCAATATGAATTATCTATAAAATCTATATATATATTTTACCTAGAATCATTTCTATCTTACAATTTTTACCCTACTTCTTTTACACCCTCTTTTCCTACACTTAATTCATAATCTTTTTATTCAAAATGATTTTTTAATTACTAGTATTATCTCTAAGATTCTGAAATAGAACTACATCATTAAAATAAATACGCAGAAATCTCTCCTGTCAATTTATTGTATAATCTAATATTTTCTTATTCTTTTGCTTCATCAGCCTCTAAACTAGCAAAAACAGCATTTCTAAGACTTTCTAAAAGATTCAAAATTTTTTCTAATTGTTCAGTATCTAAATGAGCAGTTATCTACATTTGATTAGCAATATACTTAAGCTAAAACTTCTACATGTTTTCCTCTACCCAATTATTTAATTTCTTCAAGTAGATTATCCTTTTCAATTAGAGTATGACCTTCTAATGAAAGTTCATGTACTCTCTCAACCAAAAGAGATATTGTTTCGATTATAACATTTTAATTGGCAAGTCTTTTTTAATATGAATCTTAATCATAAGAGAAGAGATTATCAATTATTTATTGTTATTGATTTAAAACTGATATCTTTTTAGCAGTTGTATCTACAGTTTCCTTTAATTCTTGTACTTCATTAACTAGACCTTATAATCCAGATTCAAGAGATTATTGTTATTCATTAAAGTATTTTTCATCTTCTGCTTAATCATCAGCTAAATGTTTTCTTAATTCTTCTACATGATCATTCAAATCTTAAAGAGTTGCTCCTTTTTGAATGAATACTGAAAGTTCTCCAAATAATTTATTTCCAAAATCACTTGATTTTGCAAATTGTTCAAATACTTCTTAAAAGGCTGAATGATTTGCTGTTTAAATCATGATGTTATTAGACATTACAATACCTATTAGGCATAAAGAAATCAGCTTCATACCCGTTTTTATTTTAAATAATGATAACTTAAGACAAATTAAATTTCCTTAACACACTTCTAGATTAAGAACTTTAACAATTATCTAAAAGTAGTGATTTAAGAGATTTACACAATAAAATATAATCTCTTGAATCTCATATACAACGAAATATAGATAAACAACTTGGTTCATAATAATCAATTATTGAAAGGGCATTTCCAACTTTAGGTGTTAAAGATTCAGATGATGATTTCACTCCATTTAAATAAACACAAAGAAAAACTACTCCTATCAAAACTAATTCCTCTAAACATAAAAAATAATCCATTGAACATAAAAAAAGTCTAAAGAAAGTATCCCAAGAAAAAATTAATGCTAAAGCTTTGATTCAAGAGAAACAGAAAAATTCAGAGCTTCAATTAGAAGTTAAATAATTGTCTAAAAAATTAAAAAAAGCCTAAACAACAATTACATAATTAAAATAAGAGTTGTTAGAAAATGATAAATATAAGGAAAACTTTCTCAAAAGTGAATCAATCCGATAATAATAAAAAGAGTTAATTTAATGTTTGAAAAAAGAAATTGATCAACTTAAAAGAAAATGAAAAGTGATATATTTTAAAATTTACTAATATAAATTTGTAATTCACATAGATTAATAAACTTAATATAAATAGTTTAATATTCTAAGTAGAAATGATAACTTTTATTGATTTTGCAATCTTCTTTTTGTTTAATACTCCAAAGCAGCACTTTTTAATTCCAAATATTTTTGAAATAGTATTTTATTTAATTAAGTTATTAATTTTGTACATTCCTTGTATTCTAGAACAGTTATATGATGTTAATGTGACCATATATCCAATTTTTAATAGAGCTCAAATCTCATAACTAAAAAATAATCTTATTAAAATTATAGATTATTGTGCTCATCGTAAGAAATTCCAACAATCTCAATTAAAGGTATTAAGAAAACTTCAATTTTTTTATTATTCGCCTATGCTTCCAATTTGGATTGCCCTTTGATTCAAGAAAATTAAAAGAATAATCAATTATTGTAAATCTTTCACCCTTATACATCATAAAAAAAAAGTTTTAATGGTTACTATCCTCTTTTTGATTTGTTTAATTAATTTTATTGCTAAAACTCTTTGATCTATTATTAATTCCAAAGAAAATAAAAAACTAGATTTCTTGAATCCATTAAAATAAATTTTGTTTTTATTATAATTTTTGTTGTAACAAACGAAATCCAATGAAATGTGATACCAAACATTTAAGTCTAAATCATTACTTAATTCTATATAAATCTAAAATCTTAAAATGAATTAAATTTTCTAAATTATAAATTATGATATACTCTTATAGAGCTAAGCGTTCATTTTATCCATTAATAATGTTTCCCTACTAATAAAATATTATATCATTAGTAACAATATTTTCAATTCCTTCAAATATTTAATTTAAAATGTTGAAGTGGTTTAGACTCCTAAAAGCATTTTAGATATGTTCTTTCAAAGTCTCCGTTTTCTAAATCATTTCTCCATGGCCAAACTGAATTATCTAAAAAATATAAGTCTCTATATTTTAAAAAAAAACCCTGAGTTCAACAAACTTAGATCCAAAATGATGCCCTATTATAAAACTATGAAGAAATTCTTAGATAATTATTTTAGATTTACTTATTTTTCATAATCTAAAAAAATTATCTTAAATTATAGTTTGAATGATAACCATAAATATTTGGAACAAATTATTTATGAACTAGATATGATGGAAATTTTACTTAATAGAAACATGCTAATTTTATAATTCTACAATTCTGATAGTATGTTCAGCAATTGGTTTAAATTTTTTCCTTTATGATATTACTTAATGCTTACATCTCAAAAGGAATCTTCATTTGATATTTTTTTTGGAAAATGAATTAATTTATTCTAATTGTTAATTTTTAATTTTTAAACATGCAAGACTAAAAGGTAATTATAGTACATTTAGGCTAATAAGTGTAAAAATAAAAAATTTGAAGAATAATTAGATTCTTTCTTATGATATAACTATTGTATATAAGATAGAATTGGCAGATTTTATATTAAATTAAATATTCTCTTACTTATTATTTTTCTTTGTAAATTCTCATTACATATAAATCTTTAAAGATTACAGATACCATTATGTAGATTATCATTTATATAATATAAATACTATAGATATCAACCATTTCTTTATTCTTATTATTATTTCCATAACTTAGCATTATTTAAGAGCATTCCTAAATTTTTTTATTGAGGATTCTCTTCTGGAAAAATATAATCATAATATTCCTCATATCCTAAGAATAAATTATAGAAATTTACCAAAGTCTTCACTTTCATCTCCCAATAATTTGATTTTCCTTTTTTTGATCATTTTAGTAGGCTGTTTATCACTGATTTTCTTTATTTCTTATTCTTCTCCAATTTCGATTTCCATATCTTTCCATTATTCTAACAATATGGCTCTTTCTTCTTTAAGTTCTGGTTTACCTATATAACATTTCTCTCCTCTCTACATTACAGCTCTAAATCCAGTAATATTCTTAATTGATAATTCAAATTAAGCATAACTTATCCAAATTTTGACATGTTTAGATCTTTCAAGCAATTTTTCATACAATTCTCTCACTTTTTCATAATTTTATAACTTTATTTAATTATCAATATATGCTCTCCATATAGTTTCTGGCATATTCATTTGATTATTTTACAATGCTAATTCAAAAATCATTTCTGATCTTTCATATTCTTCTAGATCATTTTCAAATTCAGCAAATTTAATCCAAGGTATTGGGTTATCTGGAAATATTTCAATAAACCTCTAATATAATATTCTGGCTCTATCAATATTTGCTAATTGTAATTCAATTTGAATATATTCCTGAAATATTTTAATATTAGGACATATACCAATTGCTAATCCATAAACCTTTCTCATTTTATCAAGATCTTTACTTCTTACTAATAATTAAGCATATAAAATCCACAATTTTGAGAATGTAAATTATTGATGTGGAACTAATTGAATAGCTCTTTCAAATATATCAATAGCTTTTTATATATTTTTTGCTTCTAATTCTTCAAAAACAGCATAATTATACCATAAATAAATGTATCTTCTCCAAAATCTTTTTTCATTACCTGGAGGAACATTCTTGATAGCAGCTTCAAAAGATTCTCTTATTCTATTAACATCTTTAGTACTCATTTCTAAATTAGCTAAATCAAACCAAGCATCATAATTGTAAGCATTTTAAGAAATCAATTCTTTATAAAATATTCTTCTCTTATTAAGAATAATTTAATCAATTTCATCTTTTTCTCCATATTATTTCTCAAATGCTAAGTATTCTTAATATAATTAATATGCTTTATCTTTAGGTATGTTTTTCAATCCAAATCTAAATATTTCTCTTGCTCTTTCATATTCCTTATTTCTTATTTCAAATCTTCCAAAATCTATAAAATATTCTTCTTTTAATGCTTCTTATCCTAATTCTTCTAAAGTTCTCTCATAAATATTTCTGGCTGATTCCCAAACTTTTTATTTGATTTCAAATTTTGCTACCTTTAAATAAACTTTTAATTTAGGAAATGCTTCCATATATTTATACATAATTTATCTTTGATTCTATCTATCTCCCATTCTTTCTTCAAATTTTAAGAAAGCCATCCATGCTTTTTCTTCTGGTTTCCATGTCATCCATCTATTAAATATTTCTCTTGCTGCTTAATAATTACCCAATACTTCTTCCATATAAGTATACTTAAACCAAAATTAATCAATTCTAGGCATTTGATAAATAGCTCTTTCAAATACATTTCTAGCATGATTAATAAATTTATGTCTCATCTCCATTTCAATATATTTCATCCAAACTCCTATATTAGAAGGATCAACTTCTAATGCTCTTTCAAATATAGATCTAGCCCTTCTAAATTCTAACAATCCTTCTTCAAATTAAGCATATCTAATCCAAATTCCCAAATAGTTCCTTTATCTTCTAACTCTATTTTCAAATAAGATTCTTTTCCTGAATTTATATTCTTATAATTCAGCCTCATCCATAATTCTTTATTAAGGAGGTCTAATTTCTTTAGTTTGATGGATTTCAGCATCCTATAATAAAAATAATAAATGATATATACTTTCAATAATTGTTCTGCTGTAATCTATATATCATTGGGTTGATTGTTTTAAATGCCAGGAGGTCTCATTTCAACTAGATTCCTACCTTAAGCATCAACCATAAATTTTTATTCAGCTATTGACATATTTATATATAAAATTATTAATATTCACTCATTCTTGTAAATAAATTTTGTATTCATATTTGTAATATCAAATTTATAATATAAGGTTGATAGGTTGTTGTGTGATAAAATTGTTCATTTCACAGTATTTATTTATTAATATTTAATTACAAATAGCGGGAAATGGGAAAAAAAAAATTAATAAAAACAGTCCATCTTGTTGAAGAAAAACCTCAAATTTAACAATCAACAAATTTATTATAAGATTCATCATCTGATGATTCAGATGAATAAGAAAATATCAAGGAGAAGTATTCAAAATTTTAAATTATTGATGAAAATAAACAATAATAGGGATAACTAGATCGTTATTTTTCAAAACAAAAGTCTGCTTAAACCGTCCCTCAACCAAAAAAATCAAAAGTTATTGAATTCAGAATGGTAGAGGAAACAAAATTACCTACCAATTTAAAAGAGGAAGAGAAACGAGACGATTAATCTGATGAATTTGATAGCGATTTTGATTTACCTACTAAGTTTTAACATCTTGCCAAAATTACTAGAGCATCTACTATTACTACCCAAGCTACTTAAATATCAAAGCCATAACCTGAAGCTCAAATAGTAGAAACTAAAATTTACTAGCAAGAATTTTAAAATTAATTTGAATAAGAAAATTTATAAATAATTGAAGAAGATTCTCAAAATAACATTCTAAATAAACCATTATAAAGAAATAAATATTTTGTAATAGGAGATTTTTAGAAATATCCAAGAGAATAAATTAGTTCAATTATTAAATATTATGGAGGTTATCTAAATTTTAGAATTAATAAGGACACAATTATAATTTTAGGGGATACTCTTAATAAAGACATGAAAGATAAATAATATTTATAAACTGCTGAATCCTCAAAATCCTTAATACTTGATTTTGAAGCTTTTAATACTCATTTAAAAAAATATGCAGGTAATGATTTATTGAAATCTTTTTAATTGGCATGTCAAGATACTCTATAAAATGTAGCGCAATAATAAGTATAAGAATAAAAAGAACTGTAATCAAAATAAAAAACTAATTAAAATTAATCTTCATTATCAAAATCATAACTATAATCTAAGTTACCTACTAATTAAACTGTTTAGGAAGTTAACAGTAATCTTAGAGCAAAATTTGAGAGTGAAGTAGTTATAATTGAAAAATAAGTTGAATTGAAACCTGAAATAGTTAATTTTTCAAAAAATAAATAAATTTAAAAAGATCAAAAGAAAATCTCCAAAAATGAACAAATAATTATTGAAGAATCTAAACAAAAATTTTAATTATGGACAAGTAAATATGCTCCTTCTAAAGTATCAGACTGTCTTGATTAAACACATGTATCAAATATTGTTAAATGGTTAGATAAGTGGGGAAAGACATAATTAGAAGGTATTATATTTAATTTATAATTATAGTATGTCCAGGCTCATTTTAATCTTAAAATTTTGCTGCTAAAGCCCTTCTATTATCAGGTCCCCCTGGAATAGGTAAAACAACTATCATTAGATTAATTGCAAAATAAAAATCTTATTAATTGATTGAATGGAATGCCTCTGATGTTAGAAGTAAACTTTAAATTGAAAATTATGTTAAACATCTATAAGATAACACAGTACTGAGATTTAAAGATGCTAATTTAATTAGTGAAGGCAAGACAATTATCTTAATGGATGAAGTAGATGGAATGACTGGTAGTGATAGAGGAGGGAATAAATGTTTAATTGATATGATTAAATTAACAAAGGTACCTATTGTTTGCATTTGCAATGACAGAAACAAATAATCTATGAGATCTTTAGCCAATTATTGTTTAGATTTATAATTTAAAAAACCAAATCAAGTTGAAATTTAAAAAAAATTAGAATTTATATGTAAGTCTGAGAATATAAATTATGATCCTGCAGAATTAAAATAGTAAATAGAATACTCATAATGTGATATTAGATAGTTGTTAAATTTATTATAAATGCATAAAGTTGGTGTGAAATTGCATATTGATAAAAATATTGGAAAGGATGGTTCAGTTACTACAAATATTTATGAATCTACTAGAATTTTACTGAATTACAAAGATTCTTAACCATTACCTATTCACAAATTAATGGACTATTATTTTTAAGATCCAGATATGACTCAATTTTTTTATCATGAGAATTATTTAGACTTAATTAAAAAGACTCCTTAAAATTCAATTTCAAATATTTCTATAGCAGCTTCATCATTAGCAGATGCCGATGTTTTGAATACAAAAGTAAGATCATAAATGTGGGGATTAATGCCAAATGTAGGATTTTTATCGACAATGTATCCTACTTAAATATTGAAAGGTAACTTATTATCAAAAGTGAATTTTCCTTAAATGCTTGGTAAAATTTCTAGTGAGAATAAAATTAAGAGACAAATACTAGAAGTGAAAGAAGCATTTGCTTAATAGACATATTTAACAAATACTAAAGCAATTAAATTTTAATATATTGAACCTTATGCTTTTATAATCATATAAAGTTTGGCCAGTGCTGGTTTGAATTGTATTGATGAAGTAGTATCACTGTTAAGAAATTATAATTTAAATATTTAATAGTTTGAAGAATGTATAGTAGGTTCATTGGCATTGTTTCCTAAAAGAGATTTAATGACTGAAATAACATCATAAGTCAAGAGTTCTTTAAATAAAGTAATGAAATAATCGATGGATTCTGCAGATAGATTTGGTAAAGAGAGGAGAGCAATATCATCTAATATTATTGTTAGGAAGACTCAAAATACTGAAAATGATTTAAATGAAGAAGTTAATCAAGAAGAGGAAATTGACGAAGATGAATAAAAATAAAAAAAGAATACTAAATAAAAAAATAAGAATGTAAAATAATAGGAGAAACATAAAAATAAATAAGAAAAGTAAGGTACTGATAAAAATAAATAAAAAAAAAAAGGAAAAAAATGAATTTAATATTTATATCTAATTTTAAGTTGCTATTCTAATAATAGTTATTAAATAAATTTGACTTTTATCTTTAACAAAACTAATCTTCAATTACTTATCAATTATATCTCTAAAAAATTATTAAGTTTAAAAATATCTATAAAAACTATAAAAAAATAATTGATAATAAATTTTATTAACTTTTATTAATATCTGAAATAAAAATTTATTTAATGAATTTAAAATCAGGATAGACTATCTAAATGAAATGGTAGGGGCTAAATTTCCTAATTTACACACTCTTCAAAGCAATTACATTTAGAAGTACACTTGATATTTCTCCTTTGACATTCACAATAGAGTTTTGAACAACTATGTAATAATATTAAAGTAGATTACTTTTATCTTTTACAATTACATCCTTAAAATTCTATTGAAGAGAATTAAGAGAGAGTAGACTTGGGTTATTTATTTGAACAATTATAACATTCACAATTTAATTTACATTCTTAATTGTTGGCACTACAAATACAATAATTTTGAATGCATTTAGATTTACTACATTTGCAATACAAATTAGAAGTTCTAGAAACTTATAATAATTTATGATCATTTGTTTTGATCAATTTGTTAATAATTTCATTTTTATGATTAAGTTCTATAGAATTTATTAGACCTAATGTATATGAAGAATTAACTAAATAATACACTTTTAATACCTAAATTATTCTTAGGGATTTAGCTAGTACTTTTACCAATTATTCCATCTTACTTAATTATAATAAGTTAGTCATTAAATTCTAGTTTTTTTATGATCTTATTTTTTTTTAATTCCTCTTTAGTTTATTTGGTCGAGTTTTACTTCTAATTTGTATTAGGCGATGCAGCTAATTTTTATTTTTAGGGTGATTTTTCTAAATATTAATGAATATAGTATTACTATCAGTGGAATCAAGGTTCTTTATAAATTGCTAAAAGTTTATGATATATCAATTACTTCCATTTATCCGCCAAAATCAACAATACGATTCGAAATAATATAAATAATTCACATTATTAAAAATTTTGTAAGTGTGTTAATCAACTAAATTAAAAGACCCTACTAAAAATTGTCATAATTTCATAGACTTATTTAAATTTGAAAGGATTATCTAAAGTGAAATATTTTTAAGAAAATTTAAGTTTGTTTTAATCAATAAAAGTAGATGAATAGAAATTAGAAGAAACTTTAATTAATATAGAAAAAATGATAAAAAAATAATAAACAATTTATATTTATTTATTTTGCAGCTTAAATACCTTTAATTAATATACAAATCATTTAGATATATTTGAAAAAGGCAAAGCTAAGAATGTTCCTAACATAATGCCAAAGCAAAGGGAAAATCCTGATACAAAACCAATTTTTTCTTTAACAAAACCTTCATTAGTCTATTATATAAATAATTTTATTAAATACTTTTTCTGGTCCTAAAATCATATATCCTGTTGTAATAAATCCATTCAATGTACCAAATAAAAATGTATTTAAATATGAAATCCAATTTGCATCTAAAGTTCCTTTTGCTATTGCTATATATGTATAATAAAAAACAAATCTGCCTAAAAATATTCCAATTAAAATTTATAAATTAAATAGTTTTCTATTACCAGCTAAAAATTTTCCTAAAGTATCTCCCATATTGTATCCTAAACTAATGAAGCATTGACCCCAATTAATAAAATCTGAATCAAAAGATTTTTAGAATGCTACACCTGGAAACATCATAAATGTTTAAACGTAAAGAATTACAATTAATAAAGGAATAGGAAAGGCTACTTTATTAATCCAAATCAAAGTCTAAATTACATTCATTCTTTCTATTGAGATTTAGTCTTTAAATTTATTTTATGGTTCATGATCAGTTTTTGGATTTGAATCTACAGTTTAATTAATTTGATTTGCAATTTCTGAATTGATAATATCAGAAATTAAACTATCATTTTATATTACATTATCTGGTTCATCTTCTGTAATAATTTAATCATGAACTAAAACAGATTTCCTACCCTTTTTATGTGCTTAAATAATCTTTCTATATTAAGGTGTCTTTGTAAATGCAAAATACATTATAATTGCACCAATATTCCAAAGTACTGCTATACCAATATATAAAAATATTGCTATTCAATATAGAATTCAATTACATTTTTCACTGTCGATTGCAGCTAAAGATATTAATCTAAAAATGGTGATAATGGTTCCAGATGCTCCTGTACCAATAAAGAATACGTTGACATACTCTGGACCAAGTATCCCAGACATTCCTATTGAACTATTCTATTATAATGATGAAAATATTCCCATTATGAATATTGTAATTAAACATAACCAATATCCTTTTTATATATATTAAACCAATACCTAAAGCACTATGCATTTCTAATGCTATTAATGGTAAAAGAATCAAAAGTACACATAAAATTACTAATGACCACACAATTCTGAAAAACATTGAGAGTAGAGAACTAATACGAGGTAGAAATAATCCAATCAAGCATAAACTTATGAAATTAGGTATAGGCAGTATAAAATAAACATTTCTCCCTAAATAATTAGTGGTAATTTTTAATACCATCATATTAATCAGCAAAATATGATAAACCAGTTAAGATAGCATTCCATCCTGACAATGATGACACACCTAAAGTAAAGAAGAATATCTTTTAAAACAGTTGTGATTTTTTGGGTTTTTTTTCTAAAAGAGAAAATTATGTGTCATCTGTCGTACTATTAGGATTCATATTTATATAATAATTAATTAATCTTAATAAATATCAAATCTCGTTTAAATTCTTGCTTTTTCGTTTTAAACACAATATGTAAAATGCTGTAAAAAGATAAAAAAATAAAATTAACAATCCAATTGATGTTGTAATTGGACTGCTGAATATCTATAAAGAAATTAAATAAATTATAGTAATAGGGCAACTCTACTAATCATTAATTGATATCACTTGCCCCATTTTTATTAATTAACCATTTCTATATTAAATTTCCTTATAACAATTTGAATTATTTATAGTGAATGTTAAATTAGGGTATAATGTAGTTAACAAACCAATTAAAGTGAAGTTAAGTAAGTTTTTTCTAATTATTACTGTTAAATTAGTAACATTATCTATCAATTCTTTATCTATAATAATATTACAATAAAATACTTTTTGAATATTAAATTCGATTATTAGTACTAAAATACATTATAATAATAAACATAAATTTAAAAGCAGCTATAGTGATTACTTCAATCATTTCAAATTAAATCTATTTTATTTCACTATTCTAATTATTTTAATCTAATTATGTTGAAAAGAAATTAATAGCATTTAATTAACTAAGTAAATCACTATTTGGATCAATATATTCAACAAATATACAAATAAATCCAAATATTAATACAAATGCCATAATTAATTGTATTGTATTATATATTAAATTTAAAGATCTCCAAAATAATTACATTAAATTTAATGTAGTTTAAATAAAATTAATTATATATTGTTTACATATGTCTGAATATTTAACATCACTATTATCTTCAATATCTTCAAATATTAACATTGAATCCAATTCTGTATTATATAATTTAGCCAACTCTTCATCTGTTTAAATTTGTTTCATTTGCAAAACTGATTTAAATTTAATATCCTTTATAAATGGTTACTTAATCTTTTATATTGATGACTTAAAATTATTTAATGGTTATTCTAATAAAACCTACATAATTGGTGACATTGAACTAATAGCAGAAAATAAAAATAAAGCTCTAATATAAACTATTTCTAAACATTCTTTAAATTAATGAGTTCTATTAAAGTATTTTATATACAAAGCACAAATTATAAAAACAAATTAAAATAGTATTGTCTGAAGTAGTGACTAGACTAGAATTAAAATTTTATAACTTAATCTTCTATTATTTTGATGCATATTTTTCAAAAATATTATAATGAATAGTATTCCTATATAAATTGATAATGATTATATGTAAAGTGTAGATTGAAGTCTTTAGAGCATAAATAACCTTGTATAATTTACATTCTTGCTATATCCTAAGTATTATTGTATTTATTGAATTTCATTATATATGGTTAATATGTATACTTAAACTGTGAGTATGTTAAAATATGCTTTTATTATATTCCAAAAGTATTATTCTTTATATCTATAAACTTAAATTAATATGATTATCACACAACTTAGAAGTTATAAAGTATTCAAATTTATCATTATTTTTTCTAATTATTAAAAGAATACATTAATAATAAATTAAAATGTAAAAATTATTCATGATGCTGCTGGTACCAATAGTGATTTAGGATATTCATATTAAAATACTTCTTATGGCATAGGATATGTATTCATGGATTCATTATTATTTGTGACTCTTGTTCTTCCAGAATATTTATTTTTTAATTCATCTTAATTTTAATTAGTTCTTTTTCTAGAACTATTGTTATTTGAAGTAGTTTAAGGCTTACGACTTGATTAATATTATGTATAAGGTCTTGAACTAACTCCATTTTCTATTTCATTATATCTTTTATAATCCATTGCTTTTATTTATTCAGAGGATTGATTTCTCCTTGAAAAATAAGCACTTGTAGGTTTCAAATAAGATAAAGTTGGTAAACCTAACTCTTTATTTAAATTTCTATGTAAATTCTTTCTTTAAATAACAAATTAACCAACTAATTAAGGAGATTCAATTTTTGAAGAGAAATGTTCCAATTAATTAATATCACTTAAAATCCCAGTTGTTTATGCCATATTTCTCATAATTTAAACTGTATATTATCTTTCTCCATATAATCTCTCTGTAGCTTATTTAATTTAAACCTTAATTTCATTTTATTATTCTTTCATTAAAGGTTTATCTTTTCTTTCTTATTCTTCTTTCAATCTTAATAAATCAGCTGCTATTTATGCCTTTAATAAACTCCTTTCTTATTCTAAATCATCCTTTAAATTACGAGCTGTCTTACTCTCCATTAATTTCTTTGATTTTGCCCTATTCATTTTATTTTCACCTTTAATCATAGATATACTTTCAGAATTTAATTATTCTATATTACTACCAGGTCTATCCTTTGTTGAAATAGTATCATTATTTTTTTGATCTCTTAATTACTCATTTTTCTCTCTTATTTTAGCCCTAAAAAATGTTTAAATTTAAGTTAATTTTTCTTCATCTAATCTCTATTTTTTTGGAAATAATAAAGAGGGATCTTATTAATCTGATTATTATTATTATTGTTAAGAAACACTCTAAATTTATTCTTCTTCAGTTTTTGGTCTCATACTTTAGATTTTATTTAAATCATTTTTACCATTAAATGGCATATTATCTCCTGTTTTATATTCCATCATTCTTCTTATAATTAAATCTTTAGCTGATTAAATGTCTTAACCTTCTCTTAATAATAATTTAGATAATTTCTTAATATCAAATTTTGGATTAATTTCTTTTAAATATTAAAGTAAATCCGAACTGATATCTCTAATTTTTTTATACATGGTTTGATAATATTCAAATAATTTATGAAAATTATATTTAAATATTTCTATTAATAGATCTCTGAATTCATTTATGATTTCTGGACTCAACAACTTTTATAAGGTTGGATTTTCTTAAGATTTTAAAAATTTTGTTAAATTTTCTACATTTAAATTAAACCATAAAATTTAATCTGTTTTACTTTAAATATAGAAGTACTAACTGATTTAATGTAATTCTTATTCTTTGAATGTAGGAAATACTTCTATTACAATATTATATATTGCAAATTAATTTAAATGTTATTAAGTTAACTCATTAATTTGATTTGAACTTTTAATTATATTATATATCTTTGATATTAATAAATTAATTCCATTTATTTCATTATTTAAGTTTGTATATTTAAATTTCTTATTTTCTTTATTTTTTTAATCTATTGCTTAAATTATCTAATAAATTCTATGTAAATATTCAGCTAATCCCAATTAAAAATTCATTAATAATCCTTATGTTTTTGTAGCCTTTATCCATACTACTTATTCAGGATGTTCTTCTATTTCCATCCTCTTGATATTTAAAGTAGTTGTTTCATTTTTCAAATTCATCAAACCTGCATCTTCAGCAACAATAGATTATTCATGAATTTCTAAATTTGGATTCTTCTATTTTAATTCTAATAACTCATAATCTAGATTTTCAATTTCGTCTAAAAGTATTTCCTTCTATTTTAAAAGATTTTCATATGATATACTTTTTTTTGTTAATTCCTATTAAAGATGCCAATACTTCTCTAACATAAATTCAAGAATATATTAAGTTCTTTACTCATTTTCTTAATAAAATTTATTAATTTAAGATAGTAATTCATTTCTATCAAAATTGATCTCTTATTCTTATTATAAATTATCAATTTATTGATTTTGATTCTATTTTAATAACAATTCTTCATTAACATTATATTAATCAACCAATCTAATTTCATTTGGATTATCTTTATTCATAAATATTTATTCAAAAATCTCAAAAAATTCAATATATGTAAGAATATATCTACTTTCTTATTTTTTTTTTAATTAATTTTATTTCTTCTCTTCTAATATTTCAAACTCTTTATTTTAAGCATCTATAAATCGTTCTGCTTCTTCTATTTTTAAAGCATTATGTCCTATGTTTTCTTCTCCAACATATAATATTTTTTATAATTAGTATTATTTGTTTTCCTATGAATGTTTGTATGTGTCTTACATTTACTTCATTTAACCAAACTCATTTTTTATAGATTATAGATTTTTCTTACTTAAAAACCTCTTGTTTTCTGCCATCAATTTTACAGCATCAGTATTATTATATCTCTTTCCTGCTTTACTGAGTATAATTTGTAATTCTTCACATTTTTGTTATTAGATTAGTTTTGATTTTTCTATTTCTACTAGAATCTTTTATAATGAATCACTTTTCTCTTATTCCTCCAAAATTAAATTTTCATATCGGGATTCCTATAATTTTAATGATTCAATATATTGATCTTTTGATTCTAAATCTAATTACTTTATATTCACATTTCCACTAAATGTTTCAAACAATGGGTCAGAATGATGATTATTTATAGAATGAATAACACCATGTCCACTAATTGATGCTTACATTTATGAAGTTCCTGTTTTAGATTTAGTTTTATTTTATCCTGCTTTTAATAGAAGTTCTAATTCTTATTGTTTTCTTTTATTTGAGCTTTATAATTTATCTAATTCTGCCTTAAATTTGAAATCATTAGATGAAACTATCGAGAGGTTGTCATATTTTCTTATTTCTTCCTAGTGTTCAAATTCTTATTTTAACAACTCTTTTTTTTATTTAAGGCTTTCTTGATCCAAACGAGCTTATTCATCTTCTCCCAATTTCTAAAACCTTAACATTATTATTATCTCACTATTTAATTAAAAATGAGAAAAAATAGATTATATTAATAAGATTAATAAAATCAAGTATTTCTAAAAAAATAAAATATAATCTAAAAGTACTTGATAATCTTAAGAGATGACAATCTATTTTATAACAATAAGATGATTTAAAAAATTAAATTAATAATGTTTATAAATTTGTATTTATAAATTTCAAAGAATTGTAATAATTAATTTACAAAAGATCTTTTATTATCAAATACAAAATCATGATGATTATTTTTCATTTAATATCAATTCTAAATTTTATAAGAATATTTAATTATTAAATTTAACAATTATCAAAATATCAATTTTTCAAACATAGTCTTTAAATAAAATTTTGATTTCATAGTTAAAAGCAACATTTCTTTTAAATCAAAAAAATTATATAAATTATTTATAAAACTTCAATTAAATCAATATATTTATGTAATTTTTTTTCACTATTTTTAGTAATAATTATTGTATTTTACAAAATCTATTCAATGCTTATAATGCTTATGCTTTCACTTGTTCAATCATAGATTAATGATTGTTAAATTTAATAAACAGATTGTTCAGATAACTATGATCCAGTTTGTGGGTTAAATATTGCTAATGCTCCCATCTAAACTTTTGTTAATTTTTGTTATGCTTGTAAAGCAAGTTAGGTGGTTAAATATATATAAGGGGATTGTAAAAAATAAGAAAATGATACTAAAACGGATCCTCCTTCCACATCTATTGGAGTTGATAATAACACTAACTTAAGTACAAGTGGCAATTACACCTAGATGATATCTTGTACAAATCCTAGACCCAGTTTATGTGATAATAGGTAATAATCATTTAAGAATATTTTAGTTTAAAATCTATATGTGGACTCTTTGATTCTACAACTAAATGTTGTGGATAAAATTGTTTGTAATAATTCTCGAATTAATGTTTGGCTTGTAGAAATTCTTCAATTCATAGTTACTTCTTTGGAAATTGTTCTGATTATAAGTAATTTATTAAATTAATAATTTAAGACCTTAGACTCCAACTGTCATTTAGTGTAACATATAATCTTAAAAGAATTGTGAATTAAAAGAATAAATTACCGTTTGTGGTTTTTTAGATGAAACTGCTATATGTTAAAATCCACCATGTTTATAACCATTTGATAATAAATGTGAACCATGTTAATAATCTAATATTACATCTTATTTTGTTGGTGACTGCAATCAATATTAAAAATTATTCTTTAATGCTGAATAATAAGTTAATTCTTTTGTTGCCAATTATTAATATTGTTAAGCTTAAAGACCTTAATAGTGTGATTAAGAATATATTCAAACTTGTGGTGTCTTAAAGTCTTGTAATGGTAGTGGATGTGAAAGAACCTATGATAATCCTTGTAATGCTTGTTAAAATATTGAAATTGAAGGTTATTATACTGGAGAATGTGTAAATAATTATGTGCCATTAATTTCAATGTTTATTATTATTTTGTTAATTTAATGATAATAACTAATTAAATATATATATAAAAAATCAATCTGAGAATAGATTATTATTATTATATTATTTCTATTTGATATATTAGTAATAATAAAGATTAGGATCAGATTTTTCATATTATTTTAATAAATATTAAAGTGAAGGAGGATTTGATATTTTAATTTCTTTGTATATATGGAAAATGAGACTAGTTTGATAATTCCTTAGTATATTATGTAGTAAATGAGATTATTCTTTTTAGATTAATTTGTTTAATTTATTACTCATTAATTATTCAAATACTATTTCACCTACATTCATTACTAATTATATTATTAATTCACCTGATTCTTTATATAATAATTAAAATAGTGGTGTTTCAAATTCTAAACAAGATAGAAATTGCATTAACTAAAAATATTTTGAAGCATGTTTTGTTATCATCTTTAACTAATTCTCATTAGCCTTTTCAGTATTATTCAAAATATAATGTATAGAATAAACTGTATTTCTATGATTTTCATTTTTGAGATTTAACTAATCCATTCCTAAATGAATGAACTTTTATTTAACTTAATCAGTTGTTGATATACTTGATGAAAATCCATAGCATGAACATTTTGATTTATTTCGAACTGAATATTAACCTTCGTTTAATCTAAATACTTGAATAATTTCAGCATAACTTATCAATTTATATTACTAAACTTGATTTTATCGTTGTTTCTCTTAAATTGGTGATTCACTCTCTAATATAAATAGAATATTTATTTTTACATTCGATTATAATCTCATTCACTTATCTCATATATTTTTCTTGATTCCAATCTATGTCTTTATTAGGAGAATGCCATTCTATGTGACTTTATCCAAAAACACTTGAAGAAACATCTCTAGTTGTGGAAGTTGGTGGTCTTTAGAAACTCATTTACAATTCAATTAATTATTATAAGTATTAATAGAGTAAACATCATTTATCTTTGGATTTATCTCTTCTAAATATTCCAAAAACACTTTGGTTTTTCTTTTCTACACTCTGAAATAATTTATTTATAATCTGTTCACTATATTCTATTCTACATATACTAACTAAACTTTGATAAAAAACTTTTATATCTTATTTATTCCTATTAATAATATAATAATATAAACTCTTTTTAATAAGATTCGAAAAATTTAATTAGTAAAGAAATTATATGTGATGCTAATGCCCCATCTTTACAATTCTAAATTTTCTCATTCAATTATTTAATCTCCTCTTATTGATCACTTATTCTATTTCTTAAAGATTTATTTTCCTCCTTAACTCTTTAATTTTATTCCTATTTTATATATATATATAATAACTTCGAATCTCTATTCATCCTTTAAATATGATTTTAAACAAGACTTTAATTTTGAATTCTCTAGCTTTTCTTATTCCAATTCCTATCTTAATTTTGAAACTGTAGATCTAATACTAAAAATATCTTCATCATCTAATGATTAACTTTATTTCATTATCATGCTTTTTAAACTTAAATTCTCTTTATTTTTTATTTATAATTATAATTCTTAAATTTCATTTTGATTCTTCATAATCTCTCCTTATAATTATTCATATTCTATTAACTTTTCACATACAATTCTCCATCTCTTAACTTATTTTTCTTCTAAACTATTTAAATCTATCATCCAATCTCTATCTTAAACTATTGCCTTCTCACACATATCTATATAAACACAAGTTCCTTTTTTTATATTCTAAATTTCTTCATCTTTCTTTATTAATTTCTTCTCTAAATTTACTATCTCTAATTATAATTCACTTTTTGCCTTTCCTTATTCTTTATCTGCCTTTAATGTCTCTATTTCTTATCTTAATTATTTAATCAAATCTGATTCCTTTAAAGGTGATATCTCTATAAAATCATCTAAACTCTATAATTATTATCTCTTTAATTGGTCATTTTCATCATATAATTATGCAATCTTATCTTAAAGCACAATAATTTTTTAATTTTAATTACAACTAGATTTCATTTAATTTTCAAAATTTTCACTGGCATTTCCACTTATTGCATATAAAACAGATACACATTGTTATCTATCAGATATTGAATTTTCTTATCTAACTGATTTATTTTCATCACCATTTATAATTTATTCCCCTTATTCCATTTATTATCTATCATGAATTTAATCCTTATCTAAATTAGATTAACTTAAGAATTTTTATAGCCTTTTGTTTTCATGTATTAATTATTGATTTTTACTTATTTCATTATTTAAATCATTTTAAATTTTATTAATCTCTGCTATCAAACTATTTTATTGTTATTTTTCTTATTATACCTAAATTATAAGTTAATTTTATTAATCTTCAATAGCCTTTTAGTTATCATATTATTTTTATTTTTATTGATTGATTTCTTATTAATATTCTAATGTTATTCTATTTACTTTTTAATTTAATTCTTCTTCAACTTATTTTTTTATTTCTAAATTATTTTCTAACATTAATTACATTTCTTATTTTTCTTAATTTAGCTAAGCAATCTCTTATTTATATAACTCAATTTACTTTAATCCAGTTTAAGTAACTTCATTTAATTAAATCTCAATTAACTATTTTTCCTTTAAAATACTATTAACTTAAGCCTCTTAATTAACCCTTTATTTTTCCTTTTCTTCAATTACCTTTTAAAGTTATATATTAATTTCCTCATTTCTCTTTAGATGTAATTCTTCTTTCTCTTCTAATTCTGATAAATTATTTCTCAATTAAGAAATTTAGAATAATTAATTTTAATATAAAGCCTTTATGCTTTAAGTTTAATTAATATTTTCTTCTGACACTTCTCTCAATTTTATATTTTCATTTTTTAGTACTTGTAACTCAGTTTAATATTAATTTAATTTATCTTATAGTTGCTTTATTTATTAAAATAGGAGATTATTATCTTTTTAGTATTATTCAAGCTTTTACTATTTATCAAGGTTCGAGTCTTCTAAAACCTATGATTATTATGATAATAAATTATTAATTTCAAATAATTTATTTTCTAAATCAATAATGGTATTAGATTTTTATTTAAGATCCTCATTCTAAGTGAAAAATTGTTATTATTATTATTGAATTTGATCTTCTTACTGTTAGATTTATAATTATTATTTAGTATTTTATTCATTTAGATTTGCACATTTATTTTCTGATTCATTTAATAATATTATAAGTTTTTCTTTTTAAGAATTTACATCTTCCAATTGAGTAATTTTTTTCTCTAATTATACTATTTAAGTTAATTAATTGTTGACAATACATTAGAGTTTTTCATTATCATTTAGACGTTCATTTAAAATTTATCTAGACTCATTTAATTATGATGTTAAATTCTAGTTATTACTAATCAATTATTAAATTTATTCATTTTTTTCATTAATTAATTATTCTAATTATTTTTAATGAGAATCCTATAATTGCTTTATTTTTTCATACTCTTTCTTTAATTGATCTTCAAGTTATTAAATTTTTGCTTCTTATGATTAAATAGCATTTTCTTTTTATTCACTTAGATTTTCTTTTGTAATCTATTGCTGGAGATAGTGTTGCTATTCTCTATTAAGTTGCTCATTAGACTATATAAGTTACAGTTTTTCATTTTCTAAATTTAAAATTTATTTTTCCAATTATGTTATTTTAAATGTAAATTAGGATTATAAATCTTAATTTTGCTTATTAGATGTATTTAGTTACTCATTAACTCTGATAATCTCATTATCTTTATTTGATAAAGTTTATTTTAATTTAAGTATATCTTGTTCATATTAATTATTTTAATCTTTTAGTTAATTTTATACTTTTTAGAGTTCTTTCTTTGAATCATCCTATAATTTATGATAATCTTAATTAATTTAATTTAATTGACTTACTTTTTCTTAAGATTCTTTTCTTATTTTTGCTAATTCACTTTCTAATGCTTATATTTTTTTATTCAATAGCTCTTCGTTTTCCTCTAACTATAAAATTTGGACAATATTATTTTAATTTTTTTCATTTAAATCTGAGTTAATTTACTAAATTACATTTATTTTAGATTAATATTCTTATTTATTTACTTCTAAAGTTTCAGTTACTTCTTTTAATTTTGATTCATAATATTCTAATTATGATTATTAATCCTAAATTTAGACATTCAAAATTTATTCATTCTCCCTTTAATTTTAAACTACTTTATCATATTACTATTATAAATTCTCAAATTAATTATGAAGAATTTTAAGCTATGACTCTTTTTATTATAATAATAATTGTTTTTCTGAATTTTATTAATTCAACTCATGAATTAAATTTTTTTCTTGTAATTATTAATTCAAAATTTATTATAATTAAGTTATTTCCAATTATAACGTACTTATTGTCTATTTGAATAGTTCGCTTTAATCATTCTGCTCTTAATATTAAATTTCAATTGATTTTAGTTATTTTTCCTTTTATTCTAATTATAATTTTTATGATTTCAACTTTGCATTTAATTAATCAATAAATTGTGATTACTCTTAAAATTAATTTTCTACTTTTAAATATTCCTCTTCTATTTATAGTTTTGATTATTCTAAAAGGTTTATCTCTGCTTAAAATTAAACAATTTATTATTCAAATTGCAAACTTTTAACTTAAACATTATCAATTTTAGTTTAATATTACTGTTATATTTCAACAATTTTTGTTTATAATTAATTTATGTCTAATTTAAATACTTATTATTCTTGAAGTAAATTAGCTTTAATTTATTGTAATTATTCAAAATAAATAATTTTAATTTCTTTTAAAGCTGAATTAGTTCTTAAAATTAAATTTTTAGATTTTGAATTTAGATGATTCAACTATTCTTGTTAATTTTAAATCTAATAATCTTAATAAGAAATTGAAATTTGATTTTCATTTATTATGTTTTTAAGTTATTAAATTTCTTTATTCTATTATTAAATAATTTATTAATTTTCTGTTAATGTTATTTTTTCTTCCTCATTCATTTAAAGTTGACTTCTTAATCCAGCTATTTAATTCTATTATTGACCATTTAAAGATTTAAGCTTATTTATTTCATTTTGATATAATTCTATCTAATCAAAAACTGATTCTTTTTCTAATATCAACTTTTTTGTATATTCATCATTTTATTGTTAAATTGATGTTTATTCTTATATTAAATTTTCAATATTTTCATGCATTTAAGTTAATTGTAATTTAAGTTAATTTATTTCTTATTCATTTTTAATTTTTATTAATTATAATTCCTAAAGTTCTTCATTTTGTTTTTCCAAATCTACATCTTTTTCTTATATTAATTTATTTTTCTAAATTATATTTTCTTCTTATTATTTATTTAATTAAATGATTTATTTGATTTAAGTGTTTGGACTCATTTATACTATTGAAGACAATGATGAATTAATTGATTATTCTTATTAAATTTCATCTATAATATAATGTTGATTTGTAGGTGTTCTTAAGGCATCAAAATTAAAACTATTATGTGAAATATCATAAGAGACACCTTCTAATTTAATTATTTAAACCTCTTATTAATTTTTAGATTGTTAATGATATGTATTCAATTCATTTATTAATTATTCAAAATATTATTATTTCTCTAATAAATCTCTTACTTAGGAATTAAGATTTTGAATCTCTTCATTTCTTGCTTAAACTAATTTAATTTATGACTCTAATTAATGTTAAAGATTTGAAATTTCAATATTCAAAATAGACATTTTATCATTTAATTCAGTGATTTATTAATCTCTATTTTAGATTTCTTCATTTTATAAAATTTTTATAATCGAATCTTTTCTACTAGATTATGTTGGAGATGCTATTTAAGTTGTAATTTTACATTAATCTTCTTTTTCTTAACTTAAATACTTAATCTAATTTTTTAAATGATCAATTTAGATTTCATAATCTTTTATGATAATTTATTATTACTGAATATCCTACTACAATTCTTAATTATAACTTATTAAATGTTATATTTAAGCATTATTTTAATTAAGAGTTTCAATATATGATTAATCTTCCTTTGAGAATGACTTTCTATCTTTTAGATCTTCAATTTTTTCAATATTGAGAATTTTACACATTTAAGTAATAAATTATTTTTACTAATCATTATCATCACATAATTATTAAATTGTTTATTGTGATTCTTCAATTTATTGACAATAGTGCTAAATTAATTCTTAATTCTTTTCATCTTTCTTTATTAATAAATTAAGTCTATTTTAAAATTACTCTGAAATATTATCTAATGTAATATGAATTTTTTAAAGATCAATTTAATTATTATTATGATTTATTATCTATCTCATAGGTGATGAATTTTTTGAGATTCCTCTATTTGGACTTGATGCTAAACTTGAATTAGATTTTAGATTTTGTAAAAGTTTCTATTTGATAACAAGATTTAAATTATCAATTAAATTTTCAAGAATTTAATTTAAGTTATCCTTATTTTTTAAATTTTCTATAATTTACAAATATTCACTTAATTAATTTTAAATTTAATTTTAATTGTTAATTAATTCTTATTATATTTATTTATGTTGTTATTATTGTTATTTGATTTACTAATTAAATTATATTTTATTATCTTCTACTAATTACTAATATTTCTTTATTTCTAATTAAAATTTTTAAATTGTATTTGTCATTTAAATTTATGATTTTTTATGTTCAATTTCTTATTCATCAAATTATTATTACAATTAAGCTTATTCTGTATACATATTCTCTAATTAATTATTTAAATCATTAATTTCTTAGCGTAAATCATTAATTGTATTCTTATATTTTATCTATTCATCTTCATCTTATTATAAAGATTTAACTTTTTCACATTTAATCATTTTTATTTCAGAAAATAATTGATTTTCCTTTTCTTATTATTTAGAAATAATTAATTCATTCTGTTCTAATATCTTATTTTATTCAATAATTTATTATTAAAGTATTTCAATCTATTATGATTATTTTTTTATACAATCATTTAAAGAGTTTATAGTTTCCTAATTTTGTATTTATTAATTAATATTTTTAATTTCCATTTTTAAAGAATCAATTTGTCCATTTTTTTGTTCCATCTACTTTTTGTATTTTTCAAGTTTATTAAATTATTTATTATATTCTTCTTCTTTTTGTTTTGATTCTTTTTATAAATTATTATTCTATTTTATAATTTCTTTAATATTATAGGAAAGTTGATAAATAGTATCTTCACATGTATATGATGGTTTAATTTAATCTGTAATAAGTTAATTGAGTCTATTAATTTACATCATAACAGATTCATATTTTGTTACTATTTTTTAGTATTCTTTTTATAAATTGCTCTATTATTATTAATTATCAGGTAATTTCAATTAATATTTTTATTTTTCTTTGGCAATAAAAGTTAATATGTTTTTAACTTCATCTATCTTCTCTTTAGATTCTTATTTCTTAAGTAACTTTTAAAGAATATCTCTCATTTTTTGTTCTTTACTTTCTAATTCTTATAATTTAGATTGTTTCAAATATAAAATGCTATTTATTACTTATTCAATTTATTTTATTTTATCTTCTTGATGAAATAATTAAGAATCACATTACTCTTTTAATTAGATCATTTTATTATTCATATCATCCATTTAACATTCAAAATTTTAACTTAGTTCTTCAATTTCTTAATCTTTTGTCTTTAAGATACTGTACAATTATTTCATAATAGCTTTTCTCTCTTAAGCTTTTCTTTAGTATCCCTACATTAATTTATTTAAGTTTTGATGATCACTATCAAATTTATCTACTTATTAATTCTTATAAATTTATAGGTCTTTTTATAGCTTAGTTATTTGATCGTTCAACATTTCAATTTATTTTTTGTATTTTTCATTTTCATTCCTCACATTCCATTCATTAGATTTTAATTAATTTGTAATTTATTTTTATTCACTTGCTTATTCATAATAAGATGAGAAATTGCATCTCGATCTAGCTTCATCTAATTGAGATCTAGAATGTGGGAATGATCTATAAAATTAATCACCTGTTCTTTATTGTCTATCTAAATAAGTTGATACTTGATGAGAAGGTGGAGATAATGAGGGAGCTTTGAGAGGTTAATATAATTTCCTCATTTAATTAATAATACATAATTCAAATTATTTTTACTTATAACTTATAGAAATATAATTAAGATATTTGATATTTGTAGATATCATCTTCAGAATACAAATACACAAAAATACTTTAATAAATTTATGAATGTTTAAAAGATATTAGAATTATGTAAATTTATAATTAATTTTCAATCATATATTTAATTCTCCCAATTTAAAGAAATAAATCTATGCAAATGATGCATAACTCAATTAAATAGGATTATACTTAAATATCAATGAATTTGAATCTTTCAAAATATGATTATTCTCTCTAGCAATTTGAGTAAATTGATTAATTATATTTCTACCAAATAATATAGATTCAAATTTATGAATTGATGGACTTTTGAATTCAAAAATTGGTTTTTCTGGATGAAAACCTAATGAAAATATTGGATATTATTTAGCTTCTGCTGCAGCTATTGAAACTACTTAATTTGAATCTTAAACTAAAGCAACAATTTTAAAGAAATCGTTCAATTCTGAATGGGTCTCATAATATTAAGGTAAAACAGCCCAATCAGTATTAAAATAAACTAGAATTAAATCTATCAATACTTTATTCTTCTGTCTCAATTGATTTGAAAATGGATTCTTTTAAATCTATAAACATTGTACTTTACTTGTCTGTAAATATTAATTTTTTATTCACTCTTTCCATTCCTGAAGCAGGTATTAACACATCATAATCTTTTTTAGATAAAATAAAATGCAAAGTTTAATGTCCTAAACAAATAGCAAATAAAGGAAATGTATCTCCTTATTAATTTGCTTGAATAACTTTATTTAATAAATATGTCACTGTTTATAAATATTTAGAAGGTCCTTATTCTGTTTCTAAATCCAAAGTACCTCCAGTAAGTAATAATCCATTAATCTAAGAAAAGTATTTATCTAAAGTAGCCTCATCTGCTTCATATGGGATTGGCATTACTCTTGCACCAGATGATTCTACATATTTAACATATGAAGCAGCAAAATATGAATATGATGAAGTAGGGTAATCTTCATAATCTTCATCAGATGGTATTGTTAATATTCCTATAACAGGATTTAAATTGAGTGAATAATTGATTCCTATTAAGAGAACTAAGAAAATAATAATTTTCATGAAATATTTTATAATTATTTAATCATTTTCTTAAAATTTGGAGTCTTCAAAAACTCTAATTATTATAAAGAATGATAAGCCTCTTAATATTTATTTCTATGTCTAATCTACAAAATTAACTAATAAAGAAATATCATAAGAAAAAACACTAGTTCAATATCATTATTCAAAATAATGCTCAAATTTAGAGAAAGTATATATAAAATATGAATATAGTTATTTAGCTTATTAGTTAAGGAATTATGTATGATAAATATGATACAATGAAGAAGTATTTTGTAATTTGCCTTTTATAATATTATATCTTATAAAAAATCCTTTAGGCTAGTAATTATCATTGTATTTTGTTTTATTAAGGATAAGTTTTCTTTATTAAATTATTTAAATTATTGCTAAAATTGTTAAAATTGAGTTTAGATCTAGAGATTCAATTATTGTTGTTCTACCACTAAATTATCCACAATTGTTTTATTTTTCTTTAACTCTTAATGACTTATATTAACTTGATTTTATATTTCTTTTATATTCTATTTCAAATTTTATAAATTTTCTTAATTTTAATTACTAATTATAATTTATTGTATTACATTTATAAAATCATCACTTCATAAAGATTATTTAAATCTTCTAATAGAGATAATTATATAATGTGTTTATTTTCTATTACTTTTTGAGCACAGAATATATTAACCATCAAATAAAATTAAGTATAAGTAATCCATTATTCTTCAGGATCATCTTATAAACGATATATTTAAGTAAAGCAATTATATACTTATTAACTCAATTATTAATGGTTAATGCAATAATTAACACTATCTTATTGAATACAAGATGGTAAATCCTACTAGGCTTTATTTATTTGTATAATAATTTAAATTAGATAAAATAACATAATTAAATAAATGAAAATTTTTTATTATACTATCATCTCTTTGAATTTGTATATTATTCTATATTATTCTCTATTTATTATAATAAAGATTTAAATTATATTTTTTTATTCAAAGATTTGAATTATATTTTATATTCAAAGATTAAAATTATCAAGAAATTCAATATGAGATAAACAATTTATCAATTATTTAATGACCTAATACTTTAATTGAAAATTATTAACACTTCACTTTTTTAAATACTATTCAATAATTTTGTAGTATTATTTTTGATTTAAACCATTAAACAATAATAATAATATTTTGATCTATTTTAATATTTTAAGAGGTGTGATTTTTTTAATTCAAGGTGTTATTTTATGACTTTAAACAATGGTCAATTATTAAATACTCTTTCATAACTATTTTAACCTTTTTTATATAATGAAATCTAATTAAGTTTATTTTACTAAAATAATGATATAGAGTTTAAGAGTACATACCAATTTTCATAAGTAAATGGAAAAATTAAAAGGATTTTTGGTTTCCACTCATACAATTTCACCTATTGAGGCTGAATAACCACTTAGGAAAACTTAAACTCCTTTAATTGGATAATTATAATAATCCATATAATTTAGTGATGAGGAAGAATAAAGTGAAAATATCTAAGAAATTGATGTTAAATCAACAAATTTTAAAGATGAATTTGTTTTAGGAAGAAAGTTAGGTGAAGGCACACATGGAATAGTAAAATTGTGTTGGAAAAAAGACAATCCATCTATGTTATATGCTGTAAAAATAATTAAAACAATTGATGAAGAGCATTTGGAAATAGTTAGATAAACATTTATTAATTCTACAATCATCAAAAGTCCTTACATAGCAAAATGTTATAAATTATATATAGATATCAATGTAATTTATATGTTAATGGAATATGTACCATATTAAAATTTATAAACTATCTTATAAGTGTAAATAAAGTTAAAAGAATAAGATGTATAAAAAATAGCTAATGCATTATTAAAAAGTGTGAGATGTTTACATAGTTGTGGAATATGTCATAGAGATATTAAACCAGATAATATAATGATCGATACGAAGTATTTCAATAGTTATTCAAAGTGATTTTTCAGTTAAATTAATAGATTTTGGTGTTTCTAGAAGATTTGTAACTTATAATAATAGCACTTTTCGATATATAAGAAAGTCAATGTTGACTATAACTGGAAATCTTAATTATCGTGCACCTGAAATAATGTTTAGTCAATCTTATGGATATAATCAATAGATTGATTTATGGGCTATAGGTGTTACACTATATCAATCTTTAACAGGATCTTTACCATTTATTTCTGATAATACAGCAGATATCATAGCTTAATTATCTAATAGGTATGTATTCAATTTAATAATAATAAAATTAGTAATTCATTATAACAAGCATTCCAATAAGAGTCTTTCTTAAAATTATCATCAAGTTGTAGAGATCTGATTAAAAGACTACTTATGTGGAATCCCCTTAAAAGATTAACTGCTTCAGAAGCATTAAAACATATATGGATTCCTAATGCTTAAACTCCATAGAAACCTTTGATTAAAAAGATCACAAAGGATGACATGGATACTAGTAGAATAAGTTAAAATAGTGATATTTTGAATAAGTCTTTAATCAATAGTGCAGATATTTTGAATTAAGAGTTATAAAATACTTTAATAATGAGCAAATAAATTGATTCTGTATTAGAAAACTCTTAAGGTTCAAATAAGAATTTGAGATTTTCAATTAACATAAAATAAGAAAAAGATATTCAAGATTTTAAATCTAAACTCAAATAATTCAAATTAGAATCATCTACTAATATATATAGTAGAATAAATAATTGTCAAGCCAATCCAATATAATTAGTAGGAGCTTGGGATGATAAAAAAAGAAATTCAATTAAATTAGAAGAAGAAGATGATATTTTTGGTATTAAAGTCTGTGGCAGTCACCATTCTCTAACTTAATTAGATGATCCATTGTAATAAGAGTAATAACCTTAATGGAACTAATTAGATCCTAAACTCTTGTAAGAACTCTCTAAATATAATTTGTGATTTAATATATATATATATACTTTATCATAATAATGAACTCTTCTAAAACTTCAAGAACTACAAAAGCCATGCATTAATTACATATAGAACAAAAAATGTCTTTTAAAAATCTATTTAATATACCTACATTAAAAGAATCTATTCCTACCCTTTTAAAGCCATATCCATTATCTCCCTCAAAATAATCATTTCCTCTATCAAAATAACCAAAGTATAATGGATATCGCAAATTATCTATAGAAAAGAAAATCACTTAACTTAGGAAAGATATAATGAATTCTTAATCAGGCAAATCTAAATAGTTTTTTCAAACATAAAAATTATAAATCAAAGAAGGGTTCTATATTATTGATGTAAAAAGTGACATAAAAACTATCAGATCTAATGAGAATCAATCAGATAAGAAATTTAAAATATTCCAAATTCCTATTCCAATTCAAGATAAGATTTATAAGTAATAATATAATTCATTAGAAAAATAAATATTTAATTTAAAATTTAAAGAAAAATATCCTTTAGCTATTGATGATATCTAAAATGAAACTCCAAAATGTTTTGTTTATAATAAACAACCTAGTGAACCTAATTCACCTTATTTTATAAGAAAATTATAATCACAATAAATAACATAAAGAAGTATCAGTTAAGGATTTATTGAAAAAACAAAATAAAATAAATGGATAGCATGGCCATAAAATTTAGAAGGTTGGAATACTCCTATGAATAATCCTGAAGAAGATTTAATATCATAACTTCATTATTATTGAATATTTACTTTATTTATTTATATATTATAAACAATACTCATTATTCCTCTTCATCGAATTTTTTAACCCAAACTTATGGATTACCTCTTAATACACAATTTAAATCAGTTAATACCTATCTTTTACTCCTTGATGTTGATTATGATTCTTTAGATTCCATCCAAGATTCTGTTCTTAAATATATTTTATTGACTTTAGGTTAAATTTATTAAATGAATTAAGTATCTATTAAATATTGACCATTTTAATCTTTAATTGTCATTATTCCCTCAAATTCATATTCATAATCTCTTACTAAAATTCTATCAGATTTAGATGGTTCTAACACATACTTCTTCCAATTAAATGAAGGATTCTCATGTTTAAGATTATTTTCATTAATAACTAATTTATTCACTTTATTAATAAAATTTCTTGCTCTTCCAAATAATCCAGCAACATCTTATTTTTCTTTATCTAATGAATCTAATATTGGTTTTGCCAATTTCTCTTATTTATCTTATACATCTGATTTTTCTTCTAATTGTGGTTTAACTTCAAATGTTACTTTATTTTATTCAGTTTTATGAATATATTCATGAATAAAATGATTTTAATGACGATAAGGTGATAATCCATAAATTTCTAATTCTCCTATTTACTTCCATTAAGATTAATAGTTTTAATTTTGATTGAAAACAAATTAAAATTTTTTGTCATCTAATTCCTTTCTCAAAAGTAATAAATGTTCCAATAAACCCCATTCCACATTATTAAAGAACTCAATATTATGTTTAATTTCCTTAGGTTATTTTAGATCTTTTTTATATTATTTGATTATTTCTGTATTATCTTATGTTAAAATGGAAATTGCTGTTTATAACAAATTATCTAATACATCTGTTTTTTTAATCACTTATTCTGTTCCATAAGATGCCCAATAAGGATTATAGACTGGTTAAAGAAGAGCAGCTATTGAGAATTTATAAATGGTTTTTTATTTCAATAACATATTAAAATAATAAATACAATTAATAATTCAGCAGAATTCTCATTCATATGAATATGTTATATTTTTAATTATTTCTCTATCATCATTATATTAAAATCTCCTTATAACTCTTTGCCTCTAATCATTACATAAAGGAATTTCGGTTCTGATACAAATTGAAATATATTAGAATTCTTTACTTTTATATATAATGTATGATAAAATTTTTGATCCATGATTATTTGAATTCTATGTATATATGATAATAAAAAGCAATTACATTTTCTAAAAAAGAATCATTTAAAATTTAATCTAAAAAATAAATACTCAAATAGTATAAAGAAATATTAAGTGATGGTTAATATAGTTTCTTTTCAGTACTTTATCAGATTTCCTTTTTTTTGATACAATTACCTTTAAGCTTGAATAAAGAAGGTAAATTTTTCAATATTTCTGGCATATTAAATAATTATATTTTTTATTTATTTCATTTATTAATTTATATTAAGCTGAAGTTAACTCAAATATAATCATTTTTATTTTCTACATTAAGGACACACATATATCTTTTATACATTTTTATTAAAAATGATACATTCTTTATGATACCATAACTAACAAACATCACACATTACATATTTCCTATCAGGATTCATTGGTTATCTACATTTACAATTTTTCTCCCAATTTTAAATAGGTGGATGGATTTGTTCATTTTTATAAAATGATCTGTAAAGTATAATTTGAAGTGTACCTACAAAAAAATATGAAACCATTAGATAGATTTTTCTGTTCAAATTCTTTTAGCTCCAATACTTAAGCTTCACCAACTATAGTATCTGGTTAGATATAATCATATTAATCAGATAGAAATAATTCCCTTTAACTTATGCAATCATAATATTTTCCTATAATTTATTTTAAGTCTTTTTTGTTATAATACCATTAAACTTTAATGATAGGTGTGTATTGTTTAAATCTGACAACTCCTATAATTTAAGTAGTTTTAGCAATGCAATGACCATCTTCTTTTGTATATATAACTACATCACTATTAAGCTTAATGGATAGATTATTAATTTTAATTTCTTTGAACTCTTTATGAGCTTAACTGAGATTTTGGACATTTTGAAAGAGTAAGGTTAATGATTAACAATGCCTCACTTAAGCAATCAAATTGTTTGTAAATGAAATATTTTTGAGTGCTTCTTAAGTTTTTACATTTTCTAATTTAATTGAATTAAAAATTTCATTTAGTTTGCGATCGGTTTCCTGATTAAAATTGGGTGAACTCATAAATTATTAAAAATACTATTAAATTTATTAAGTAAAAGAAGAAGAAATATTATTTTATTATATTTGATGATTATAATATGTCACTTCAAAAATCCAAGATTTGATTATAATTATCCATTGACAGCATCAATGAATTATTCTGTATTCAAATAGGTTGATCTATCAGCCTTTGGACCATGAACAATCAAAGCCAAATCTTTGGTAAATAATCCTGATTCAATAGTTTAGATGATTGATGACTCTACAGTTTCAGCAAATTTGACTAATTCTTAATTGTTGTCTAATCTTCCTCTATGTCTAAGACCTATAGAGATATAGATATTATAATATTTACCTCTTGTCCAAGCATAAATACTGGCAACTGAATTAGTAGATGTTTCTTTGCCCTTTTAATGTTCTCTATAATGTCTAGTGATAGTTCCATGAGCAGCTTCAGATTCATAAACACCATCATTAGCAACCAATTCTGATGTCATCATACCTAAAGATCCATATCCTTAAGCAACAATATCTGATTAAACATCACCATCATAATTTTTCAAGGCTAAAACAAATCCTCCTGATGATTTCATCATTTAAGCAACCAAATCATCAATCAATCTATGTTCATACCATAATTTATTAGCATCAAAATCCTATTATAAATAATTAAATAATACTTTCTTGTATTTAGTTTCAAATATCTCTTAGAAAATATCTTTGAAATATCCATCATATTATTTCAAGATAGTATTTTTTGTTCCCAACATCAATGGATATTTTCTCATTAAAGCATATTAAAATGATTAATGAGCAAAGTTAACAATTGATTCATAAGTATTATACATTCCTAATCCAACACCACCTTTTCCTTTGAATTCAAAAATTGTTCTCTTAACTTATTCTCCTTATGTTGGTGTATAAATTAATTCTAATTTTCCTGGTCCTGGTAATTTTACATCTTAACATTTATATTAATCTCCATATGAATGTCTTCCAATTACAATTGGTTAAGTCCATCCTGGAACCAATCTGGGAATATTTTTACAAATAATTGGTTCTCTGAATACTGTACCATCTAAAATAGCTCTAATTGATCCATTTGGTGATGGCCACATCTTTTTAAGTTTGAATTCTTCAACTCTTGCTTCATCAGCTGTAATTGTAGCACATTTAACACCAACCTTGTGTTTTAAGATAGCATATCCTGAATCGAAAGTAACCTTAATTTTGTATTAAAATATGATACCTTATCATCAGTCTTGTCTCTATGTTCCATACTTAAATCATAATATTCTAAATTCACATTCAAATATGGTAAAACCAATCTCTCTCTGATCATCTTCCAAATGATTCTTGCTTATTCATCTCCATCTAATTCAACTACTGTATTCTTAACGTTGATCTTTCTTCCAGTCCATTTGGCTGCTGCCTTAAACACAGGTCCTGACATTAAATAATAAAGATATTTTTCTTAATTTCATAAACACGTGGTCAGATATATACAGTTCATTTATACTTATTACCAATTATATAATTATTTTTATAATAATTTATCTAATATCATATCATCATATATTCATCTCTAATTATCATATTCTATTTTAACATCAATCTAATAAATAAATTTTATTTATATATATCGAAATGCAATTATAATACTTAAACTATTTTATAATTAATATTATAATTTCTTATTTCTTTATGTAATAATATGAGAAGGATTAAGAAGGTGATCTATCTTTCAGAAAAATAATTAATATGCCTACCAAATTAACTAAATAATAAATATACTCATGCAATCCCATGTATTATATTAAACATTAATCATATAGGACAATCGAATAAAATTATTTGATTGATACAGATATTAAATTAAACAATGTTATTACCACTATAAATACCTTAAATATCAATCCTGATTCACCAAAAACTAAAAAATCACTTGAAATTTGTAATTTATAATATGACTAACTAATACAAAAGTAATTCTTTATTTTTATTATCCTAAAGAGAACTTGTAGATTTTAGAATCTAAGGGGAATTAATTTAATTTACAGAGAAAAGATATTTGATTCATTAGCTTCAAATTGCATAATTAAGAAAATAAGTTATTTTGTAAAGAAATAAGTTAAAAAATGAGTAAAGACTACATAAAAGAAAACTACCTCATAATCTAGATTAAAGTGTTAGTAGGTACTAAACTATCCAAATTAGGTAGTATTCAATTAAGTGAACATTTAAAAAGTCCTACTGAAATGATTGAGAGCTGGATTGAAACCCATTTTAATAAGAGTCAAAAATATTAAGCAAAATTATCAAAAATTAGATAACAATAAGAAGAATAAGAGAAGAAAGAGGCAGAATAATAAGTTGAATTTGTACAATCTTTAAATTAAAGAACTGAAATTAAAAGATAAAAAAGATTATTGACAATCTAATAAAGAATTGAAAGAGCAAAAGAATTAAATTCAAGAAGTATTGAAATTCAAAGAAAAGTTAAATAGACTTAATATGAAACTCTTAAATAATCTTAAGTAAGATAATAAATAGATAGATAAGCATCAATAAATTTGTAATTATATTTAATTTATTTAGAGATAAGAAGATTGATTAATTAAAACAATAGTTTTCAGAACAATTATAATAATAATCTTAAATTTATCAAGAAAAACAATAAAAAGCAGTATAAATTAAATAAGAAGGAGACTTAAATAAATAAATAGTTGCAAAATTATAATTATTAAAGACTGAAAGAAATAGTGAATCTCATAATAATAATAATAAATAATCAAAGGTTGATTTATGGTCTGTTAGATTACCTTAATTATTACATAAGAAAGAAGAAGTAGAATAATAAGAATACAATAATAATTTGGTTTATGTAGTTAATAAATTTCGAAGAGTTAGTATGTATAAATCCATAAAATCTGCTCATTCATAAGAAGATCTAACTTAAAAATAATAAATTTAAAGAGAAAGATATTCATCAAAATAAGAATATTATCAACATAGAGGAGAATAAGTCTAGTTTAAATAAAAGAAAAAGGATGAACATTTGTAAAGTTTGTAATTAAAAAAATAGAATGATTTAGAGACTAAATTTTCAAAAATTAAAAATTAAATTGTAGAAAATGAATCACGACATGAAAATATCTAAAAAAAATATTAAGAAAAATTAATCTAATAATTGAATAAAGAGATAAACAAACATAAATATAACCAAAGTTTAATAAAATAAAGAGATAAAGCAGTTGAAGATTTAAAGTAAATATAGAAATATAAATAATAGACTTATAAGAAAATTTGATAAGACTAAATCCTCGTCATCCTTAACAAAAATACCAAAATGATTATGTATTAAAAGAATAGTATATGTTAACTCATACAAGAAAAAAAATATTCTTTTTTCTATAATTTAATAGTATTTAATTAAACTTTTTGATTTTCCTATTAATATTAATTAAATATATAATTTTTATTATCAAATAAACATATTTCAATTCTTCCTTGTTTTATGATTTTTGTTATCAATAGTCATTTAAATCAAGACCTTAATAAATCTATATAATTTTACATTCTAATAAAATCGAAAATTATTATAAACTGATATTTATTCAAATAATCAGTATAATATTTTTTAAAGCATTCATAGTTAAATAGTGTTATTTTTGAGTTAATTATTAAGACTTTATATTAAGAATGAATAAGTCAATAGGGCAAAAAATAATATAATTTGAAGGTTCAACATAATTTATTAAGTTTATTTTATTTTTTCAAATGAAAGCATATTATTATTTACTTTTTGGATGAATATAATGGGAGTGTGAGGTTTATTTATTTTATTAAAAAGTTGATTGATTTTAATAGATAAATAAATTTGAATAATAAATTAAATTTTGTTATATTAGGTTACTTTATGACAAGTTCTTTTTTTATTCAAAAGTAAACAGAGATAAAGTAATTAATAATAAATATTTATATATAATAATATTATAACTTATTATAATATATAATTTGTAGGTAGAGTTAATCTCAAAATTTTATTTTATAAATATTCTATTAGAAATGCAATAATTCGGATTATGTTGATTCTAAAGATACTTTAGAAATGTATTGTATGAAAAATTCTGAATAGTGATAATTTGATATTAAAAATAAATAAAATATGATTAATGATCTCCAAATAATCGCAGATTCTTAAAATTTATATGATTTATATCCAACAAATAACTCATGTCCTGTAGGGGAACTTATGGAGGAAGATTTACAAAACAAAAGACACTATATAAGTTCATTATGTTTCTAATTAAAAAAGTACTATAAATAGAAATCATTAACTTTTAGAAAAATCAAACGACAGCAGAATAGGCCAAGTATATTAAAGATAGAAGATAGTGGAAGAAATGTCAAAATATATTAGAATACTCCAAGTTCCAATAATTTAGAGAGAATGGAAAATGAAACACAATGACTTACATTCCCAATAAAAAAGATTTGGAACTTAGTTTATTATATATATATATATATGAAATTAATATCAATAATATCTTTATAATTATTTAAAGATTTGTTATTCTGATAAGAAGTTCTATATTCTTTTATCATATATTATTATTATTAAATATTTGATTCTTAGTTAAACATAAGTTTATTTACATATCTATATTAATAAAATTTGTTTTTGATTTTGTATTTAACAATTATTTATTTTTAATATATTTTAATGGATTTCAGCTATTTAAAACCTCCTAAATAAGCTATGTAAATAAAACATACAGGTATTTTATAATAATCTAATTAGATGAATATATTAAATATTATGTGGATGGCAAATTAAAACGAAATGTGTTTTATAATGTTGAATTTGAAGATTTTGAAGAAGAAATGATATAAAAATTAGAGGATCTTATAAGGAAAAGAAAGGTTTAGTTACCAGAATAATGGGATAAATAAACTGCATTAAAATTTTGTTATTCTGGCAATTTTGACATTGAGATGGCTTTTTAAACATTAATAAATTATTTGAAATGGAAAGAGAATCCAGAATATCAAATATTAACTTCAGCAGGAGAAGATATTTTAGTAATTGTATTTAATGCATTTTGAGAAAAAAGGAGTAATCTTTAGTTTGGGAAGAGACAAACAATACAGACCATTAATTTTTATATAGGTTTCAAAAATAAGCACAAATATTGTAATAAATTATATTAATAATATAGGAATAATTGCCACCAATACTGAATGCTATGTGTGTACTCTTAAATTATATATAAAAATTTATGCTAATACCTTATTATGTTGAAAAATGGAGAATTATTGTGGATCTAAATGATATCAGTTTATTTAGATTGCCTCATTAAGTAAATTTGAAATCTATCTCATTTCAAGATAATTAAATAAATTATTGATGTCACTTAATCAAACTATACAGCATCATTAGAATAATTGCATCTACTGAATCCACCTTTCTTTTTAGTAGCAGCTTGGAAGTTAGTTGAAAGTATAAAAATTATATCATAATTATAAAGAGTTGATGCATCCAGAAACAGCAAAAAAGATTTAATTTTGTAAAGACCCAAGTTATCTTTAAGAATATATTAACGAAGATTAATTAATGTTAAGATACAAAGGAACATTACCAAACATAGCTTGTTTATGGTACTATAATGATTTTATATATAAATAGGCCAATAATAAATACTTATAGAGGAATGGCAGAAAGTAATCATAAGAATATGGCTGAAAGTGGTATTAAATAAATGGGTGAAAGTGTATAGAAGAATCATATGGTAGAAAGTGCTTATATGAGTATGTTTGAATCATAATACTATACAATTTTAACTTAAAAAGAAATTGAATTAAGTAAACCATAAGTAAAAGGCTAATGTTGTGCATGCAACATAATGTGATAATTAATTCATTCTATATTCTAAATTAAAATATGTAAAAATTTGATGAATCTTAAAGAACCATTAATATATATTCATATATAATTAATATGAAAAAATCAATCATATTTTTAATAATTCATAAATCTCATTCTAATACATAAAAATTTTTTAAAATATTTACAACAACAACCACTTTAATTAATTTAAATATTCTTCTCTTAAATTACCAAATTTAAAAACATTAAATACCCAATCAATTTGTTTGATAGTTTGTAATTATCAAGTAAAACAATCTAATAAGTAATGATAACACTAACAAAACTTTATTCTTTATTAGATTTTAATGTTTATTCATCATTAACTAATTTAACAATATTAATAAGAATATCATATATATAACTTCCAAAGAAAATGGCATATTACTATAAAAAAATGCTCATAAACAAATATACTATAATTTTATGAAATAGGAAAAAAGATCTTAATTAATACTTATAGATGTACTTATTTAAATAAATTGAATCTCAAAATTAATCTTATACTTATGAACTTAAGAATAAATATAACAATCAAGTAAAAAATTCATGATTATTGATTTATTAATAATTTAATACAATAAACTATACTATATTATAATAATATCTTTATTTATGTATCTTTTCTTAAATATAAGAAATCTAAAATATGATATATTTAATCATTTAAAAAAGATACACAAGTATTTTTACTTATTTAAATTTGATATAATCTGATTTAATTAAAAATTATTTAATAATATGTCAATCACAAGGATTGGTGTTTGTACAATGAACTAATTTGCTATGGATTTTGACTACAACCTCTAAAATATAATTGAAAGCATCGAGATATGCAAAAGAAAGTAATGTCTATATAGAGTGGGTCCAGAATTAGAAGTTTGTGGATATATGTGTGAGGATCATTTCTTGGAGTCAGATACTGTTACTCATTGCTGGTAAGAATTTGGAATAATATATAAAGGGAAGCTGTATCAGAGATATTACTTCATACAGATAATATTGTGTGTGATATTGGTATGCCTGTTATTCATAAAAGTGTGTTTTATAATTGTAGAGTGATTCTTTTAAATAAGAAAATTCACTTAATTAGACCAAAGATTTACTTGGCAGATGATGGAAATTATAGGGAATCAAGGTATTTTACACCTTGGAGTAAAGAAATAGAGGAATTAGAATTACCAACATTCATTTAAAAGATAACGGGATAAAAATGTGTACCAATAGGAGTGGCAATATTATAAACTTTGGATACAGAAATAGGAATAGAAATATGTGAAGAAATGTGGATTCCTATTCCCACAAGTGCAAGTTAAGCCCTTGATGGAGCTGAAATTATTTTAAATTCAAGTGGTTCTCATTATTAAATTGGGAAAATAAAAGAGAGAACTGAATTATTCAAAGATATTACAAAAAGAAATGGTGCATGTTATGCATTTTGTAATTTAAGAGGATGTGATGGTAATAGATTATATTTTGATGGTTGTTCTTGTATAGTTTTGAATGGTAAAGTATTAGCAAAAAGTGATGCTTTTTCACTTAAAGATGTTGAAGTTACTACATGTGATATTGATTTATAAGAGGTTAGAAATATTAGAATAAATATAAAAAGTAGGTCTTTGATGGCTTCTAAATAAAAACATTTCCCTCGAATTAAATTAAATATTAATCTGACATAATAATAAAATTACATTTATTATAGAGATATTCCAATTCAATATGAATCTGAAGTAGAAGATTCTATAGCATGTTATTTATGGGATTATTTAAGAAGATCAGGAGCTTCAGGATTCATGCTTCCATTATCAGGTGGAGTTGATAGTGCTTCTACAGCAATTAGTGTATTTTTTATGGCTAACAAAATATTTAAAACCATAACAACCATTGATGATGACTATAATAGTCATAATAAAGTGCTTAAATAACTTCGATAAATTGTCTAAGATGATTAATTCAATCCTAAATCACCATAAGAAATTGTAAATAAAATCTTTTTTACTGTTTATTTGGGAACTCAAAATTCGTCACCTGAGTCTAAATATAGATCATCACTTTTAGCAGAATAAATAGGATGTTAACATTATGAAGTTGATATAGATGAGGTTTGCAATGCCTGTTTAAGTGCTATTAAACCTATTGTTAAAGAAGATCCATAATTTATTGTTAATGGAGGAACATTATAAGAAGATTTGGCATTGTAGAATATTTAAGCAAGATCAAGAATGATAGTTACTTATTTATTGGCATAACTAACTCCTTGGAATAATGGAAAATAAGGATTCTTGATTGTTTTAGGTTCAAGCAATCTAGATGAATCCTTAAGAGGTTTCTTAACCAAATATGATTGTTCTAGTGCTGATATTAATCCTATTGGAAGTTTAAGCAAAAATGATTTAAAAGAACTTCTAGATTTTTGTTACAACACTTTTAAATTTTCTGCTATTAAGTTGATTTTAGAAGCAAAACCATCTCCAGAATTAAGACCTTTAACAGCTGAAGGACATGTTTCTGAAAAAGATATGGAACTAACTTTTGATGAATTAGAAACTTTTGCTAAATTAAGAAAAGTCTAAAAACTTGGTCCAGTTAGTTTATTTAAAAAATTAAGGTATCTTTGGAGTGATATTTCACCAAAACAAGTGGCAGAAAAAGTTAAAAAGTTTTTTAAATTTTATGCCATCAATAGACATAAAGTTGTTAGTATAACTGCATCATTTCATGCATAATCATATTCTTGTGATGATAATCGCTTTGATTTTCGTTAATTCTTATATAATTGGAGATGGCCTTGGCAATTTTAAAAAATTGATGAAAATTCAGAGTGAATTATATATAATTATCATTTATTATAATTTCCTTAATATTATTAATATATTAATTCATAATTCAATTCTTGATCCTAAAATCTCTTTTATAGTATTTTAACCTTCTTATTAAGTTACTTTAGATTTAATAGGTAAAATTGGATCTAAAAATTACAAAACTGATAACTATGATTCTAGACTTTAATCTGTAATTAAACAACCAATATATTCTATTTAATAATCATCTCTAAAACAATCTTATAAAGACTCTGTTAATTTACAATTATGATAATTTATTTGTTCTTTTTTATCAAGTTAACCCAAACATTATTTTAAATGAAATTATTTAGCATCATTATCATTTGAGAATTATACTATATTGCATTTATCCCAAAATCTAATTAATTTATTATCTTCCAATTCAGCTCTTATAAATTAAAATACAATTTCTTTAAATTTTTATTTACATTATAATTCAATCAAAGCTTTAATACTTTTGTATAAATTCATAATTTATTATAATTCCTCAATATTATTAACAGCTATTTATATTAAATTTTTTGTTTTTACTATATTATCATCCTTATAAATTTTAAGATTACTATGTATTACTTTTTCAAAGTCTTAATTTATAGATAATAAACTTATCATACTAGAATTTAGGAATCCAAAAATGCTTATTAAAATTTCATTTCCATCCTCTTTTTTCTTATCTAATAATTTCAATATCTCTTATTAATAATTTTATATTATTTCTTTTCTTTTTGATTTTTTATTTCCATTCACAATAATTAAACATTGTTTTTCAATAGGTTTTAATGTATCTCTTGCTCTTAAATCTATAGTTAGTTTTTAATTGAAATATCTTAAAAACATTCCTTTGTTATTGGAACTCCAAAACAAATCTGATTTACCTCTTTTTAAAATCATACTCTATTATATTAATCCTAATCTTTTCGTCTAATTTATTTCTAAATTAACTGAATCATATGCTTCAGATTTAGTCATCCCATAAAATTGTAAATTTACTATTTTACTTTTTTATGCAATTTTTAATTTTTTTTCTTTTTCTTTAAGTTCCTTTCTTAACTACTATAAATCCATAAAATTATAAAAATATAAATAAAATAAATTAAATCATAATCTAATAGGAGTTATTGGTTTAATGATTGAAAAAGCAGGGAATTACCCTTTGGTTATAATAACTTTTTTAATAGGACTATTGCAAGGATCAGTAATGAAATTAATTAAATCACTTTTAGATTTTGTATGACTCACTACATTTTGAATTTTGCTTTCTGTAAATTTAATAGATTATGACTACAAAATTTAATTTTATAAAGAAATAAGAATTTAGTTTTAGGATTCAAGTTATTGTTTAATATCTTCAATATCTTATTAAGTATTTTTCCCTTCTTATGAAATAGAAACCTAAACATTTTAATTCTTTTAATGTATCTAATACTAAATATACTTATTCTATTAATTGTTTTAAATACAAGATGAATGCTATGATTAAGAGGCTATTTATTTTAAGCTATTTATTGATTATTGTTTTTCAGATTCCTTTATTTTACTTTTTTTTGTTTTACTATCATATTATTATTTAATAACTGGATTTTTAAATCCTAAATTTTATAAATCTTATAATTGAATTAAAGATAATGATTTTTTGTGAATACTTTAATTTTAGTTGATTTCATTTTCTTAAATTAGAATCTCTTAATTTTATTTTTTTATTTTATTTTAATTATTGTCTTAATACATCCCTGATTTATTGAAATCCATATAATCCTTTTCAAAATTTTTAGAAGGTTACTCTTAAGATTAATGAAAGGAATGATTTGATAATGATTAATTATTCTAGATTTTTTAATCGTCTTATAGATTCTTTATTATAGAGCATTTAGAGCTTTTAGTTCTCCTAATTTATCTAGATTATTTAATTTGAGAATTATCTTATAGTAAATCATCTAAATCTCTTTATGATACTACTTCCTTTTTACTTTGTTGATGAAAGTCAACCTTTTGTTATGTATTTTCTTCATGTTAAATTTTAATTATATTAGTAATTTTATCATGTTGGTTTATATTTTCAAAACTCTAAATATCGTTTGAAAATAGGGATTGTTAATTATTTGTTATTTTAGATTATTCAAATTGAGGAGAGTCTTTTATAGAATCTCCTTATTTCCTCTTTAATTCATATCTCATTATGTCTTTTACTGATTTAATGAAATCCTAATTAAAACTTTCTGAATATTGAGGATTACTATCTAATGAATCTATAGATCCATTAGTTATGGTAACCAATTTTGATTTTACATCAATATTTTAATATTCTTTATCTAGTAATTATTATTCTTTCTTTAGATTTTCCAATTATTATTTTTATTGATCAATAATTTATTCCAAATATTATTGTTATCTTTATATTAACATTATTTAGTTTTAGTCAACTTCATGTTTATCATTAACTATAGGTTTATAATCTTTTACAAAATTGTTTTGTTAATATTAATTAATATCAGTACATTTAAATGTATCAATATTAGATGCAAAATCTTATTAGCTAAAGCTTAACTTTTTTATTTATTCTAAATCTTATTTTTTTCTTAATGACATTTCAGACTCTTAACTTTATATTTTTGGATCTTTCTTTTTTTTAGATGATTCATTTTTAGGATGATTTTATTTTTTCCCTTAGGAACTCTTTCTTTAAATTGAACTCTATTATTTATCTCTAGATGTTAACTTATCAATTTCCAAATTATCATCTTTAATTGAAATGAAATTATCCAAACATTAATTATTTTATTAATTGTTATTTATTTATTTTTTTAAACTGTTTTTTTTAACAGCAGATAGTTATTAATTATTATTATTTCTTTCAGTTTTAGAAATTAATTAATTTTATGATATTTTAGGAGAATCTTGAGTTTTCTATTATTAAAATATAAGTAAAGGTTCTTATATATTAAAATTTTATTTATTTTTATCCTATTTATGATATAATTATTATTTTAATTATAGATCTGTTTTAACTCTATTATTTCTTTCACTCTTTAAATTTGTTGATGTTTTAATTTATGATTCAACTTTTTAATCTTATTATAAGATTTATAAGTATTTTATTTCTTAATTTGGATATTTAAAATTATGATTTAATTATCTCTTTATATCTTCTTTCATATTTGATGTTTCAATAAAATGAGTTTTCATTTTAACATGAGAAATTTAAGGTTCTTTAGACTAATTAGTAAAATGTTAGATTTTAGAAGAATCTTCTATTTATTAGCATTAATCTTTATAATATTTTATTAATTGATTATTCTTTTTCTATTGAATTTATTTGAGCTTTTATGTTTATTACTTTTCTTCCTAAATTTTTGTTCCAAATAGAATTTCTGATATTTTCTCATATGAAGTTTTAGGTGAATTAGAAAAATAATTTCTTGTTAATTTTGTTTGTTTTTTACCTATATCTGGTGAAGTATTGGTAGAAGAATAGGCAGATTTCTAAACATAATTTATAATTTATTCTTCAAAGTTTTTGATCTCATTGACATTAATTGGTTACTATACTTAAATAGGATTCTTATGATCGCTATAAGGGACTAGTGATAATAGTTAGAAATACACATTATTTCTTTCAATGATGAAATGTCTTTTAGTACACCATTTTAATGAACCTCTATTAAATCTCCTACTTTCCAAATTCCTTTTTTCCACTTAAATCCATCTTTTTTTGATAAGTATATTCCTCTACCATTATATTCACCATTCTCAAAATAACCTGTATATGTATCACCAGTTTAATTTTATAATCTACCAATTCCATGTAAAAACCCATCTTTGAATTATCCACTACATAATAATAATCTATCAAAAGATATAAATATTCCTAATCCATTTGGTATCATTTAATTGAGTTGATTTTTAGAAGTTATGCCATAAAAAATACCATTTTCGAGTTCTAGTTATTAAATAGCATTTTAATCATTTATTTTGTTTTTCAATATTGGTATCTCAAACTTTGGTATCTGTTTCCTTTCATTTTTTATTGGTTTACCATTTTAAAAATATATATTCATTTCTAAATTTTATAATTTTGCTGTTATAAAATCAACTGGCTATCCTTTAATCCATTAACCATAATAGGTTCCTCGACATGTTGAAAGAATGCAATTACCATTTATTTAAGCTTTTTTAAAATGACCTATAATTTAAGTCTTTGGAGGTATGAAGAAAATTCCTAAACCATCTATTTCATCTGATTTCCATTCACCATAATATGCACATCCATCTTCCCATAAATAAACACCCAATCCTTATTTGTATTTATTTTATACTGTTTAACCTTAATAAATTCCATTCTAAAATTCAAGTTGAATGATCACACTATTGTTCATTTACCGTTAATTATAAAATTATGGAGCTAGAATTTTTATTAATAAATTAAATATAAAAATGCATCTTAGGTACAATAAATATTTATAATATGCTTAGGTTCTTTGTTTAAATAATTAATGCTTATTGAAAATAGATTTTCATAAACAAAAAATTCTTAATGAATCTTAATATTCAGTAAAATAGAATATATAATAATTTTATTTTGGTTTAAAATCATAAATAAAGAACAATTAAAAAATTTTATGATTTAATAATTAAAATACTTACTAAACAGTTGATTCTAAATTTTATGTGTTACTTTATTGAGTTAATATATATAAATAGTTGTAAAATAAAAAGTTCAACTAATTTTTCAAAATCAATATATATTTGTGTAATATTTATTGCATCTTCGTTAATTCTTGTAGTATTATTATTGAAAAATAGTATAAAATGATAGACATATAAATTATATATAATTTAATACTAAATCAGTAAAATAATGTCTATTTTGTTTTGTGCTAAATTATATTTCTATAAATCAATTTCATTGAATTAAAACCAAGAAAATAATTTAAAAATCATTAACTAATGGTATTTGTAAATTTTTACTGCAAAATTAATTTGAGCCATAAAATTTATTTGTTTCATAGTATCTAGTGAGATTTAAGTTGATTTTTCAATATTGAAAAAATAGAGATATTTATATTAATTAGAATTGATGGGTAATTGCACAAAAATGTGCTATGTTAATGAAGAAGTTTAATACATGAATCGTAATGATGAATTCTTAATTGATACTGGATTAAAAAATGATGATATCTAATAGCATTCAACTTAAGCAAAATAACAAGAAAATAAAGAAGATTAATATTCACAATACTCAAATAGAAGTGTCTTACCTCATATAATTATGAGTTCTGATGAAATAATTGTTGAATAAACTATAGATTCCTCTATTCCAGTTAAACTAGCAAGAATATTGATGGAAGGTGGTTCCTATTATGAAGGAGAATGGATGCAAGGAAAAAGATGGGGTTAAGGTGAATAAAAATGGCCTGATGGGTAAATATTTATTTTATTTGAGCTTTTAGTTCAATTTATTCAGGAGAATGGAAGAACAATTAAGCCAACGGGTATGGAATTTTAACTCATCCTGATGGAGATGTATATAAAGGTGAGTGGTTGAATGATTAAGCTAATGGGAAAGGAATTTATATAAATTACAATAAAGCACAATATGAGGGTGATTGGATAGAAGATAAATAACACGGTTTTGGAATAGAGAAATGGCCAGATGGATCAGTTTTTGAAGGTATTCATTATTTTTATTGTATATTAGGTTATTATAAAAATGGTAAAAAAGAGGGATTTGGTAAACTCATTTATCCTGATGGATCAAGATATGAAGGAAATTTTTGGAGGAATAATTTACATGGCATAGGCAAATATTTTTGGCCTGATGGAAGAACTTATGAAGGAGATTGGGTTGGAAACTAAATGGAGGGTAGTGGTACAATGACTTGGGTTGATGGTATAAATATCATATTAGTTAGGTAAATAGTATAGTGGTGAGTATAAAGAGGGTTAAAAACATGGTAGAGGAACTTTTATCTGGGAAGATGGTCATAAATATATAGGAGAGTGGGATATGGGTAAATAAAATGGAATTGGAGAGTATTTTTTTACAAGTGGAGTTTCACATAAAGGAGTTTGGTAGGATGGGAAACGGATTAAGTGGGATTGATAAATTAATTAATACTTTCTTAAATAATTATAACGATTTTATATATTAAAAACTCAATATTATAGTTTACTATTTTGATATCATAAAAGATTAACTATAATTTTTCAATTTTATATCATACATTATTTTATTTAGATTCAGATTTATAGTTAATCATTTAATTATTTTAATATTATATCGTTTGCATAAACTAAATCCTATACTATTTTAAAAAAATTAATCAAAGTATAATAAAAAATTTAAAGATGACTTAATTAATTATATCACTATTATTATGATAATAATTTATGATATGTTGTTTATCTGTAAAAAATCTTCTTGGGTTCATCAAATAATAACTTTATTGTATTATTTAAATTAAATACATTTTAATATTCAAATTAAACCTATAAAAATATTAATATTAATAATTTTTGAATAAATTATAATTTAAATTATTGCATTATTTCTAATCATTAATCCACTTATTTATATTCTTGTTCAGTCTTCCAATCAACTACATCCAATCTAGATAAATAATCTTGTTCTTATTTTTAATCATTAAATTAATTTTCCATACAAATTGATAGATCTAAAGTATAATCAAAATAATTTTACATTCTCCTTTAGCAATTGTGTCTAAAAATACTAAGTTCTTCATATTTTTAAATATCTCATTTCTCATTATTACACTCTCATATTCAGTTATATCTTTCTAATTTCCAGCAATAGATAATTGAATTAATTTATCAAATAAATAGAATTCTTGTAATAATGATTAATCTGAAAAATCTAATTTATTTTGCATAATGGATAAAGACAAGAGTTTATTTTAGTAAAATTATAAATGAATTAGTTCCGAATTCTTTATAAAGTTATAATCTAAAGTTAATCTCTTCAATGAATCAATTTTTGGAATATTTTGCAATGTCACTATATTGCAATTATTTAAGCCTAAGTAAATTAATGATTACAATCTATATTAATGAAAATAATTTACTATGAAATTTAGATGCAAAAGCTAAAATCCATGATGAACTTACAATTATCTAAAATTAATTCAAAAATAGATGCAGATTTGTTAGCTTCGATTATTTTATTAATGTTGAAAGTAGTGAGATCTTCGTACTCTGGTTTCTAATGTTAGAGATGACATTTGAAAAGAATCTGTTCTTTTTGTTTATGCATAATATAAATTAATACCAACCATTTTTAAATATATAATCACAAAAAAGCTTGAATTATCTAACTTAATTATTATTAGTACTGTTCCTGAAGTAATATTATAATTTCCTAAGTAATTTTGATCTATTAATTCTCTACCATTCAAATATAATCTACAGCTTTTTTCTTTTGCTACTTCTAAAATTTTCTATTTAATTTCAAGAACAGTCGAGGTGCTTTCAGTTTATATTAAAAAATCTTTAGGAAGTTTACTACTACGTATCCTCACCTAAAAATAATAGCAGATTACTTTCAATTAGGATGTTTCAAAATCTAAAACCAATACTTCTTTGTTCCAAGAAACTGGTTTATTAATTACAAATACTGGAACTTGAAATACTTGTTCTTGATAAACAATATTTATACTATCTGAAATCAATAATTATATTGTATTTCTAATCATTTTTAATTTACACATCATCAATATGGTAATTGAAGATTCTATATTATATAAATAAGACATACTTTCATCATCTTATGATAAAGCTTTGCGTATGTTTTACCAATGTATTGAATCTTTATAACTATCTTTATATGACTTCATTACTCTACCCCAAAATTAATTTTGCATCATTTCCCATTCACTTTTTGATAAATTGGTAGTGTATTGATTAGTAAGTCTAATTCCTTAACCGGTATATTAATTTTCAATTAATGTAAAATGATTGGCATATTTCAAATTCACATTGGCAGGATGTTTAATATCCAATAAATGTAAATATTACTAATCTATTTGGTATAATTATGTACATCTTCTTAATGATTCAAACCTTTACTCTTATTTGAACATACTCCCATTTTTAATAATATTTATACATATAATGGATTAATTTATTTCAAAAGTCAGCTTCATTATCATCATCTAAATTTTCAATTCCATCATCTTCTTCTTCTTCTTCTTCATCTTCATCTTCATCTACTCCTTCATCAATATCATCTCCTTCTTCAACATCATCATCCATTTATTATCTATTGAACCCACCTTATTAATTTCTCATAAAATCATTATTACGTTTCTCCTTATTACTTGATTATAATCGAGAATCTCCTCCCAATTAATCTAACTAATCATCATTTCCATCATCATCTCCTCTTAATTCAATCATTTCTGCATCTTTAATAGCACCTTCTACTTTTTTTTGATTTTAATTCTACTTTTTTTATTCTATTTCAGCCTACTTATTCTGTAAATCTAAGACATGTTCTAAATAAACTAGATTTCTAAATTTCTCTACATAAATCTAAATAATTAAAATCTTATTACTTAATATAATTTTTCTAATTCATATTCTTATCTATCATATTCTTCTTAATAAGCAGGCTTAACACTTGTCATACCCTTTAATCTTTTCTCTGCTTATTCTAATTCTTTTGTTTTTCTCTTTATTTTTTCCTCTAATTATTTTTGTTCCCTCTCTAAATTACCCACATATTTAGACATCTCCTGAATATTTTACTCTTATTATTTCAATATTGTTTATATGCATTTCTATATGTAAGATTATTCAGATTAAGAATTCCCACTTCTAGAGACATTAGACAAAAATTGTAAAGCTTTATCCTTTTACATTATTATAATATTCTTACTCTTGCTATTTTTACTTCATCCTCTTTTCCTAATTAATCATATAGTCTTGTTGCAAGATCAGTAATTTCTTAAGCCAATAATTTATGACTCTTAATATTGCTTAATTTTGATGGGAGGGACTTTTAATACTCTTAGATATATTTACAAAATCATGAATTTCTTCCTCATCAGCAGGTGGAGACACTTGAGCTTTATATAAGAATGTTGAAATTTTCAAAATTTCTTAAACTGCATATACATCTGCCATATATAATCTCTTAGGATTTATCTTAAGCCTTGCCTTACTAACAAATAGAGTTGTTATTTGTTTAATAAATTCTACTCTATGTCTCTGACTTTTAATATTATTATTACTTCCTCATCAATATTATCAGAAATATCTGAGTTTGGATCATACTTTTAAGCTAGCCAGAAAAGTATATCAGCTACAAGCTCAAAATTAGGCCTTCTAAAATTTTCCATTGAAATAATTCTATGGTAACCCAAGGCCCTCATTTATTCACAGAAGTTACGAAGTTCTCTATATGACATATAATTATTATAATTATTTCTTTTATAATTTTAAAGTCAATCTATCCTATTCCTAATAATATATTCTATCTATTTATAAATAGACCATTTTTTAATTTATATTAGTGTAATAACTAATATATATATAAATAAATTAAGAAAGAAAGAAATGAATATGTTATATTATTGAAAACTTAACATTTTCTTAATTTATTGAATATAATTATATATCTAAAATTAAGTTTATATAAATAAGTTGATTATATATTAACCAGAATGAATTATTTCATTTTTTAATCAAATGATTTAGTAAATGATTTTTTGAGACTTTTCCGGAATTGCTTTATTGTGAAGTTAAAATATCTTATCTTAATATTATACTAATACCTTTAATTACATAATTGTAGAGTAAAAGAATAACAATCAATATTAATAGGACACATATACAGATTGATATAATTGGTTACAAATTAGACTTTAAATCTGTAAATAACTTATGTAATGAAATTAAAATAAATACATTTGTTCCTTAAAAGGCTGGATGGATTCTATTGTTTTAGTTCTACAAAATGACTTTTTCCACATTGTTCATTTAACATTGTTCACTCAACCCAATAGAAAAGTATGTTTATGAAAAATCAACTTTGGAATATTAAAAATTCAATCCAGTCTCTCTATTTTCAACAATTTTTTGTTCATATTATTATGTTAACATTTCTAACTTTTCATTTATTTATTTATATAATTCAATCTTAATAAGTATATTAATAATAAATTACATTATCTTATGTTTTTACTAACTAATCTTATTCAGTAAGACATTTATAATATTCTTCAAAAACAGAGTATGCTAAATCTCTTCTGAAATTGTTATCACATAATACCATATAAATTCTATCTAAGTCTGTAATTTTAAGAATCCAGTAACCTTCATCAGTACTCACAAAATAAATAACATCATATTCTAATTAAGTGAATTCTAAAAAGTTTTTAACAATAATTTTAGCATGAGACTCTGCAGTATTTTTTGTTGTATGATTATAATGATAGAGAATTTACCAATTTTTAAATCTTAATAAAAGATAAGCCTTTATATAACAAATCTTATCATAAATTCCATAAAATTAGAGATCAATTTTTTGAGGTATGGCATTAGGATTAGTAAAATTATCAGGTTCTTAATAAATAGGTTAGAATTATTATCCATATTACACAATATTATTATTATTTTAATCAATCTACTACTATTGTTATTAATTATTATTTGGAAATATTTATTGTTATTATTATTATTGTTATTATTATTATTATTATTATTATTATTGATATTGTTATTATTGGATTTGCTACTATTAATTAATAGGCTATAGATTTTGTTATTATATATTAGATGAACTTTGTTACTAAAATATTCCACTGTAGGTTTATCCATATTAATTCATAACATTCTATCCTTAGACTGGAGGATTATTTACATTGGATTGTGCAAAAATGCTGTTTCTACCACTATTGGGTTAAATTGTATACATGTTTGAATTATTATTATTAAAAAATTAAAAAATGTCAGATGAAAATGCAATTGATTTAGTAATGAAAAATTTGGATCAACAAGGATAATTGACTAAAGTGAAGGCATAAATAAAAGCATCTGTGTTTAAAATACTTGATTAATCAAAAGGTAAAAAGTCAGGAGCATCTAACTTTTTTTGGGAAAATGAAAAAGCCAAAGCAATTCAAAAGGATAATGAATTATTATTGTTATTGGAAGTAGTCAAAGAATTTTTATAATTCTTTGATTTTGAATTTACACTTTCTGTATTATAAAGTGAGAGTAATCATATTCCTTTTATTGAACGTGATTAGTTGATAAAAAAAATTGGATTAAAATAAAGTGATTTGAACGTTAACCAACCTATTTTATAACATATATATCAAAAATACAATCCAAAAGGGACAAAATAAGGAAGTTAATAAAATACGAGTTAATAAGAATAAGTTTCTATTAAGAAGTAAGAAAAATAAGAACCCGTTAAACCTGGTAGCAAGACAAATTAATAAGCAAGTGTAACTAAAAATTAACCTATAACAAAAACAATTGGGAAAGTGGAAAGTACAAAGTTGAGTAATGTAAAATCATAATCAAATGATTTTTAATTTGAAGAGATTGAAGAGGATTTAGATGATGTATAAGATTTAGAGGTTCCAAGTACGATTAAGAAAAATGAGAAATAAAATAATTTAATGTTAACATCAAGTGAAGAATAATTAGCAAGTATGAGTTAAGGATTAGATATCACAGTAGATTCAAATGAAATAGATTAATATGATCATGTTGTTGATATAAAATGGAAATGAATTTTTTTTGTTATATTATGAATTAATTAATGTCAATCAATAAAATGTAGGTAATATGACAAATTTAGAATCAATTAAAGAGTGAGACAATAAATCTTTTGATATATGATTTCATTATTGATAAATATTAATATTTTATACGATCTAATTGATGATTTTTCAAATTGGTTAAAGTGATGGTCGAAAATTCTGGTGTACAAATAATATTCCAAACTTTGATATTGATGAAGTATAAAATGTGAAGATAGCTAATTTCTATAAGATTGGTAAAACCTTCGGGTAAAAATGCTTGCGTCAGTATTTCCTAATTAAACAATACTTATTCTATTCAGATGTGGGGAATTTTAAAAACATAAAAGGTTATGTTAGATTAGATGGTGTATATTTATAATTCCAAACAGTGAATTAGGAATACTAAATATATCTGAGGAATAATGGATTTTAAATAATCTTGTGCACAGATATAGTTGAATAATTTTAGGAATGGTCATAAATGTTGTCTTTGAAATGCATCTTAACAACTTTTGAAAAGGATTATAAAATTGGTGCTCTAATTGGAAATGGAAGTTTCTCTACAGTATAAATAGTTTTAAATTAGGTTTATAAATGTTGGAACCATGAAGGAGAATTGTTTGCTGTGAAAGCTATTACTAAACAATCATCAAAATAATTAAAAATAAACAAATAATATGAGTTATAGTTATTAAGTGAGATCAATGCTTTAAGAGAATTTAATCATGATAACATTTTAAAACTACATTAAGTTTATGAAAATACTGAAAAATTATATTTAGTTACAGAATATATAAATGGATATGAATTGATTTCCAAAGCAACTAGTAAAATCCCTTATTCATCTAATGAATTATAAAGTTTTGTATATCAAATGTTGATGGCAATTCATTTAATACATTCATAAAATATTATGCATAGAGATATTAAACCATAAAATATAATGCTTAGAAATGGTTAACTAAACTCTCCAATTTTAATTGATTTTGGATTAGCTGTAAGTACATAAGTTAAAGATATTCCATTTCCTTCTTGTGGTTCTTTAGGGTATATATATTAAATTATATATTTAAAGTTATTCTGCTCCAGAAATTATAAGATTTGAAGAAACAAAAAAATAATATAATGGACAATGTGATATTTTTAGTTTTGGAGTTACTTTATTTTCTATGTTAAATTATTTAAATATCTTTAGATTATATGGTTATAATCCATTTAAAGGACATGATCAAAAATCAACAGTAAAAAGGAATGCTGATGCCTACTTTGAGATTCCTAGTTCTCAATATCCTCCAGAATGTATTCAATTTTATTATTCTATTAATAGTAGGTAATCTCATTTTGTTAATGACTAAAAAGTACCCTAAAGATAGAATTACTGCATAATAAGCACTTAATCATCCATTTTTTTAAGTTAAATTTTATTTGTAGATTTATTTACCAATGTCTATAATAACTAAATAATAATATGAGATGAGTAAAAATGATAAGAATATAAATGTACATACTAGTTTAGAAATGGATTGGTAATTTGGATTAAATAATTAATTTTTGAATTCTTCATGTTCCCCTTAAAATTAAAAAAATCGTACATCCACTGTTAATAGTAATCCTTAGAGAAAATTGACTATTCCATCACTAGATTAAATTGATGAGTTTCAATTAGATGTGTTTGAAGATTCTATTGAAACAAGCCATATAGAAAAATTGAAAATGAATCAAAATCACTTTTACAATCAAAAGAATTTATTGAATTCAATTCTCTGAAATGAGTTACTCACAAAATCTAATTAATTATAATTTATTAATTATAAACAGATATTATATTAAATAATCTAGAATATTTATTAATGAATTTAAACAAGGATCTCTTCTCTCTCTCAACCATTAATATTTAATATTTTTTAATCAAAATAATAATAACCAGATATCTTTACTTAAGTATTGATGGTAAGTTGACTTTATTGAAAAAATGGATGAATCATTTTAATAATTTTAAGGAAATAATAAATTCAAAAGATCCTGAAGTTAAAACACCATTATTTTATTCATGGTATTCAAATATTATATATATAGTTATTTTAACTTTAAAAATATTTTGATGTATTTGTTAATCAAAGGAGCAGATCCATTTCTAATATCTAAATCTGATTTAATGTATATCATATCTGTTCATAAAGAGGAAATCTTGAATGTCTTTAAATACTCTTGTATATGTTTAGACACAAATAAAATCTGATGAAATGGGAACATTTAAAATTAGTAATGTAAAAGTATCAATTTAAAAAAAACTGATTCATAAAAAGGCTAATTAATAAATGCAGATAAACATTTTAAATAAGTTCAATTAAGATTCTCCTAATTTTAAGCGATTCTCAGTGAATTATATTAATAATTTTTGGATTAAAATCTACAATATTTTCGTAGTATTAATGTTACTATAGATTATTTTTAAAGGAATCCAATACATTATGGTAGTTTATCTAAATATACTAAGTGCTTTTAATATATTAAATCATTAGCAAAGTTTGATTTCAAATTTTAAGGATGGGATTTATTTAATAATATTATTATGGAAGTGTAATTACTAATATAAACTGGGTATAAAAATATAAATCCCAGATAATATAAACATTATCATGAATGTAATTTTCTAAATTAATAACTACTTGAATAAAAACTACAAATTTTATTTATAATATTAAGAAATTATAAAAGGAAATTGTTAATAAATAGGATCACGATGGTTAATGATAAATTAAATATAATTTAAAGACACATATGCATTAAGCATCATTTTCTGAAGACTTTACAGCTATTAAATTTATGTTATTATTGGGAGTAGATCCTGAAATAAAAGAAAAGGAAAAATCAGGATACTTTTAGAATATAGATCAAATGATTCAGTATGAGAGTATTTGATGGACCTAAATAATGCAGTAGAAGAAGGAGATCATAAGAGTTTTACATTATTAGTAAATTGTGTTTAGAGAGTAAATGGAAAATCAACTATTTATGGGATAACTCCTGTCCATAAGGCTATCGAATAAATAATCTAATAAAACTATGTTAAATAAAGTTTTAGAAATAGATGCCTATGTAAATTTTATAGATAAAAATGGATGCTTTATATGGAGAATTATGGACAATAAGTACTTTAATAGAGAGATGAGCATATCACTAAATCTCATTAAATAAAGGACACTATCCTATCAATATAGCAGCTCTAAATAATTGAGCCATGACTGTTCAATTATTAATAGAAAAAGGAGCGAGTGGATAATTAATAAGTTATATTGACTTTTATGATAAACAAAATTTGTACTCCAATTCATTTATCAGTTAAAAAAGGTCATGATTAGGTTATTACACTATTATTTGAATCAGATTCTAATATATAGGCAGTTGATGAAAGAAGTTGGACTCCTTTACACTATGCATCATTTTATTAAAATAGAAATGTTGTTCATTTATTAAATAAGTATGATGCTGATGAAGATCGATACTATGCAATTAGAACAAGTAAAGCATAAAAAGCTGATTAGAACTAGAGGAGAAAATTATCTTATTGTCAAATATCCATTATCAGAGAAAGCAGATAAGACACTAAAGGACAAATGTATGAAATTTTGCTAATAAATTCATAGATTGTAACAGTGCTTTAGATTATGCAGAAAAATAAGATAATTAGAAGATTAAGGAATAGTTATAAGGATAATAATGATTTATTAATTCAATATTTTATTATGTTTTTTGAATTTGGTTTTTTTTTTATAGTTATAATACTTGGAGAGGAAATTGTATATGATGTTAAAAGCGCATGTAGATGTCAATAAATATTGAGTGAAGGTGATTGTAACTAAAAATGTAAATGGAATACTGATAAAAAAAAATGTTATGATAGAAAATGTTATGAAATAGAGGATGAAGAAGCATGTTTTATTAGAAATTGCAATTATATAGACAACTAATGTTAAAATTTAGATAGTTGTAGTGATATATTAGTTAAATTTTTTTGCAATTTAAGTTCTAAATGCATTTATGATGATTCAACTTAAAATTGTAGAGAGGAAATAGTTTAAGAATAGAATTGTGATTCCTTTTTTACAAAAAATGCATGTTCAAATTATGTTGATTCAAATAATAATTATTGTGTATGGATTGATAATGATGTTGATGAAGGATATGTCTAATAACCTGGACATGATTATGGTTCTTGTAAAAGTTATCCATTTTAAACTTGTGATAGTGCAAATTTAGTATTTAATCCAAAAGAATTATGTGAAAGAAATAGAATTTCATGTATGTGGTTAAATGATAGTTGTTAACAAAAGGATTGTCTTTTCATAGGAAATGATGAATAATTATGTAAAAATAGCTTTGCTTCTATTAAAGATGGAGATAAGACTTTATTATGTAGTTGGAATGCTTTGACACAATAATGTGAAAATGGGTTTGATATTTCAACATTGAAATAAGAAGAATGTTATTCTGAATAAACATTATTTTAATTAACATTTGATGATTCAAAGTAGAAATGCACAAAATGTCCTGGAATAGGAATGATTGTTATGTGTAGTCTATTAATTTAATTGATATTTTTATGAATTAATATTTACTAATTATAATTAAAAAATAAAAGATTGATGACAACACTAGTTTTTAGTATTTTATTACTGTGTGCATCTTCTCTAGAGGTTAGTTTATCTGAGTAATGCTTATGCTCAGAATTAAAGAGTAAGAATGATTGCATAATAAATTGTTCATGGGATAGTATTACAAGTAAATGTTAGGACAAATAACCAGAGAGTGATGCATCTACTTATCCAGTGAGTTAATTATGTTAGAATATTAAAAGTAAGCCAGAGACAGATTGTCCTATCACATTAGGATGTGCATATTATGAAGATAAAGACAAGAAATTATAATGTGAATAGTTTAGTGGGTGTTAAGCTTATACAAGGACTTCTAATGATGAATGTCAAAAAGTGTCATCATAATGTACAAGTGATGGAGTGATTTGTATTGACCCTTTAAAATGTGAAGAATATTTAAATCAAACTTTGTGTTTGTAGAATATAAGTACATCTGGAACAGGAAAATGTAAATGGTTAGAAACAGAGAAAAAATGTATGGATTAAATATGTACTGATGCACCAGAAACACTTAATACTAATGCTTAATGTAATAGATTTTTAAAAGGTTGTATTTCAACAGGTAAAGGATGTATACAAGAACTTTAAACTTGTTCTACCTATCCAAAAGATGATTGTTTAGGTAGAATAGGTTCTGATGGTTATTGTCAAGAGAAGGATGGAACTTGTTAAAGAATACCATGTAGTGAGGCACCTTAATATTAGCATGATAAACAATGTTAAACATTTTAAATTAATTGTTTAACCAATGGAAGAGGTTGTGTAGAACCTCCATTACAATTATGTTCAACCTATTAAGAAGAAGGCTCAAATTGTTTAGTTCATATAGGATCAGATGGTCGTTGTGAACCCACTCCTGATTAGAAAGTATGTAGAGAAAGGTAATGTAAAAGTTCAAAGGGAACTACTAATGAAGCATGTAATAATTACAAAGAAGGTTGTATTACTACAGGAGTAGAATGCACTGATAAATTAGAGTTATGTTCTACTTATTCTGATAATTGTGATGTCAGAATAGGATCAGATGGTTAATGTAAAACAGGAACAGGAACCTCTTGTGTATTAAGATTATGTACTGATGCTGATACTAAACTAAAAACTGATTAAGAATGTGAATAATTTTAAAAAGGTTGTGTTACTTCAGGTTCAGGATGTGTAGCTGTTGCAACCAGAAAATAATGTAAAGAATACAAAGGTACTAAGACAACATGTGCTCTTATTGTAGGATCTGATGGAAGGTGTAAAGGAACTGATGAAGTCAACGAGACCAATTGTATTATTGCTTCCTGTTCAGAAGCTCCAATAGAATATAAAACTCATGATCAATGTTCATAATTTCATTCAAATTGTTTATCCAATGGAGCTGGATGTGAAGATAAAAATACATGTTTATCAACTTAAAGTGAATTGGCTTGTAAAGGTACTTCTAATTGTTATTGGAATTCTATTTGTGTTACTGCATAATGTACATCATATACTACAATCAGTATCTGTAATCAGAATCAAGAAAATAATTAACCATGTTTTTGGACTGGAGCATCTTGTAGAAGACTTGAATGTACAGATGCTCCAAAAACTTATATTACAAATGAAGATTGTGAGAAATTCCTAACTGGTTGTCTCACAACTTTAGAAGGATGTGTTCATAATTTAAGTCCATGTACTTCATATACTGGAAAGGCAGAACAATGTTAGAGTTTTATAGGGAATGGTAAAAGATGTTGGGGTACTAGCAATGCCACTAAAGAACCTTGCACTGAAAGATTATGTACTATTGATACAACTAGTACTACAGATGAAGACTGTAATAAATTTTAATTCAATTGCAAAACTAAGGGAACTGGATGTATAAGTCATACAGAACCTTGTTCATCTTATTCTGGAGATTCTAATACTTGTGCTAAATATACTGGTTCAAATGGAAAATGTTATAATGATGCAGGCAGTACATCTGCATGTAGATTACTATAATGTATTGATAATACAACTGCAACAAGTGATGATGAATGTTCTAAATTTTTAATTGGTTGTTTATATGGAGGTGCTGGATGTATAATTTCAACTGAACCTTGTACAAGTTATACAGGTACATCTACAGAAATATGTTCTAAATTCACTTCAAATGGTGTTTAATGTTGGTGGGAAAATGGTTCTAATTGTGTTGATAAATCATGTGCTCATAATATAACTGCTACAACAGACAAGGATTGTGAAGAATTTCTTGTTGGTTGTGTTACTAATGGAGCAGGATGTTAACATTTTTCTCTTGAATGTAATGCATACAATGGCACTCAAAGTGCTTGTATGTAATTTAAGGGTAATAATAAACCTTGTACTTTAAGAAGTTAGTGTACTTAAAAATCTTGTACTGAAGTAACAAATCCTACTTCAAATGCAGATTGTATTGGATATATGAAAACTTGTAGATTTGATGGTTCAAAATGTATTGTTGCTTTACCTACTTGTGCTTCTTATACTGGAGATAGTACTTTATGTTAATCACTTTCTGATTCTAATAATGTAGGCTGTTGGCTTCCAACTGGAACTAATGGTTCATGTGTTAATAGATTATGTTCAGACATAGGATCAGCTTAAAGTTAAAAAGATTGTGATGATTTTTTGTTAGGATGTGTATTTGATGGATAATCATGTTAATAAAAATAAAATAATTGTGTTGATTATACTAATTTTACTTAAGATGGTTGCAAATAAGTTAAGACGATTAGTGGAAATAAATGTTGGAAAAATGATAATTCAATAGGTAATTGTGAACCAATATCTTGTGATAATAATATTGATTCACCTTCAGAAGAAGTATGTAGTTCATATTTGAGTACATGTGTATTTACAGGTACCAAATGTGTTGCAGCATAAAATTCTTGTACTTTGTATACAGATTTTACTATGGATGCTTGTAAAGTAGTTAAAAAAGTTAATGGTGATAAATGTTGGGCAACAGCAGATGGTACATGTATAGAGAGATAATGCAGTGATGTTGTAGCACCAACAGGAGTAGATCTAAACAATGATAATTGTGTTGAATATTTGTCAACTTGTAGATTAGGAATGTCTAATTTATGTATAGAATCCAGGGCTACATGTGCAGATTATGGACCAGCATTTTCTCCTAATGTATGTTAATAAATAACAGCAACAGATGGCAGTTAATGTTGGTTGGATTCTAATGGCCTTAATGGTTTATGTTAAGGAGCTAAGACTTCATGTATAGAATATACTTAGGTATCATAAGAACTATGTAAAAAATTAAAAGATGTAAATGGATAATTATGTTGGAAATCATCAGCAGGATAAGGTGTTTGTGAAGAAAGAAAATGTTCAAATTAAATTGCAAATATTAGTTAATAAAATTGTCAATTACATTTTTAATCTTATACTTCTGAAACATAATGTACATATTCAGGAGTTGGATAAATGTGCACATCATTATAAGATGATTGTTAGAAATATTCTGGTTTTACTTAATAATCATGTAGAACAGTGATAACAACTCTTGATAAAAAATGTTGGAAAACAGCTGCAGGAGTTGGAACTTGTGAAAATAGAACTTGTGATTAAAATGTTATTAATCCATCATTTGAAAATTGTTAGGCTCATCTTGCTATTTGTACTTTTAATGGTTAGACTTGTTAATAAAAAGAGAATTATTGTAATAGTTATACAAATATGTCTCCAGAATAATGTTAAACTATTATATCTAATATTGATGGTAAATGTTGGTCTGTATCTACTGGTATAGGTTCATGTATAAAGAGAACATGTGAACATAATACAACTTCAATATCAGATATTGTTTGTGAAGATTTTCTTAGTGGATGTGTAAGTAATTCAAAAGGGTGTGTTTTAGCATCAAATGCATGCAATACTTATATTGGTACAACAAGTCTATGCAATTCTTTTAATGGATGTAAAAGAGATGAAGATGCTGATGGTGTATGTGGTGTAAGAAATTGTTTGGATGATTAAGATTCTTTAACAGATGAAAATTGTAATAAATTTTTAGAGGGATGTGTTACTAAAGGTAAAGGATGTATTTCAAAAACTGAACCATGTTCATCATATTTAGGTAATAGAGAAACTTGTATGAAATTTACAGGAAATGGAAGAAGATGTTGGAATACATTAGATGCTACAAATAGAAGTCCATGTCTTGATAGATAATGTTCTGATAATGATTATAGTACAACAGATACAGATTGTGAAGCCTTTTAATATGGATGTGTAACAAAAGGAACTGGATGTATAGATAAAACATTACCTTGTTCAAAATATTAAGGTACTTAAACTACTTGTGCTAATTTTAGTGGATTAAATGGAACTAAGAAATGTTGGAATGTAATTACAGCTGTATCTACATCAGCTTGTATTGATAGATTATGTACTCATAATGCTAAATTAACAACTGATAAAGATTGTGATCAATTCTTAACTGGTTGTGTTACAAAAGGTACTGGTTGTGTAAATAAACAATTATGTAAAAACTTTTTAGGTACAATAAAAACTTGTCCTAATTTTTCTGCAACTGATAAACCTTGTAAAGGAGTCAGTAATGTTGTAGCATCTTGTGAATCAGTCAATTGTTATGAAGCTCCTAATACAGCAGATTCTGATACTACTTGTGATAAATTTAAACCTAATTGTAAAACTACTGGATTTGGATGTGTTAGTACTATTACTTGTGAAGATATCTAAACTAAAGCTGTTTGTTAAGCAAATCCTAATTGTGTTTATACATCTAATTGTAGAGAATTACAAAATGATTGTTCCATATTCAGAACTTAAAGTCTATGTGTTAGTACACCAGTTGTAGGTACAGCAACTTTGAAATGTTCATGGCATTATGAAGGTGGTAAAGGTGTATGTGGAAATTGGAAATGCACTGATGCTTCTAAAACAATTACCACTCATGATGCTTGTAAATTATTACATTAAAATTGCACTTCTTAAGGAAATGGTTGTATTGAAATTAGTCCTTGTGCAAGTTATACTACTTCAATTGTATGTTAAGCAGCTAAAACTACTGATAAGGGTGATACTTGTATTTGGGATAAAACATCTTGCAGACCCAAAAAATGTTCAGATGCATCCAAAGCTTTTAAAACTGATTAAAAATGTGATGGATATTTAAAAGATTGTTTAACTACTGGTTAAGGTTGTGAATCACGACCTTTTGGTTGTGATAAAATTATCACTTAAGCAAGATGTACTGTAGATACATAATTGAATCCTTGCATATGGTAAAATGGTAAATGTATTTCATATAAATAATGTTCTGATAATGTCAAAACTACTTTTGAAGAATGTTAAACTTTTGGAGAAAAATGTATTAGTGATGGTACAACATGTTTATCTATTACATTATGTGAAAGATATAAAAATGAAATTAGTTGTATATATGGAACAGATGGAGTTTGTGGATGGCTACCACCAAATGGATCAGATCCTGCAAAATGTGTTCTATTTAAAGAATGTAAATAAGCAATTAGTTCAGATAATGCTACTTGTGGAATATTTTCTAATTCATGTACTATATATAAACATTCTACATGTTCCACTTTACCTACATGTATAAGTGATGGTAAGTAATGTTTCCCTATTGGTAAATGTGATACTTACTTAACTGAATAAGCATGCTCTAATCTTGGTGTTGATGGTAAATGCTTTTGGGAAGTTAAAGATTCTAATACTAAATGTAGATTAAGAGAATGCACAGATGCTACTATTTAAAATGCAAATAATATTGTGACTCATTAAAGTTGTAATGCATTTTAAGCCACTAAGACTTGTACTACAGATAGTAAAGGATGTATCAATATGAATAAATGTGATAAATATGATAAAAATAGTTGTTTCTATGGAACAGATGGCGAATGCATTTTTGATAATGATAAATGCAGAATCAAAATTTGTTCAGATTTCAAAGAAATTACTAGTACAGCATGTAATCTTAAATTAAAAGGATGTATTTCTGATGGTATAACCTGTCTTGCTTAATCTAATTGTTCAACTTATAAAACTAAGGTTGCTTGTCATTCTAATGGAACTGATGGGATATGTGTTTGGAATGAAGTAAAAAATAAAGATGATACAGTAACATCCACTTGTAAACTTATGACTAAATGTGAAGATGCACATTAAGATTAAATTGCTTGTGAATTCAAAAAATAAGCATGTAGATATAATACAGATGCAAAAAGTAAAATAAGCACATGTATTTCTCATACTTGTGCATCATTGGCTATAGGCACAACATGTCTTCCAATATTATCTATTGATTCAAAAAAGGCTACAATTTGTGTACCAAACAAACCCATTTAGAATAACAATTCAACAACTGGAACTAATTCAACAACTGGTACTAATTCAACTACAGGTACTAATTCAACTACAGGTACTAATTCAACTACAGGTACTAATTCAACAACTGGAACTAATTCAACTATCAGTATACCATGCATAGAAGGGGATCCAACAATATTAGAATAACCATATTGTTTTAGTTATAGTTCTTATACTTATTCATTTGATTCATCTTAAGTTAAATGCACTAAATGTAAAACAGTTACAACTAATTCATCTACAAATTCTACTCCATCAAATAGTACTAATACTACTGAAGATGATAGTGGAGTAGTCATAACATTTACAACCATTTTAATGATTTTTATAGGATTGTGATTATGATTATGATTATGATTATGGATATGATATAATTATAAAGTTAATTTTTGATTCATTAAAATTCTATTTATAGAGAAATCTCTAATTATGATTAATGTGGAACCATAATATTTTAGTTCATTTCAATCTAAATTTTCTTAATCTCTTGTAAATGTCCAAATATTTTTGGAATAAATATTCATCACTCATCAAACTTTTTTTTATCAAAATAAATGTATTCAAATTATTCATCATTATATTAAGAGAAGAAATAGAGGTATTTTCAGTTCAAGATTATGAGTAAAGATTAAAATTTTATTTATCTATAAATTTAATAATATATTATTTTTTAGAATTCAGATTAAATTAAAAAAAAAAGATATTTCCTAATTATATATATTCCATTTAAATCATATAAATTATCAATTATTTCTAATTATCAAGATTTATATAATTGTATGTTTTTGTATTACATTTTGATTATAAAAATAATACGGGATATTTTCTTCAGCTTCTGCTAATCTTCCTACTTAAAGGGGTCAATATAAATACCAAGTAAATTGATATTTTAAATTACTTAAAATTTTTAAACAATTTCTACCTTCATGCTTTTTAATTGTCAAGGATACTTGATTGCAAATGACTAATCTAAACACGAAGTTTCTCTTAATGCATCTCCCCTAGGATTAACAATTAAAGTAAAGACTAATTCAAGTTAAATAGATGACAAGTACAGATTCCTAAATAGCTTTTATACCAAGAGGTACGATAGATAGCGTTCTAACATGGTTTCGTTCAATTAATGAAGGTATTTTTGACTATTAAATTTAAGTAAACAAAACAGGTACGTTGGATTTGGAAAGCATAGACCGTAACATTAAGGTTACAATTGATATTGAGTTATGTAATTTACAGAACTTGGAACGTCTTCTTCGTGGTAAAGTTCTGTTCAAAAGAAGACCTTGCTTTAAAAGAATCAATAGTATAGCCAATAATATTTGTATCAATCTAATATTATACTAGTTTTATTATAGATAGAAGGAACCAATAATTACATGGTTGAAAAGATGGCCTACTTTCCGCATGTGTCTTACGATACTTCAAATTTAACAAGATTTGTATATTAAAAACACTTATTATAACCAAGGAATAAATAAAGTAGGAATAAATGATTCTAAATAACTTAAGGGATCATCCTCATCCAAGTATAATATAATTGGAAGAAATTTCGTGTGATGATAATTCTATATCGATACTAATAGAATACTGCCCAGGAGGTGATTTACTAAAGTTTTTGAACCAAAATAATCACGATATCAACCATTAATTAGTGATGAAAAAATTGTTAAACGGTATTATATAAAAATATTTTAATAAGTTGTTTAACACCTTCATTCGTTGGACATATTGCACAGAGATATAAAACTTTAAAATGTTTTACTTAGAATTCCTAAGGATGTTAATAGTCTCGTTTTAGCAGACTTTGGGTTGGCTTGTCATAAATCATAAATCCCATATTATAATACTAGGTATGATGTTGTATCTTATAGATCTTTAGATGCGGAACACCTGGGTACACAGCTCCTGAGGTTTTCACATAATCCATATATGATTGCAAAGCTGACATATTCAGTTGCGGTGTAATATTTTTTAATCTGTAATTTTTTTCTTCTATTTGAAGATTAACATTAAAGAATCCTTTTGGATCCTCTAGAAATCCATAGGCTTTGCTTTTAAAAAATATAGCTGTGGATTATGAATTGACTCATTTGGATCTCATTAAGACCAGAAATCCTTTGGCTTATGATTTAGTCATTCAGATGCTACAAAAAGATTCTAAATTGCGACCTTCAGCCACACAATGTTTATAGCACCCATTCTTTAATTAAGTGATAGTAGAATAAAAAGAGGGTTCAACTTTTGATAACATTTAGTAAGTCTTAGGAATTACTTTATAGGTTCAACAATCCTATCCATCAAATGGTGAAAGTAAATTAAACTAAGCCTCATTAAATGCCATAGTTTAAATGATAATCTCCTTAGTTATCCAATTGATTAATTATGTATTATGTATTTATCATATTTGAATTTATATTATGAAGGTATAAGCAGTTGTTCATTATCAAATTTTGAATATAAATAGAAGAAAGTTCTTAAGAAACTCAAATTATAAATAAGTTTTAAAAAAATGAAAGAAATTTTGATATTTAATGAAATATAAATCTATATCATATTTCTGTTTGATCAAATCTGGAACAGCTGATTATTTGATTTGGTTGATTAGCCCAAGGTCTAAAGAATAATAAAGAATAAATTACATTGTGTAAAGTACAACTTCATAGATGATGGATTTTGAATCAGCATTCAAATATCTTAATTTGATATTATAGTTGATTCCAGCAACAATCTATTCTTGGATACTAGATATTGAATCAAATTAGAATCCTTCTTATTCAGGATTAAATTTCTTTGTAATAGCTTATCTAGCTTCTTCTACAATTTATCCATTAGAACTTGCAAATTCTTTTTGGTTAACTTCTTTCCATGAGCCTGTAGCTAATTTCTTTGATCCTCTCAATTAAGAAAAGTATTATTGATTATCAGTAACTGAAAGATCTATATTTTTAGTTGATGATGATCCACCGTAATTAGTTTATCCATTATAATTTTAATTAGTAGAATTATATTAATTGATAGTAGCATCAATATTGGTATTTGTTGTATTATCATTAGTAATTTAAACACTGTGAGCTTAACCAGAAGCAAAGTTATTATAACCGTTTGAATATTCAAATCCATTTTAAGATTATGATTAATAACCACTATCAGACTTATATTCACTAGTGTCAGAAACATTATAAGCATTAGTGTCATTATGAATATATGTTGAATCTTAGCTTTTGTATCCATTAGAATAATCAGTATTTGAGTAGTTCCTCCAATCATTTTATTAATTGGATGAGCTATAAGCTGAATCATATCCGACAGTAGATTAATTAACCAATGTGTAATTTTAAGCATAGACAACATTATCTTAAGAAGAATTAAAATTGCTTTGACTAGAGCTGGATGAATATACTGATTTATCTCCTTGATAGTTACTTGATGAAGTATAACCATTTGATTATGAATTTGAAATTTGGGTATTGTAATTATCATATCCAATTCCATCTACTTTCAAATAATCATCATTTGATTGATATGATGAATCTTTGTTGGAATAGGATGAACTATAACTTGTATAATTTTAGTTAAAGTTTTTATTTCCACTAAAATAATTTTAATTATTATAATTATTATTAGAATTTGAATAATTGCTCTTTTAAGTAGTACCATTATAAAATGAATCACCTGAATAAGATGATTATTATCCTTGACTTTAGTTATTAAAAGTAGCAGAAGCATAATTATAATCCTTATCATAATTGATTGATCCATATGATTATTTTGAATAATTATATGAGCTTTGACTTCCATTTTAAAATCCATTACCTGATTCTGAATTATAATTATTATAGGTTGCATTGAAATTACCATATCCATATACAACAGTACCATAAATTTCTTGATTTTATTTTTAAATTAAAGAACCTTATTATTTTGATACAACAATTGTGAAGTCGTAATTGATGGATCTATAGACAACATTTCCATATGGATCAAATTCTTAATTCAAGACCACCAAACTATTATTCTGATAAAGATAGTATTCATTATAACTTTATTTTTAGATTACTTCAGAATTATTGAATATAACAACAGTATTTTATGAATGATTTGATTGATTATAATAAGAAATTATTTAAGTGAAGTTGTTATTTTCAAATCTATTGAAACTATTTCTTAATTTAAGATGAACTCTTGTTTAATTAAATCTCTATCCTATTCTTGAACTATTTGTATAATTATTGTATTAGGTATTATTATCTGATGTTGAATTATAATAAGTATTATTAGAGGTATTATAAGTTGAGTTGTTATCAGATGTATTATTATAAGATGTATTATTATAAGATGTGTTGTTATATGATGTATTATTATAAGATGTGTTATTATATGATGTGTTGTTATAATCGTATTATGTACTATTAGTATCAATTGAGGTGCTGTTATCATAAATATCAGATGAATTAGTAGTTGAATTTTAAGTATTATTTAAGTAACATCCATTAGTATATAATTAATAACCCGAATAACATGAAATACAACCATAATAGGAATTACAAAGGGCACAATTAGGTTAACAATTTTCACAAGTATTATTTGATGTTAAGAATTATCCTGTTGAACATGTTATATTTGTAGAATTAGTATTATTTGTAGAGCTTTGGTTATCATATGTCACATAATTATTAACACCATTGTTGATTGGATATGAGGTATTATAATAATAATTATATGGATATGTTGAATTTGTTTAATTAGTTGTATTTGAACCATTACTTTGATTATTGTAAATATAAGAACTTGTAGGCTATGAATAATTTGTATATGTGTAATTATATGTTGAGTTAGGCTAAGTATAATTAGTGCCTGAGTTGTTGTAGGTAGTCTAGCCCACTTTTATAAATTATATGGAATCTTTTATGGAATCACCTAAATATTCATTAAAGACTTACTTTCATCTTAAACTTGATCTATTTCTAGAACTTTTTCCAATACAATGTCTTTCCCTAAGAGTTTCATAGCAACTATTGATTCTTTGATCTCAGGAATCTCATTCAATATTTTTTTCATCTTTTCTGGTATAACAACTTTATCGTTAGCAGTTACCAAGAAGACAAGTACGAAAAGGGTGAATAATTTCATTTATGATATTAAATTAATAATCTAAGAGGATCTAATTTTATTCTGATTTAAATACGATAAATTATATATATAATTAAATAAATCATTATTATTATTATATAATATTTAATTATTATTAGAAAGATTTTTCTGGAACTGAAAAATTAATTTACTTTTAATGATTTTATTCATAGTTTTGCTTTCTTTGCTAGAATTCATAATTTATTATTTCCAATTCTTTTAGTTTATATTTATTCTTAAAAAATTGCAATTTTATCAGATTTAAATTATATTATGCAATTTTTCAAAACATTATTTCATGCTTGATTTAAATAGGTTGTCTTTTAAATTAAGAATTATAAGTAAATCATTGAAATAAATCCATAATAAGAAATTTGAGAATGATTATTATGATTGTTAAAAAAAATATTAATAATTTTAAGGGTTGGTCTTAATCTGACATAAGCACAAAAAAATAATTAAAGATATTATTCTAATAAAAATGAAAGTTTAAATCGCATTAGTTCTTTTACTTGCTTTAGTAAGTGCTCAAACAGGAGGATGGAAGAAAGTATTAATGAGTATTTATGCTAGTAAAACACTACAATCTTCTAAGCAACCAACTCTAATATTATTAATGAGGCTTAAGTAGCAGTTCAAAACAAATATCAACCAGAAGAATAAGGTTATGACTTTGAATAAGTTATTTCTGTTGAAACTTAAGTTGTAGCTGGAACAAATTACAATATAGTATTGTAATATGGAAATGATGAGGGATCAATCTAATAATATGATGTCATTATTTACTCAGCGTATTTATTATTAAATTATGTAGTCCTTGGAATGGATAAGATCAAATCACTAAATGTGAATAAATAAATGGATCATCAGCTTCATTCACATAAAATCAAGCCACCAGTAATGAAAGTTAGGAATAACCTAAATTATAAATAACAAAGCCAAGTTCATTAAGATTGAAAGTCAGAAGATAGGATAAAGCTGATAGTCATGCTACTGGAACATGGGAAAATGTAGAAATATTATAATATATTATATTAGATTAATCCAGAAGTCTTTGAGCAAAGCAATGAGAACATTATTAATTAAGCTAATATTGTTGTTGCTCAATAATACAACCCATAATAATAGGGTTATGAATTTGATGAAGTATTGGAAGTCTAAACTTAAATGGTATCTGGAACTAATTACAATATTAAATTGTTATATACAAATGGAGAAGGATCATTCTAGACATATGATGTATACCTTTACATTTGGTATTTTATTAAATTTATATTAAGTCCTTGGAATCCCTCAGCAAATTAATACAAGGCTACCTTAACAGGAACCTATTCAATTTGATTTATTGATCATTCATTAAAATATAATTTAAAATTATAAAATTATATTATTAAATGAACTATTAATTCACTGTTTTCCTTATGATAATTTTGAGAATGCATCCTAGAATTCTTATTCTGATACATTAGGTAATTATTCCCAATTTGAAATGGATGCCCCAGTTTAGCATCTATAAGGATTAAATTTGATAGGTAAATTATTAAATAATTTTGGTACAACATTAACAAAGGCAATTTTTTTCAATATAATTACAGCTGCAACTATAGCAACTCCTCCTGCAATTGTTCCAACTGCAATAGGGATTACTTGTTATTCAGTTGTAGTGTTTTAAATACATGTTTGATTTGTCTATAAACTATATCCAGATTAACAAGTTGTACAGGTTTCTGCTGAACTACAATTTTAACAATTTTCAACTGCACAAGCTATAATAATTGATATAAAATCTTACATATGCATGTTTAATCCTCAGTACTATAATATTGACCTTCATCACAATCATTTCCATTTTCTTCACTCTCTTCTTATCCATTATCATTAGGACATATTGAACATTAGACAGAATTAGGACTTTAACATTATGGACAATTGGATGGACAGACAGAACATAAAGAATCTTTTAAGCAAAATCCAGATTAACATTATGTACATTAAGTAGAAGTACAAATTAAACAATCAGATGTACAAGCAACACATTATTTATTTTCTAATCTGTAACCTTAACTACAAGAAGTACATTAATCATTTGTGCATGTAGTACAATTTGTAGGACAACTAATACATTTGTCAACATCAAGATAATAACCATTATTACACTTTTGACATGTAGTATCAGTTGTACATTCTTGACAAGATTAATTACATTAGGTACATTATTATGATTGTAAATAATAACCAGTTTTGCATTCAAAACATTCAGTACTTGAACAAGAATTACAATTTTCTTAACATTTAACACAATTAGTTTGATCTACATAATATTATGGTTTGCATTAAAAACAAATATTAGCATCACAAAATACACAATTTGTATTACATTACTAACAATTTTTATCTTTCAAATAATAACCACTCTTACAAGACACACATTATTAAATAGTACAACTTAAACAATTTGAATTACAAGAGACACATTATTTTGAGGTAGAATCTAAATAATACATACTATCACATTGTTGACATTCTTGTAATGTACATTTTAAACATCCAGTTTAACATAATATACAAGTATTTTAATAAACTTAATATGGACTTATACATTAATTACATATAGTTGATGTACATGATAAACAATTAGTTTCACACTTTTCACATAATTAACCATTATTGTAATATCCAGTTTGACATTTTGTACATTTTTCTGATGTACATGATAGACAATTCTCAACACATGGTTCACATACAGAATTTACTTGATTATAGTAATATCCTGTTTTGCATGATTCACAATTTATTTCTGATGTACATTTTAAACAATTCTACATACATTGTGTACAATTAGTTCCATTAATAAAATATCCAGTTTAACATTCATTACATTATGAGGAAGTACATTATAAACAGAAATTTGCACATTTCACACAGTTTTAACCATCAGGATAATAATTTCCCTTACATTCAAAACAGTTTAAATTTGAACATTAGGTACAATTAGGATTACAAGATACACAAGTTTGATAATCAGCATAATAACCACCATCGCATTTTGTGCATCCTCTATTTGAACACTCTTAACAATGACTTTCACAAGAATTACAAGTATAATCATTTTTATAATAGGTATGTCCATCTTAAATACAAGATGTACATTTAGTAGCAGATTCACATAAAGTACATTTTGAATTGCATTAAATACAATTAGTACCATCTAGATAATAACCATCTATACAAGATGTACATTAGGTACTACTTGTACATTTTAAACAAGGAGAATTGCATGCTAAACAATTTTTGTCATTTGATAAATATTAGTATTAATTACATGATGTGCATTATGTTGAATTTTGACAGGTTACACATTATGAATTACAATTATAGCATTTGTTATCTGTAATATCAATATATTAATAACTTAGACAACTTGTACAATTTGTAGATGATACATAACATTTTATACATGAATCATCACATTCTTTACATTTATTTTAACCTAATTCATCCCAATCATAATATTAATGATCTTCACAAGTACATGTTGTACATTATGTACATAATTCTGGATTTGTTAAAATATATCCATATTCACAAGCTAGACATTCACCAGATGATATTTAACAATTTCTACAATTATTTGTTCTACATTTTGGACATACTTTGTTTATGGCAAGATAATATCCACCAATACAAGAAGTACAAGCATCTTCTGTTGATTTACATGTTTTACAAGGAGCTTTACATAATAGACAATCACTTGTTCCTTCATAATATCCAACATTACATTCATCACATTTTATATATGATGATTATTTTACACATGAATCTTTGCATTTATTCGGACATTTTAAACATTCATTACCATCTAAAAAATATCCTAAACCACAACTTGTACATATGTTATTAAAAGTGCATAATACACAATTAATTGAACAAACTAAACATTCTTTATTAGATAAGTAATATCCAGCTAGACAACTAGTGCAATCACTTGTACTTTCTGAATTGCAACCTAAACAAGGAAGTGTACATAATTGACATGTTGCATCTGCCTTCAAATATTAATCTGCTCCACAACTAGTACAATGATCTAATTATCCAGAACAAGTATTACAAAATAAACTACACTTACTACATATTTATTAATCTTCAATAAAAAAATATCCAGTTATACATGATTAACAATTAGTTGCAGAAATACTACATTATAAACAACCGACAGCACATTATACGCAAGTAGAATAACTAGCTAAAAAGTAATTAGAACTACAAGATGTGCACTAAGTTTTAGTGTTTAAACATGTTTGGCAAATAGTATCACAAAATTAACATGTTCCATCAGAATCAGCAAATGTTCCTGGTAAACATGTATCACATTCTGTTTGATTAGAACATTTCATACAATAAATTATATTAGTACAATCTTGTAAAAGACATTTATTATTTGTATCCAAGTAATAACCATCTTAACAAACTGTACAATTTTCAGCATCAGTACAAATACCACAATGTTCATCATTACATTATTCTATACATTAATTTAAATTATTCAAATAATATCCAATTGAACATTAAACACATATTGTTGATGATATACAATTATGACAATTATCACTACACTCCTAACATATCTAATTATCCAAATAATATCCAGTATTACATGTCTAACAATAATTTTCATTAGAACAAAGTTTGCATTCTTTTTAGCAAAGTTTACATGAATTTTCATAAATATAATAACCATCTATACAAGAAAGGCAACTTGTTTCATTATTTGAACATGTTTTACATGGTTACTTACATTATTCACAATAATTTGATAAATCCAAAAAGTAGCCATCATTACATGTTTTACATTAATTTTGTTCTAAACCATAACAAGTTAAACATTTGATATTACATGGTAAACATTAATCTGTTTTTATTACTTTCACAAAACCAGGATCACATGTTGAAGTTTGTTATTCACAAATTTTAGATTCATTTAATAGATAACCATCATTACAAACTGAACATTAAGTTTAATTTAAACATACTTTACATTATGCAAGAGTACATTAATTACAAACATGATTTGATAAATAATAACCAGATATACAATCTAAACAATATGTTTTTGTTGCTGAACAATTTAAACAAGGCTATTAACATTTTTCACAAGTATTTAAACTTTTAAAATATGTGGGAGAACAAGTATTGCAAACAACCACATTAGATTAAAATTTACAATCTTTTGTACAATTAATAGGACAAGGTAGACAACTGTTTACATTTAGATAATATCCATTTATACATGATTGACATGTATTTGAATCTTGACAACTTTAACATTACCAATTGCATTAAAGACAAATATCTTCATCTAAATAATAACCAATTTAACATGATGAACATTTATTATTAAAAACTGTACATGTATTACAACCTTATGAACAAGATAAACATTTATTATCAGTAGCCAAATAATTTGAATTTTCACAAGATAAGCATTCATTTTTAGAATTCTAACACATTACACAGGGACTTTCACATTTGATACATTTACTATTTATTAAAGTATAAGAGGAAATACATGAAGTACAATTATCTGATTATTCAAAACAAGTTGTGCATTAATCTATACATTTCAGACATTAATATTAACTTAAATAATATCCAGGTATACATTAAGTACATTAAGAACTATTTGAACATTTTTAACAAGGACTTTAACATTTATTACAATATCCAATACTATTGTAATATCCTTCAATACATGATTAACAATTATTCATTGCTGTGCAAGATGTGCAAGTTGAAGGACAATTTACACATTATCCAAAATTATTACTATATTTTCCAGTTATACAAGTAACACAATAATTTTCTACACTACATTTTACACAATATGGTATATCTGTACATGAGTAACAAGTTTTATCTTTATGATAATATGTGTCTATACAAGAAGTACAATCAATTGATGAACTACAATTTACACAAGGGGCTACACAAATTTAGCATTCAGATGATTCATTTATATAATAAGTATCTAAGCATTTAGTGCAAACATTTTTAGATGTACATGTAATACATGGACTTGTACATTTAAAACATTATGAATTTTCTTTATAATATCCTTCATCACATTTTATATTTGGAGAATTACAAGGAGGCAATGAACCATCAGGACAAGTTATACAAATACCATCTGCACAAGTTATACAATCTAAGCTTTTACAGGGTTCATAGCATTAAGATTAATTTGTTGTCTCATATTTACACAAACAATTTCCATTTTGATTTACTCTATTTAATTAACAGGTTCTGCATTATTCTATATTTTAATAAAAATAACAATCATCACAATATTTCTGACATCCATTTATTAAATTCATCAAATTATCCATTAATATATCACATTCATTATCACTTAAAAATGTAGATTTTGTATATCCAACATAAAAAAAATACATAACCTAATATATTGAATAGTCTTCTGCAAGAAATCTTCTTCTTGTACTTGATCCTGTTACTTCCTCTTAAGTTAATATTACTTAAATATAAACTCCCTGATCTTTAAAATATTAAAACATTCCTGCATTCCATTACTTATCTAATAATCGACTTGTATAATAATAAGAAGTTGATCCAACTGAAACAATTGAACCAAATTTCCAAAGAACACTTTATAAATCTTTTGGTTATATGTATCCAACTGCAAATACATTTTTATCAAATTATTAATAGAACTAACCAAGAGGAATAACATCCGTATTGTAGAAAAATTACTTCTAATTTTTTTCTAAATCAAAATAATATTTTTAGAATGAACTCTATGCAGTATCTTATAAGTAAGAATTCTTAATCAGAGTACTCAATTCACTTATAATATTACTATTACTAGCAAAAAGGTTTGTGACTGCTTACCAATATTGACGAGATGTATCAGTCTTGAATTTAAATGTAAGCAATCTCTTATCCCAAGTATCAATTTCACATGCATATTAATATGGAACTGCTTAATATCCTGATTTACAAACACAATCATTATTTACTAATTATCTAAATGTGATAGATTCATCACCGCAACTTAAACAATAATCTCTTTTAGAAATATCACATGTAATACAATTTTCAGAACATTCTAATACTTAATTTATTATTATATACATAAACATTAAGGAGATTTTAATGATGTTATTTCTATAAACCCATCTTTACAAACACATTTACCATCTTATAATTTTCTTGTATTAGTATCACAAGTCGTACATTTTGTTCCATCAGGATAATCACAAGTTAAACAACTATAATCACCTTAATTATAATGAATCATAGTACAATTTATAGCATAACTTTCTTAGAAATGAAGAAAGCACATTAGTAGTAATAAAATCATATTTACTATTGAATTTAATTATAATTTGAAATAATATATATACATCAATTTATTCTATCTGCCTATTTACAGTAAACTAATTTACATTGAAAGTCAATAACATACTATTTAATAAATTTTTATATATCATTAGTTAAGGTATAAAAATTTAATAATTAATATTTTAAGCTAGTTTATTTATACAATCTCTATCTCTTTCTTCATTTATTTATTATTTCTACACAATATTATATTCATATAAGACATATCAATTGATATTCAATTTAAAATATTTATAAATTTATTAGAAAATATATAAATTGATATTTAAATCTTAATTATTTCAATTCTTTCCAAATAATTTAAATTATTAAATGATAGCAATAATATATTTCTTATTCCTAATTACTAAATCAACTGTATCTATATCAACCAATGCTTTTTGTGAATGCTAAGAGTTTCAAACCTCAATTGAATGTGCATAATAAAAGGATTGTAAATGGTCAACAACTTGTAAGGATAAAATCTGTAACGATTTCATTGAAGAATCAGAATGTGATAGAGCATTTGGCTGTGCTTGGAATAATAATTTATAATAATGTACCTAATTCACTTCTTGTTCTAATTATAAAGTAAAAATGCCCTAATCATGTTATTTGAAAGATGAAACTTGTATTGCTGGAAATAAAAATTCTGATGGAACATATATATGTTAACAAGGTACAATTATTTGTAACTAAATCGGTGATTAAAAACTTTGTGATTCTGGGTTGTATCAAAACCAATAAGAAATATGTTCTTATTCATAATCTTCATGTCTAGCTATTGATATTTCTAAATGCTCTACAATTACTGAAAAAATTCTCTGCACTTCCTTAAAATGCTCTTGGTCAATTTCTAATTAATCATGTTTGGTAGGAACATGTTCCCAATATTTATCTTATGATATGTGTACCTATGTAAGTGCTGAGAAAATTGGAACTAAGATCCTTTGTATATGGCTAAATAATTCTTGCATTGAAGCAAATGATGTTTCTGCTCTAACTTCATCAAATTGCTTTATTAATACAGGTGGATCATATGCTTGGATATATGGTAAATGCATAGAATGTAATGGTATCAAATTTGATACTTTGTTTGTTTTAAATGTTATTCTAGCTGTCCTAATTGCTTTCATGTTATGATTTTATTGCTTTCTTATTAAAGTATAGAATAATTGTTTTATAGAATATTCGATATAATTTCTATTAATTTCTATATCATATTTTATGAAGTGCATTTTAAATTATATAAAATTTAATCACTACTTTTTTAATTTCATTTCATTTTACAATTTAAATAATTCAATTTCTTAAAATAAATAAACTCTTAATATATTTCCTTTTAAATATTGATTTTATATTAGATATAATAATTATCATCTTTTTCCTTCTTTATACAATATTCACATCTAATTTAAATTAAAATATATTAATTTTTAAGTTAATTAAATACTGTTTTAATAAGATTGGAATTTCTTAATTTAATTTCCTAATAAAACTCTAGATATAATTCTATTATATTATGCATATATAGATAATTTAGTTCTATCTAATTCTTCATTTTATTGTCAAACCACTGATCAATTATCTAAAGATTTTTTGATTAATTCATATCATTAATTAATAAATCATTAGAGATTTGATGATATAAAATTCTTTTAGTAGCTGATCTTTAAATATTTTGAACATTATTAATTATAGCTTATTTTTTATTTAAGATTCTAAGATCTATGTTAATTCCTAATTTAAATTTATTTAGTTGTAATATCATTAATTACATCTGTTGGGTAATTATCTAATTAAATCAAAATCTACTATTCTTTTTAAGCACATCATTCAATTTATTATTTGATAGCAATCTATTCTAGCTTATATTAAGTCTATCTTAATATAATCAATCTTTTTTTGTTTAAAATACATAGTAAATTAATTTATATCAATTACTTATAGAATAAAATTTAATAAATTCAATAAATTTGGCAAATAAAAAATATGCTTGAATATATATTATATTTCAGAAAAGACTAATCGATTTATTAATCATTTTTCATTAAAATCAGAAATTCTCATCATTAGTTAATTTAATTAAGTTGACTTTATATTTTTGAAATAATTTATAATTTATTTATTATGGGAATTTTATTTATTTCAAGTATTGATTCTTAATTATATATTCCTTATTAATTACAATGATATGATATTAAATTACAATGACTTAATGACAGCAGGATTGTTTTTAGTTTTAGAATACTTTATATAAAATTTTGAGCTAAAAATAAATTATAAGAGAGAGAAATGGTTGATATTAAAAATATATTTATGAAATCTTTGATGTTTAATGGTCAATTTAATTGTTGGATATTTATTAATAAATTTTATCAAATTCGTTAAAAAACACTAATCTCTTATCTTTTAATTAATTTTTTTATTTGTTTAATGAGAGGTACTCACCAATTAATAACACAATTTGAACTCAATAGATATACTCTACCTTTGATGGAAAAGAATATGTGCATTACTTTTTTAAAAGATCTACTCTAACAAAATCCAATTGATATGGACTTTATTCTTGCTAATACTTAGCCATCTCCCCAAGAACTAAAATAGTTAACTATAAAATCAAATATTCTGTAATTAATAAAGGAGGATAAAGATCCATTGATTTAATACCATAAATTTGACTATGCTTAATTAGATAACATAATCCCAAAGAAGAATAGAAATAAAATAAATGAAATTAAAACAAAAGTTGAAACTCTACTAAATAGTAATAATATCGAACCTCCTTTGACTATAAAGAAGAGGTATAAATGATATTAATTAGATAGATGGTGGACAGAAGAAGAAGACTAATAACTTAAAGAATTAGTCACATAACATGGTGCCAAAAATTGGAAAAAAATAGCATCTTATTTTGAAGATAGAACTGATGTCTAATGTTTACATAGATGGTAGAAAGTACTAAATCCAGATCTTGTGAAGGGTCCTTGGACTTAAGAAGAAGATGAATTATTAGTTAAATTAGTAACAAATTGTGGACCAAAGAATTGGAGTTAAATTGCTAAACATTTACCTGGGAGAATTGGTAAATAATGTAGAGAAAGGTATTTAATTATAATATTCATATAGATTTCATAATCATTTGGATCCAAAAATAAATAAGGAAAGATGGACTGATGAAGAAGATTAAACTATAATTGAAGCTCATAAAAAATTAGGAAATAGGTGGTCTTTAATAGCAGGGTTATTAAAAGGAAGAACTGATAATTCAATTAAAAATCATTGGAATAGCACATTAAAAAGNTTAAATTACAATGACTTAATGACAGCAGGATTGTTTTTAGTTTTAGAATACTTTATATAAAATTTTGAGCTAAAAATAAATTATAAGAGAGAGAAATGGTTGATATTAAAAATATATTTATGAAATCTTTGATGTTTAATGGTCAATTTAATTGTTGGATATTTATTAATAAATTTTATCAAATTCGTTAAAAAACACTAATCTCTTATCTTTTAATTAATTTTTTTATTTGTTTAATGAGAGGTACTCACCAATTAATAACACAATTTGAACTCAATAGATATACTCTACCTTTGATGGAAAAGAATATGTGCATTACTTTTTTAAAAGATCTACTCTAACAAAATCCAATTGATATGGACTTTATTCTTGCTAATACTTAGCCATCTCCCCAAGAACTAAAATAGTTAACTATAAAATCAAATATTCTGTAATTAATAAAGGAGGATAAAGATCCATTGATTTAATACCATAAATTTGACTATGCTTAATTAGATAACATAATCCCAAAGAAGAATAGAAATAAAATAAATGAAATTAAAACAAAAGTTGAAACTCTACTAAATAGTAATAATATCGAACCTCCTTTGACTATAAAGAAGAGGTATAAATGATATTAATTAGATAGATGGTGGACAGAAGAAGAAGACTAATAACTTAAAGAATTAGTCACATAACATGGTGCCAAAAATTGGAAAAAAATAGCATCTTATTTTGAAGATAGAACTGATGTCTAATGTTTACATAGATGGTAGAAAGTACTAAATCCAGATCTTGTGAAGGGTCCTTGGACTTAAGAAGAAGATGAATTATTAGTTAAATTAGTAACAAATTGTGGACCAAAGAATTGGAGTTAAATTGCTAAACATTTACCTGGGAGAATTGGTAAATAATGTAGAGAAAGGTATTTAATTATAATATTCATATAGATTTCATAATCATTTGGATCCAAAAATAAATAAGGAAAGATGGACTGATGAAGAAGATTAAACTATAATTGAAGCTCATAAAAAATTAGGAAATAGGTGGTCTTTAATAGCAGGGTTATTAAAAGGAAGAACTGATAATTCAATTAAAAATCATTGGAATAGCACATTAAAAAGAAGATTGAAAATGTAAAATAGATGGGAAGATCTATAAGTGTTACCTAGATAGGATGAGACTCAAATTAAAGGAGTACCAAGAAGACAAGTATAGAGAAGAGTTATGTACTATAAAACACCTGAAAAGTTGATTAAAAGAGATCCAGTTTCAAGATAATTAAATTTCTTAACTCCATATACTAATAGCACTCCAAGTAATTATTATTTTAAATAGATTAAGAATCTGAAGCTACTCCTAAAAATTTAAGTATAGTATATCCAAATTTATCAACCAAAGATTCAGAGATGATGTAAAATTATTAATATTCTCATAGAGATTCATGTTAAATTTTATTCAAATAATTAAGTGAATTAACTAATATGGATCTTGATTTCAATAAATAATATAGTTACAAATGATATATTATATTAAAAATACATTTTCTCAATTTGAATCTATGAAAGATCTTATATAATTAAGTTCTTTTTGTTTTTAAAATAGTTTATATATATGTACAAAAAATTTTATAGTAATAATTTATTAAAGTTGTTTCATGATGTAATTTGTTATCTTTAACTTTTTATACTATAGTTACCATAAGTCTGAAAATTATAAAATTATTCTTATTTGAATTCTAAATTATAAAAATAAATAAAATGAAATATTTCATTCAATTATTAATGATTTTTTAAATAAATTGAGCATTACTTAAATTTGTTGAATAAAAAATCTAATTATTAATAATGAAAAAATATTTAAATTTTTGATTATTAAGGTAAATGCTGGATATTTAAAGAGTATCAAATAATTAAAATACGTTTGCAACACATCATAGATGAGTTAGTCTTTCATAAACAAAATTAATTTTATTAGTAATTTCAGTTTATTTGCATAAATAATTATTCTTATTAATCTATTTCAATATGCAATAAACGCAATTAAATATATATGTTTTAAAATATCATTCAAGACTCAATTTGCTCAGAGAAAGAGATATCTGAATAGGATTTGCACTCTCCTCACACTATGGATTTGGAACCATTTTCTGATTTTGAATCCAATTTTCATTGTACCAAATTTTTCTTTATTTTACTATATAGTGTCTTTTTTTACCGAGGAACCAATCCTAGAATGTCAAACTGAAGTTTCTCAGATAGCATTGAAGATTAAAGAAGAGGACACTAATTCTAATCAGTAGAATTAGGAAATAAATAAAAGAAAATAGAAAATTTGGAATGATGAAGAGGATTAAAGATTAAAATATCTATTTAATTACTATCAAGGAAAATGGAACGAAATCGTTAAAAATATGCCTTAAAGAAATGCATCATAATGTCAATAAAGGTGGAGAAGAATCAATCCACCAAAAGAAGTATTATCTTTAATTTATTAATGAATAGACAAAGCATATATGGACTTAATAATAAGATGACCAATTAAAATTATTAGTTCAACAATTTGGAAGATAATGGATGAAAATAGCTAAATGTAACTATTATTTGTATTCAATTTATAGTCCTTGGAAATATAACAGGAAAATAGGCTCGTGATCGTTACATCAATAAGTTGGATCAATCAATAAATAAAGAGCCATGGACTTATGAAGAGGATATGTTGGTTTTAGATTACTTTGTTAATCATGGACCTAAATGGACAAAAATCTCTAATTTACTAGTTGGAAGACCTGTAATAAAATTTCATTCTATATATAAGGAAAATCATGTTAAGAATCGATTCTATAGTTTCATTAAGAGAAATTACCTTGGTGAACAAAATCGATACCAAATTATTTATTCTTGAATTGCCTCTCAATTTCTCATCCTATGATAAGGAGGGGCTAAAATATTTATTGAGTTATATAAGCATAGCGTTATAACGTATAAACAATCTATTCTGTTTCCATTAAAGTGAAAGACATATCAAACTTCAATTTGATATAATTAAAATAATTCAGTTTTTTCATGTTAATAATTTCTAACAATAATTAAAATATATTCTGATAATTAATAATTATATATAAATACATTATTAATAATATTTTAATAATTCATCTAAAATCTTTAAATTTGAATATATATATTCACAATTGACTCTAAGCTACTTGAATAGTTTATATATTTAATAAATAAATTTTATATATATATTTAAAAATTTTATTATATTATTTTAATATTTGAACTGAAGATAGCATAAATTAATTGACATTTTGATTGCGATTATAAGAAATCGATATTAAATTTATCTTAGTTTAAAAAATGAACAAAAGAAAATTGAAAAATTATCGATAGAGATTGTTTTCAATAAAATTGTTATTAATTATAATTAAAATATAATCGGTTAGCAATTTATGGGTTTTCAATAAGAAAATGAATAAAAATTGCAAATTATCTACATAAATACATGATTATTATATAATTATTATAAAATATATACTTTTAGAAAATATCTTTTTTGAAATTATTTTATAATAAATATTATAATTCTCAATTATATATATTAGTGTTACATACTTTAATTGCAGTGTTAAATAGTGTGAAAAGAAATAAGATTTTAATAATTATTATAAAAAAATTTAATGGGTCCCATAAGATAGTTATAAGCGTTTGTATGTGCCTAGACATTTTGGCCATAGTTTATGATTAGATTTTTTTAGGCTGAAAAAGGGCCATTTACAATCTTTTTCTATTGTCCTTTAGCCAAATGGGGAATATCAATAGCCAATATAAATGACATGATCAAGAAGCCTGTTGAAACAGTAAATCCTGTTTAGTAATCAGTTATAACATTAACTGGAACCCTTATTGCTAGGTATTAGATAACATTATTAATTAGATGGTGCTGGGTATTATCACCAAGATAATATATGTTGGTAGTGTGCAATTCTGTGATGGCATGTACAGGAATCATTCAATTATGGAGAAAACAGTATAGAATCTAAATAAATTATTAGTTAAGCTGGTCTCTTATTTTGAAATATTATAAGTATGTTTCGAATATATAAATTATGAATAGAAGTATCTTTATATACAACAAGTATTTAAATATCAAGTAATCATCTATACATTTTTGGATCAATTCCATAGATTAGAACATGCCAATCTAACCACTTTTTAATAAATTCAAATAATTGATTACTTTAAATTGAAAGACCAAGTCCATATTATTAGTGTAAAAAGGATTGGCATTTTCTCTTCTTTCATCCCACATAAAGACAAACCAATAACAACCAAATCTCTCTCTTAATCTTCTTGATATAAATGATGCTTAATCCTTCATTGAAGATTAATATAAAGACTCAAAAAAGATAGCTCTTATTTCTTCAACAAGGAATACATTAACTCTAGTTCCTTATTTGATTATCTTATGAATTTAAATAGATTAATTACTTCTAATGGGTCTTAGTATTACATATTAGTTGTTAATTTATTTTAAATAACTAATAATACAGATAAACTTTATTATTTTAGAGAAGACACAAATGAAATGGTTGGGTATTATGATTTTAATTGTACTTAGATAAAATAAATGAATCATTCCTATTAACTAGTTCTTTTAATTTAAGATTATGATCCAGTTGGTCCAGTTACAGTTAAAGTATTACCAGCCCTTGATGTAACAGTTTTTATGTAAAAACAACTTCCTCAATTTCAATATTAAATTTACTTTCCTTGATCCACTCTTTTTAAGAGATTCTAATTCTGCTTAACACATAGTCAATTCTTCCTTACATTTATTGTATTCATGATTTGTTTTAATGAACTTCGATTTCCAAACTTCAACTTCTTATGATAGATATGTGACTTTCTCTTAAATAACAGTAGTTCCTTAAGATTCTAATTCAGTATATCTCATTCTCCACTCATTTAATTCTGTATCATTGTTTCTAATTTGAATTTATAATCTTTCAATATCAGTAGATATCAAAGCTAATTTATTCTAATATAAATTAATAGATTATTACTTCATAATCTCTTATTTACATGATTAGTTCATTATTTTTAGTATATGATTCTTATTCAATGACTGAACATTTGTTTTTCTAACTTTAAATATCTTAATTTGCTTATTATAATAATCTTTCAAGTTTAGAACTTTCATCTTTAGATAATCTCAATTGATTTTCTAAATCTCTTAATTAACTTGTATCCTAAGCATTTGTTTATAATCTTGATATTTATAATCTAAGTTATTAGATTTCTGAATCTCTATTTTAAAGTAATTGTTTAAGTCTATCATTTTCTTATTATGATTAACTTAATTGAAGTTCTAGATCAGAAATTTATCTTCTTAATCCTGCAATCTAATCTTCCAATTAAGTTCTCATGGCAAAGAATTCAGCTTATAATGAAGCAGCATCAGCAGCATTAGCACTATGTAATGTTACATCTCCTCTTAATTAATCTAATTATGATTCATAATTATTTCGCATTTGCATCATTTAATTTTTTAGTTAATCATTTTCTCTACGTAATTATTGTAATTAACTTTCTAATTATTCAATTCTTGTATTATCTGTGACTACTTTAACTACTTCTTTTCAACAACTTTTGCTTCCTTTCTTCTCTCTAAATCAGCAATAATTGAATAAAGATATTCACATTCCAATCTCCATGGAGTTTCTATTTCTTCTTTTGAAACAACTACAATGTTCATACAAAGAGGTGGAGCTTGTTGACAATTTTATTAAACACTATATGTTCCAGGATAAGAGTTGAAACATTTTATCTTAAAACCTATTGATTTGAAATTTTGGGAGGAGGTAATTATTATGTTTAAAGAATTTGAGTATTATCTTGAGTTCTTATTCTTTATGATGAATATTCAATCACTGGTTACTAAATGTTATATTAAAAATCAGATATTTATGTAAACACTTGTCTGGTATGAGAATTTACTAATCTCATATTCTCTTCTCTTCCATTTAATAATTTTAATTTACCATCATCACTAACATAAATTTCTTAACTCATTAATCTTTTATTTAAAATTAATTTATTTTCTACTTTTAATCAATAGCATATATTAAATTTATAAACTATTAAATTATTTAATTATAAATGCAAGTGTAATATGGAGCAGTACCGAATCCTTAGGCATTGGGTAATGCAATAGGAAATGCTATAGTTGGATAAATATAATAATATGGAGCTTAGTTTTTCACTGCAGATGTAAAGTGAATAAGTAATATTAGCCGTTTGCTGGAATAAATTATATGCTCATTGATTAAAAACCAGAGTAAATTATGAATCATAATTTTAGTTGCATTGAATGTATATGTCCATGTGTAGGTGAAAAAAAGAATAGTTATCAGATTTCAGTCTCTGAATAAACAGGACTCATTGCTTAATAGTAGCTTGGAATAATTAAAGAGGAATCTGAATGTCCTTAAAGGTTCTTTTGTTAATGTTGGAGAGCATTAGATCTATTATTTATAAATAATTAAAATCAAATCTTATTCAAAGCACAAAGTAATGATCAATGATTTATTTTAGGAATTTATAAAGTACCTTCAGTTTTATGTTTACCATTTGAGAGACCAGAAATGGTTGTATCTCGTGACTCTGAAGTTATAGGTTATCTCAAATAACCCTTTATGTGTTGTGGTAGATCAGAGTAATTTATCACATTTATATTAAGATGTCCTTTACCAATTCTCGAGGAAATTGATATATGTGATCCTTCAGGCAACACAAGATATTTTATTTCTGGAGAATTTGTTCAATGCGGTTGTATTACAAGAATGTGTGGCATACCAAGATTTACAGGACCTTGTTAATACATTGACTATGACATTTATAACCCTATGAAATAGAAAGTAGGAAGAATTAGAAATATTTTTAATGGATGTGCTTAAGAATATTGTAGCAAAGCTGATAAATTTTTGATTGAATTCCCTCCTTAATGCACTTCTTAAGACAAATGCCTAATTCTTTTTGCTGCTATCACAATTGATTACGATAACTTTGAATATACATTTTGCAATATGCCTTGAAAATTATAAATAATGTTTATTGAATAATATCAAGAAACTATCAATCAATAGTTAAAGCTATGTAAAGTTGTACCAATTACATTAAATCCAAAAAATGTATTGAGATCTCTACTTGCAGCTGAAGACAAACTAGATGATGAACATCTCTATCAAAATTATTGTAAAAAATAAGAATTAATTATCAACAATATGAATGAAGAAAATGCTTATGTAATTATGAATATATGTTCATTAATTAAATTGTCCTTAGATAAAAGAAAAGATGCTAGTAAAGAGGAACTTTAGGAAATTATTTTAGATCAAATAAAAACAGATTCTATAAATTGGCCATAATTTAAATAAATTAGATGGCCTGAATATTTAGAATATTTTAGTAATCTAAGTAAAAGTCTTATAAATCATTCATTTAAACTAATTGAAAGTATTGTCTTAGATCTAACAACTAAACCTTTTGAATGTTCAGAATTTCATTAATATATGACTGATTAATTAGAATAAACTATGTCTGTTTTAGCTGTTGAAATGAGTGATTTTGTAAGAGTACCTAATAGTAATTCCTTATATTTAGAATTAAAGAAGTATTTTAATTCAATAATACAAAACATTCATTTATATATAAATAGAACATCCTTATTTTGTAATACTTAAATGGAATTCTTAAATGAAACACTTACTAAATATCACACTTTAGCTAATGTTAGAACATATTAAGTATTGTAAACTGAAACATCATAATACATCATATCCTAATGTCATGTTTCACTTAAAGAAATGTTTTTTTATAGAATTGAATTCTTAATTTTTGAAAAAGATTTAGTTAAATCTATTATTAGACATTTCTATGAGTATAGTAAATTAAATTTAGGTGTATATTAAATGTCTACATTAACTTAGACATTTTAAGATGCAATCCATATGCATTAACTATTGGATGAGAATTAAAGTGTCTAAGTTAATTTAGATTCAAAATTATTTGATTAAGATGGTGATTGTTTAAAATACAAAACTTGGTTATATTAAAAAAAATCAATATAATCTTAATAAATGTTGACAGGTTCATCAGTTGTTGGAGGATCTATTGGAGCTGGTTTAGGTTGTCTAATTGTAGATAGTGTTGATCCTAAAATTCCATGGGAAGAAAAATTAAAAAGAGCTGGATTCAGTTCAGTTGCAACTGGTTTAGTAGGAGCAGCTATGCGTATACCTGTAATTGGAACAATATTGTCTTAAGCATTATTATTTTATGCTATTAAATTAACAGCAAATAATAAAGTGATTGATAAAAATGAAAAAATGAAGAATTTAGCACATATTGGGGTTTAAAGTTCTGTTGGTATAGGTTCAGCTGTAGCTGGATAAATATTAATTCCAATACCAGTATTAGGAGCAATAATAGGTGGAACTGTTGGAGGTGTTGCCATGAGTTTGTATAGTAAGTTTTTTGTTCCTAAAACTAAACATTCAATTAAACTTATGATTAATGATTTAATAAATAGACAACTTGATGATGGATTATTTGTTTATGATGAATAAGTAATCAAAATCATGAGAATTAATCAATAACATTATTTTGGTTGTAAACCTGAGAAATATACTGATTCATAATGGTTAACTATTTTAATGGTTTATTTAGTTAATGAAGTTCATTATTTATCAAATATATAAGGATTGGAGAAAATAAGAGAACTTTAAGAGTAAATGACAAAAAAACCAAGTGATGAAATTAAATGTGTTAAACAAATTAGAGAAATTGATGATGATTTAGAACAACAAGAAATAATAAGTGTTAAATTAGAAAAATCTAGAAATTATATATAATAATAAGAAATTAATACATTATAAATTGCTCCTTAAATTGGAGAGTTTATAAATGGAATGATAGCTAATTTTAAATTATGAATTAAATTAATTATGTCAAATTAACTCGCAACATGCATTTTCTCCTTCTTTTGTTCCTTTTACTATAGATGAAATATAATCATTCATTGATGAAGTCATAAATCTTGCTACTAAAAAATACTTGCTATAAGTATCTCTAATTAATTTCATTTCAAATAAGTTTCTTAAATATCTTTTTAAAGAAGGAAGAGGTGTAAAATCAAAATCTACAAAAAATAAACCAGATATTTCTGCAATAAATCTATTTTTATTTAATATATTTACGTCAAATCTGCTATTGTTGGAGTTCTTGATCCCATAATGTACTTGTAATGTCCACCTCCTAAAAAGGTGTCTATAAAAAATTGAAGTAATTCATTTATCTCTCTTAATCTTTCATCCTTATTTTTTGGCATTTATTTTTTCATAAATTTTGGACCAAAAAAGAAATCCATAGAATAGAGAGTTAATTATTTGAAACCTGTATGATGGAAATCTAAAAAGGAATCTATTTTGCTTCTCAATGGATAATTAGGATAGAATTCTGTCAAATTAAATTGAATACAAATAAATTTCATGATTGCATGACTTTCAAACAAATTAAAGTTACCAAAGGTTATAGCTGGAAGACTTTAATTTGGATTAATATTAGTATAAGGAGGTCTAGTGTTCTCTCCTCCTTAGATATCAATATCCTTTTCAGTATATTATATTTATGCCAATTTCAATAATGATTTTACTGCTTTAGAAGGTGGAGATACAAAATTAAAATATAATGTTAATCTTTCTTTAGGTCGTATTAATTCTTATATTTATGTAATTTGTAAAGCAAATTTTCCTATTTTTTAACTTTATAAAAATTAGAAGTATTCCTTATGTGATTTTTTCATTTCAGGCATTTGGAATACTCTTAACATATAAGTATCCAAACCTAAAATATGTTCAAAAGGAAAATCAGTAATTAATAATTAAGCTAAATCACAACAAACCTTAATGTCTGCCAAAGTTGGGATTTATGATCCATTTATATATGCCCAATTTCCTTTGTTTAAAAATACTTTAACAAAGAATTCAAGAGTAGCTTTGACATCTTTTAATTATTCATCTTTATTTGAAGGTATTGGTAATTTCATAAGAGCTGGCCCAATAAAACAGGAGAAAGCATATTTAGTAAGTGATTACATCTCAGTTAAATGAAAGTCCATATATAAATCAATTTATGCTTTGGCTTAAAAATTAAAGGGATATAGATTATATAATTTAAATTTTTGAGCCACATACTTCATAATAGCACCACTTTCAAATAAACATAAATTGCCATCTTAAATTGCTGGAAGAGATTCATTAGGATTAATGGCTTAGTATTCAGGAGTTTTATTTTATCCTTTCTAAATATAGATAATTTTTTCATTATATTCAACTCCACTATATAATAATGCAGTTCTAGCAGCTCTAGAAGGAGATGAGAAAGGATGATGATATAAGTTGATTTGCCAATTTAACTTTTTATCAATTCCACTAATGATATAAGATATTGAATCATTAGGTTTAGTATTTTTTATCATATCTATATATTCAGCATATGCTTCTCTAATTTCTGGAATTGAAAACATTTCTTATAAATAATCTCTAATTTTAGGAAATTGATTGAAATCGAAGCCAGTCAATAAGAGTTGGGTCAAATCAGCAATGCATCTATGATATGTTTATTTATAAATACTTTAAATCAGCAATTGTTATTGATGGTTGATTTTATATGTATCTTCCCTTTAAGAAAATGGACTCAAAGAATTTAAGTGTATCTATTGTATCATCATACATTTATTCTTTGTTTTATGGAACAGGTTTCTTCATCAACATTGGAAATAAGAAACATTAATTAGTATATGTCCCTATTGCATCTAATCCTGTTTGACTCCAATCAAGGTAACAATCAACTCTTGCTCTATTTTGGATATCCTTATATTTTAGTAATTTCTCATACTTTTGGATAAAATTATGTTAACTCTTTTTTTATAGATATGTATTTAAGTATGGCATGACTTTCAAAAAGCTTTAATTCTCCATCAACTAGTGCTGGCAAAGATTAATTAGGATTAATATATTGATATTCAGGAGTTTTGTGTTCTCCTTTCATTAAATCCACTATTTTGCCTTAAAATATAACCTTTGACAATAAAAGTAACGAACGAACTGCTCTGGAAGGAGGAGATGAGGGAGAAAAATAAAATATTAAAGACATAATTAATGTTTATCTTTTTAAAGCTCATAGCTTTGATTAATTTACATTGGAATTTAGAACATCCATAAAGATTCAATAAAATAATTGTTAATAATATATTAGTATATACTTATTTATTAAATGAATTAAATAAATTGGTAAATTTATGACTTTCCATTTGAGAATCCATATAATTTTTTTCATGAATTCATCTTCTAAAACTATACTAATAATCTCAATTAATTTTTCTTGATATAATAACACTAGTTCTGCTTCCTCATTTATTTGTAGTAAAAGATCAACAAATTATTAAATATCAATATGAAAGTAATTTTCGTAATAGATAACTAAAATTTATTAATAGAAAGCATTCAAGAGATGAATAGATTTCATAGCATAATTAAAAATGTACAATCATTGAATTTAAAATAATAATTCATAGGTTTGATAATTTTATAGATTGTTAATACTATATTAAGTGTAATAGTAAATTTAAATTGTGATAAAATTTTACACATACAAACTAACAAAAAAAGAATAAGTTCAAATATAAATGGAAAATTTTCTGGATGAAGTTTGAAGACTTCAGAAAACTCAAGACATGACCATAGTTTTAAATCCTTAACTTTAACAAATGAAGGATTTCATACAATTATGGATTACATTGTAAATATCCATATTCAATTAAATTATTTGAATTCATCAATCAATTATAATTATAATTCTCTCAATTCATTTACTTTCTATTGATTGTCTTAAATTTCTGTTTTCAATTTTTCATTCTCTTCTATTATTGCATTATAATCAGATTATAAAGTCTCTTAATCTAATTACAATTACTTTAATTAACTTAATAATTCTTCATGTGAATGTTATTCAATCAAATGTTGTAAATGTGTGACTTTATCTGCATAATAATCAATTTCATCAATGTATTCTTCAATAATTTAATTTGGTTGAATAGTTTATTAATTAGTTATTTTTTATTCTTTAGTTGTATTAATATTTGTATTTTAATTTGATCTTCTACCTTTATTTTAAAGTGTACTAATATTATTAATTGATTTCTTTTAAGATTAAGTTGCTGATTATTTAGATTTCTTTTCATTACAATATTTATTATATAAGGTATTGAATGTGTCATCTGAATATTTTTAAGAATGGTTTTTGGTTATTTCTTAATAAACCATTTTTAATAACTCATATTTTCTAATAATCTATTCCATATTTGATACATTCATATTTGTAATCTAAATATTTAGATATATTATATATACTGCCAATCTTTCTAAATAAAACAATTCAATCTCTTTTGCATGTTATTTTTAATATTTTTACAAATCTTGAGTCCAATAATCAATTTATTTTAACAATTCGAATTTAGCTTCGTTAATCATATTAATTTATTATAAAATTAATTAATATTTGTTATATTTTATATAAAATTAGATTCAAATGAATAGAAGATTACAAATAGAGCATGAGAATCTCAAAACTAAAAGAGCTCTTATGAGAAAATAGATAAATTAATCACATAGAATTGATAGAGATTTTGATATTGATGAAAGATTTAATTCAAATTCAATGTGTATGAAAAATGATGAATTTGATATTGAAGACTCTGAATATTATGATTAATAATAATAAACTTGGGAAAGACTTGATAGATTAACATAAAGTTTACCAAATTAGAGAAATAGTTGTTCTTGGGTTATATTTGAAGATTGTTTATATATTTTTGGTGGATTTACCTTTAATGGAAGATTAGATGATGTTCATAGATATTCATTTCATTCAACCTAATGGTAAAGATTGAATACTACTGGCTCTAAACCTACTGCAAGAGAAAATAATGGTGCAATTGAATATAAAGGTTAAATGTATATTTTTGGGGGATGTGATGGATTATTATGGTTGAATGATTTTTATTCATTAAATCTTAAAACTTTGATATGGGAAAGAATAGAACCTACTGGTTAATGTCCATCTGAAAGATTTGGAATAGCTTGTGGAGCATATTAAACGAAAATGTTAATTTTTGGTGGATGTGATGGAAATCATTATTTAAATGATGCTTATGTATGGGATTTTGAAGAATAAGTTTGGAATAAATTATAATTAATTGGAGATATACCTTCTGCTAGATCATGTCCTTCTTTTAGTGTATTAAATAATTAAATATATATTTTTGGTGGTTTTGATGGTGTTAATAGATTAAATGATTTTTATAAAATTAATATTTTTACTGGTAAAGTAAAAAGAATTAGTCAACATGGTACAATACCATGTCCTAGATATGTAATTTATTATTCTATTTAATTATTTAGTTTCATGCTTCTGAAATATATTAAAATAAATTATTACTATTTGGTGGTTTTAATGGTTAAGCAAGATTAAATGATTTATATGAATTTGATTTTGGAATTAAAACTTGGAAAAAATTAGAAGTTAATGAATCACCTAAAGGTAGATCTTCTATGGTTTTTTAAGTATATAATGATTCTCTATATATTTTTGGAGGATATGATGGAGATGAGTTACTTAATGATATTTATAAATTAGAATTTAAGAATGCTCATATTCCTAGATCTAGTTTTTTATAAGATTTGCATACTTTAATTAATAATCCTTTGATGGGTGATGTAGTTTTTCTTATTGAAGATCATTAAATTTATGCTAATAAATGTATATTAGGTGCAAGAAGTGAACACTTTTAAACTTTATTTTTTGAAGAATTCAGAGATAAAGAATAAATATATATAGAAATTACTGATTGTGCTTATTAAACATTTATGGATATGTTACTATATATATATACAGATTAATTAGATTTCTCTTTTAATACAAATAGATTATTAAATCTAATCATTCTATCTGATTAATATTTGCTATAAAGATTGAAATATTTATGTTAAGAGTAATTGATTAGAAAAATTAATTGCAATAATGTAATTGATATAATTTTATTTTCAAAAAAGTAAATTGAAATTATAATAATAATAGATATAATTGTAAATTATTGTTAGTATAAACTATGAAATAATTAGTTGACAATATTTCAACTATTAAAAAAAGAAAAGATTTTATTAAATTGGCTTAAGAACCTGAAATACTATTAGAGATTATACAAAAGAAATGTTGATCACAACTATTATATTACTCTTTATAATAATTATATTCAGAAGTAGAATAATTATATTAAATTATTAAATTCAATTATTTAATAATGCTAATAAATCCATTTCAACTTTTTCAAACTCTGACTTTAATTTAGATAAAAAAGTAGTTGTAATTTAAGTGAAATGCATTTATATATTATTAATTCTATCCTTTTTATCTTCTGATTCTTATTTTGTTTTCATTTTAGTTTAGTTCATTGATTTTTATTATACTAATTCTTTTCTAGTTTTCCTTACAATTTTACTTACTGTTTTATCTTTTTTTAGTTTCATTTATTCTACCTTTGAACTATTCTTAGTTGCTTATGTTGTACTTTATTCCTAATAAATTTATTTAATTTATTCCATTATTTTTTGATATTATAGATTATATATATTAGTATTTGTTTTTAATTCACAATTTTCAGATTTTTTTAAAAGACAATCTACTTTAGACTCTCCATCCTACTATTTTTACTAGTTATCTAAATTACTACTTTATTATTCAACTCTTTCTTATTTAATTTTCTTTATCATTTTATTAATTTGGATATCTATTTCAAGTAATTGATTGATTTTAAAGTAAAAAAATCAACCTAATAATTATTTCATAATTTATATAGATATATATTAAATAAATAACATAATATCTTTGAATAACTTATATGTAATTATATTAATTGTTATTTTATAAATATATTTTGAAATTTAGAATAATTATATTAAGACTATGTATATATTAAGGTTTAATTTTATAAAATTCATCTCACACATATAATGTTAACAAAAATGTATTTATTAGATATATTAAATCTTCCTTAGTTACAGTATTAATTTTAGAATCTCCAGAATCAGTAGAATTTGTAGATTAATTAGTGTCTGTTGAATTTAAAGATTAATTTGTATCTGTTGAATTAGTTTATGTATCTGTTGAATTAGTTTATGTATCTGTAGAATTAGTTGATATATCTGTTGAGTTATTTGATGTATCTGTAGAATTGGTTGATGAATTTGAGGAACTATTATTGTTTGTATTAGTAGAATTAGTATCAGTGATTGTAGTATTAGAATTAGTATTATTTGAATTTGAAGTTGAATTTGACAAATTTACTGTAAGTAACTCAGTTAATTTATAATTATCACAAAAACCTCCTCTCAATACATAACCTGCTTTACATGATGTACATTTATTATAATTTTAACATGTTAAACAATTCTAAAATTTACATAAATAATTATTACACTTGGACATCCAACACAATATTTAATATTTTCAAATACATAAGTAGAATCTGGACATTTTTCTAAGCAACTACCTTTGTATCTATAATTAGTGCATTTTACACTGCAATCCTTTGATGAATATCCTGACATACAAATGCACTATAATATATTAATTATATAATACTTCTTTATTCATACAAAAACCTTTTGAACTACATGAATTTGGACATTCATCTAAATTTTAACAAAATTCTTCAGGATTTGAAGGGCATTTTAAATTACCATAATATGATTCAGGAAGCTTTATGGTTTCTGTATTAGAACAATCAAATTCCTATCCATCAACAACCAACGATAATTTATTTTTTACATCACATTTATATTATATGCAAGTGTAATCTGAATATGTTTATTTTTTTGAGACTGATCCAGACACACACATACTATCAGAACCAAAATGTTAAATTAAATCTGATGATTACCAAGATTCAATATTATCAGGATCTCTACAATCATAATTTGAATAGATATAAAAATATTTGCATGATCCTGATAATTATTCAGAAATACATTTGGAAACCCCTGATTTATAAAAGGAACAGCCTTTAGTTGAATCTCCTACACAGAATTCAGAATAATTGCCTCCTTAACATTATAGATTTGCAAATTCACATCCTTTATTTTTTCCCCATAATGGTTAATCTGGTGAATAATCAGCTATTCGATAGAATCTTTTATAATAATTATTAATTTTACCCTGTGTCTTAAAATAATTAAAATGTAAAATCTGTAATTAAAAAGTTTCCAGTCATATCTGAACCTGTCATTATTTCATTATAATAGAGATTTCTCTCAAAATGAGATCCTTAAGTTCCTGATCCTCCATTGTTTTCCATCTATAATCCTTTTAATGTAGTGCAATTAAAATGATATTGAATAAAATTAGTTACTCTTGGTGTTGATAAGTAAATCACTTTTGAAACAGTATAACTATTTGATGAATTATAACTTTCTCCTGTGACTGAATCATAATAACTAGAAAAGAAATCATCCACAAAACCTAATCCATGAATGACTTCATGAACTGCAGTTTCAACATTATTTTCAAATAATGAATTAGTCATTTCTGATAATTTTGAATAATTTAAATTCCAAGAAACTAAAGCAATAATCGGTCTTAACGTTATTTCATCAAAAATTGCAGGACCACAATATGCTAAATAGGTTTCTTTATCTGTATTCTCAGCATTGATAAATAAAACCTATATTCAAATAATATATTATACTAAATCTGCATCATATTCTTTCTATTACAATTCTTCACTTATAGTGAATCCAAAAATTGATTTTGGATAACTACTTTTATAAGTAATCTTTTAACTTGATCTTCTTATTAATAAATGTTTTTAAAAGAAAGTGCTTGTGATATCTAGAACTGTTTTTAAAAATTTTAGTGATTCAGCATCGTAAGAAGGATCCAAAAATTCATAATGAATCCTTAATGGTTCCCATGATAAAGAAGTAATATTTGGTTTACTCTCCTATAATTTACGTTTTGATCCTTCGCTCAATTTATAGTTCAATACTGAGTTCCCATTAACACAAGCCAACATTAGGAATGAAAATATAAACTAAAACATATATTTCATTTTAATATTTATTTAAAATAATCAATTTAAAAATAATTAACTTTTATGCTGATTGTATAATAGGAATGTTTATGGTATTTTACTTAAAAGGAAATACTTAATAAATGCTTATAATTTTACAATAATGTTTTAATATTTAATATTCATAAATCATTGAATTTGATAAGATACAACATTAATAAATAAATAGGAGAAATACTTTTTATTTTAAAATAATATTCTTTAAATCAATCATAAAGTCTTTTCGAGGAAATGTTTTATTATATATAAGATTTTTCTTTCTATATATGTAATTTTTAATTGTTTTTATAATATATAAAATTGATTAGAACCTTTGTATTACTCTTAAATAGTCATTCCATTTCTTAAGATTGATATTAAATTTAGGGAATATATATTTATATAAAATGAATTATAAAGTTGAATTTAGTCTTAGTTCAAATAAATTATATAAAAGATTCATTCAAAAATATAAACTTTTTAGTGTATTTATTTGAAATTATGGATTTTATAAGAAATATGATTGAAGTTATTTCATTGTTAATTTAATTTCAAATTGGAAATCTTTAGTAATATTCTATATTATTAAAATGTATCTGATGGGTTTTGTTATTTAATAGGAACTTACTTTAGGTATTATTAATAATAAAGATATTTTTGGAAAAACAGAATTTAATAATAGAGTTTTTGTATTATTTTTATAATTAACAATCATAATAATAATAAATTTTAATGATTAAAAACTCTGATTTAGAAGGGGATCTTATGATCGTTACTATCATACCATTAAGAATTATAGGAAGTAGAAAAATAATTGGGAGTATATTGTCTATTTTAACTCTTTTTATATTTTCTTTGATGTATTTTAAAAACTTAAAATTTTAAGATGTCGGTGGTTTATAACAATAAAATTACGTTTTTATTACAAGGAAGAGAAGGAAATATTGTATGCAACACATTTACTTCTTATCAATTTACATGGAGAAAAGGAAATACACAAAGTTAAAAGGAATACAAATTCAAATTGCATATATTTTAAATACAGACATATAGAATATAACTTTATAGATAATAAATTTCATCCTTTAGACACAGGATATGTTGGGAAGGATTTCAATCCATAAGATGTAAATCCTTTGAGTGAAGGAAAAGTATTTGAATTAAATAGAACATTTGGAAATTGTGAAGTTGTAGTTCCTATCCCAAGTATTACTTCATTTTTTGAAAATGAACTCACATCTCCTCTCTATTTCACATAATATACATCAATTACTGTATTTATGTTAGAAGGGTTTTATTAATTAGCAATTTTATAACCAATTATTGCATTATTAACATCATTAATAAATTACATTATTCTAAGAAGAGCTATGTAATAATTAAAGAAAAAAGCAGAGAACTATTAGTAGATTTCAGTATATAGATAGAATATATCTGGTAAGGTTGAATGTATAACAATTAATTCAATTGAATTAGTTCCTGGAGATGTAATCTAAATATATTGTAATTAAATATTACCATGTGATTGTTTGATTTTAACTGGAGAAGTATTAGTTGATGAATAATCATTAACAGGAGAATCTATTCCTGTATAAAAGGAGCATATTACAAAAGATTGTTCAAATAATTTCAATTATTAAACAAACAAAAAATCAATCTTGTTTGATGGAACTAAAATCTTGGATATAAAAAACACAGTCAAAGTTCTTGTTCTAAGAACAGGATACTTATCATATAAAGGATAAATATTTCGAAATGCCTTATACCCAAAACCACCAAAGATTATATTTTTTATTGATGCAGTTAAATTCTTAGTTATAATTGCTGCTTTGATAATAGCATTATATTTTGGATTACTTTGGAAGATGGTTTTATTAGATTATGATCCAAGTTTAATTGCATTGAGATTAGGAGATGCAATAGTATGGATTCTACCTCCAAATTTAGTAACAGTTGTAAATCTTACAATGACAGCTACTCTAAGCAGATTGAAATTAAAAAAGATTTTAGGAACACAACCAGATAAAACATTAGAAGCATCATAAACAGATGTTATTTGTTTTGATAAAACAGGTACTTTAACAACTAATGAAATAAAAGTAAAATATGTATTTGATGAAAAAAATAATAAAGTATAATCAATATCAGATAGAAAAATTTTATAAATATTGATGTCTTCCTGTCATTAATGTTACTTATTAGATAATTAATTGATAGGTGATACCTTAGAAATTGCTATGATAAATTATTCTAATCTCAATATTTAATAAGATAATGAGTGTAAATTTAAAGTCATATTAAATGAGAATTAATCAAATTTGGGTAATGAAGAAATCACTTTAAAAGTTATAAAAATTTTTGAGTTTTCAAGTAATCTATAAAGAATGGGTGTAATAGCAATGAGTGATTAATATATAAGTAAGGATTAAGAAATAGGTTAAGGAGATACAAAAATTTAAAATTATTAATATTTTTATTTTACTAAAGGATCAGCTGAAAAGATCTCTTCCTTATGTATTTCTACACCTGAAGGATTTAGAGATTTAATAACATAAGAATCTCTAAAAGGAATGAGAATCATAAGTACTGGATATAAGAGAATAGATTTTTAGGATATTCATAAAACATAAATTGAATTAGAATAACGTTTAAATTATTTAGGATCAATAATTTTTGAGAATGAATTAAAATAAGATTCAGGATAAACAATTGAAGAATTAAAGAAAGCATAATTGAAATTGAAAATAATAAGTGGAGATCATATTTTGAGTTGCATAAATTGTGGAATTGAATGTGGAATAATTGAATTTTAACAACTTACTATTATAATTGATTATGATGCTGAGTAGAATGATCTTACATTATAGGAATTAAGTAATAATCAAATAAAAGAATTAGAAGGAAAGAGTATCAATTAAACATCTTATGAGATGCTTTAATCTCTCTTACCAAGTTCATTATATGTAAATTCTATTTATGCTACTAAGACAAATTAGAATTACCAATGGGCAATAAGTGGTTAGGCTTTTGAATATCTTAAAGATAAGAGGATATTAAATGAACTAATATATTTATGTTAAATTTTTGGTAGAATGAGTCCATCTTAGAAGAGTGAGATAGTAAAAATATTATAAGAATAAAAATTTCATATATGTATGATAGGAGATGGATCTAATGATTGTCATGCATTAAAATAATCAAATATAGGAATATCATTTTAATAATGTGATGCAGCATTAACAGCCTCATTTGTAAATACAAATAACAGTATAAATTGTGTAATAGAAGTATTATTATAAAGTAAAGCTACATCATGTAATGTTATGGAGATTTTCAAATATTATATGATTATAAATGTAAGTAAATATGTATCTGCATAATTAATGATGTATCAGATGCAGAATTTTAATAATGAAGAATTATTGTATCTAAATTATTTGAGTAATATTCCAATAATTGCTTTACAAACATTGACTCCTCCTTCTTAGAAATTGACTAAAGATAAAATTAACACTTCAATGATCAGTTTATAAAATTTTATTCCTATTCTGATTATTCTTATCTTTAGTGGATTGAATATGTTAGGGAGTTATCTAATTCTTTATTATTAAGATTGGTATGTACCATATGATAACAATGAGAATGATACTAGGTATTTCTTTTATGGAGATATGAATACTTAATAGTTCCTCAATATGAATATTTATTTTTTATTATCTTTTTATTCCATCAATACTTATGGACCATTTAAGATACCATTTTGGAAACAGTACCATTTGAATATTCCAGTCTTAGCATTCTTAATTTTGGGTATACTTATTTAATTTGTTAAAATGGAATCCATTGATAATTATTTAGGGTTAACTGATATCAAATTAAATGGATAATATTAACTCAATTAATTCTATTTCAATATTACAGTTTCGATACTAGTAATATTGATAGGAAGATTAGCATGGATTAAATAATATATATTTTAATAATGATTATAAATAAAACATAATCAAACTTGAATAATATCAATTTCAATGATATTATAATTCCAATAAAATTGTAGCATCCTTCAAGAAGAGTTCAAGTATTAGAAAATGGCAAAGCAATCTAATTATTGAAAAGTTATCAAAAAATCCCATAGATTATAACAGAATTTAATTCTCCAATAATTGTCAATAGTATAAAATTAAGGAAAGACTCTAATTATTCATTATAATAATCATAACAATTAACTGAAAAAGAAAGTAAATAAACAAAAATTGATTCTGAATGTATAACCAGCAAATTTAAATAAATAAATCTTTAAAGTAGTTTACCTTAGATTCCTTTATCAACAATTAATACTTAAACTAAATTAAATGATTTAACTAGAAGTACTAAATTGGTTTAATCACCTAAAAATAGTGATACAAAAAGATCGTTAGTGAGATCATAATTTAAAACGAATAGCAACAATTAAAAAAATAATCTTATAAACAATTCCACAACCACTGGTAGTAGTAAAGATTCAAGTTAAAATTAAAGCAATTAATAGTATTAAATCTATGCTAAAAATATTATCTATTCATATTGTGGAAAACCAAGAAAAAGAAAAGTTAATGTTTCTGCTAAAAGTTTCATTGTTTATGATTGTATAGAGAATAGAATAGTTTCGTAAAGAAAGTGTAATAAAAAAATGGAAATTGCTAGTTTAACCAAAATTATGACATTCTACATAACAATGGTTATCTTAGAACAATTCAATCTCAATTTTAAAGAGATCAAAGTCAAAGTTACTAAAAAAGCATCTGAGACCATAGGTACAACATCAGAATTAAAATACAATGACATCTTAACTATTTAAGATTTATTATATGGATTGATGTTACCTTCAGGAAATGATGCTGCAACACTCATTGCCTAGGCTATTGGCACAATTATGTATATTTATAACACTATACAGTTAGATTATTTTATGAATCTTAAAAATATTTGGATTATAGATTAATAGATATTGAATAAATGAGTGCTGAAGGACATTATTATAATGTTGAATTGAAGACTTAATAATGTCCTATTGAAATTTTTATAAGCAAAATGAATTATTATTCAAATTTAATGGGTTAATAAAATACTTAATTCGCTTGTGTTCATGGATTGGCTAATGAAGATAATGTATGTAAATATATTATACTAGTATTCAAGTTGTCATGATATAGTATTATTATCATTAGAATGTTTGAAATATGATATATTTCAATAAGTCATTTCCTCTAAAGAATATATTTCTAAATCACAAAACAATAATAAATGTTATGAATGGAAAAATACAAATAAATTATTAGAAAAAGGTTTTTTTGGTATTAAAACTGGGGTAACTGATTCTGCTGGTCCATGTTTAGCAAGTGCTTATCGATCTAATGAAATGGAATATTACATCATTGTTGTGTTGAGCTGTAAGAATTTGCAATTAAGATTTGATGAAACTATTTCATTGTTATAACATGCAAAATACAAAAAGTCTTTGAATTCAATTATATAATGAATAAATCATATAATTACTTATTCAAATCCATCATTGTAATAGACTCAAGTAAACTAAACTTATAAATAAATGTTGTAAAGAGTGATCTTCTACTTTATACTTCATTTTGATGTAAAACAATCTAGTTACTTTATAAAAGATTTTGGTCTATACATAAACAGATCATCTTATAAGTAGTATTCCTTAAAAACAAAATTAATTCTATTGTTATTATGTAGTTTTATAACATTTATGAAAGAGACAAATTGAAAATGTTCTTATTATTAATTTGGATAAATGATATCAAATAGTAAAATAACTATATTTATGTTGAAAAGTTAAGATGAATTATCAGTAAATTATAAATAGAAATGACCAATCAAAATGGCTTTGAATATATAGAAGTTTTTTAGAAATAGAATTCTTAGTTTGATGAAGTATTATAAATAATTACTTAAAAAAATATACAAGAAAATTGAGTTAAATTAAATTGATTAACATAATCAAGAAAAACTGAATATCATGTGGAGTACATTAAATTACCATATTACCATAATGAAAAAGAAGATAAAATTAAGTAATTAATATGTTGTTGATTACACTTTATTGATTGATATGTATTTTATAGATATATCACTTGAAAATATTATCTAATTTATCATATTTTTCATAAATTTTCATAATTTTCTTTAATCCTTATGTATTCCTTTTATAGAGTAAATCTTAACATAATTTATTCAACTTTAAAGAAATCTAGAAAGGAATTTCAATCTAGAAAAACAACATTTAGAGAGTATTCTTTATAAATACATAGTATTTTCTAGAAATTTTAATAGAAAATATAATGAGTTTTAAAGTAATCTTTTTTTACAGAAATAAAATAATTAAAAATTAGTAATGCAAAAGACAATGTAAATTTTATTCTCGAAATTTCTCTAGCTCCCCCATAGTTAAATGGGCTTAAAGAAAAGACAATGTGTTTCTAACAGTTGAAGTGAGAGATTTGAAAGATGAAAAGGTTGATTTGACTTCAAGCTCACTTAAATTTTAAGCTACTGCAGAAGGCATTAATTATACTTTTGAAATTAATTTCTTTGCAGAAGTTGTTGTTGAAGTACTCTAATTAATTATATCTTTTTAGGAAAGTAAATGGACCAATTATGGATTGAATGTCAGATTTATTTTATCAAAGAAGGATAAAACTGCTTCATATTGGTCTAGATTAATCAAAGAGACACATAAATTATAATATTTATAGGTTTGATATATTTTCTAATAAAAGGTCGATTGGACAAAGTATATTGATGAAGATGATGAAGCTGAAGAAGGAGGTAAAGGCTTAGATGATTGGGATTAGAACAAATTCTAAAATTTTGATTAAGGTGGTGCAGATGAAGATGATGAAGAGGGTGAAGAAGAATAGCCAAAAGAGGGTATAGATTAAAGCCATATTATTAGGAAATGTTGATGATTTAGAGAAAGAAGAAGAAGTCTAAAAAAATGATCAAGCACCATAGGAAGGTGAATAAGAGAAATAAGTAAATTGATTAAGATATATTATATCTATGTTTAAATAAGATGATGTTTTTTATTTTCTGTCATTTTATATTATAATAAAGGCTATTGTTAGTTCTTTTTTAAATAAATTGTGCTATTTAATTAAAACCAATCGATATATGAAAATAATAATAAAATATATTTTCATTATCATTTGTTTTTGCTTTATTTAAGAATTGAAAATAAGATAACTTCATTTTCTGTTTACTCTTCTTTAAACCTCTGATCAAGTCGAGGGTTAATTTTCTCTTTATCTATGCCTTAGGTACACAATTGTAAAGTATCCTTAATCTAAACTACTTCTTCTTCTGGTTCGAAAACGCAAACAGTAATGAAATTATCAAAGTTAATTCCATATCCACTACCTTTTGCAATCTTTCTTCCTTTGGTATCATATCGATCACTCCGACATGATTTATATCTAATTTTCTTCCTTTAAATGATTATTGGTTCAAAGTCATCAGGCTCTTCAGGTATATCTTCTTAATCCTCAACCTAAGCTCTACTTAGAACCAATTTGGGTCCTAAACAACTGGTTCGCATGGAAAAGCTAATTATTAATATAATAAACTTTCATTTTTGTTAATAAATAAAAGGAATCTCAAAAAATTATAACATTTACATTCAATAAGAGTTTATCGAAGATTTACTTTTAATAATTAAAGCATCAATAAAAATAAATATGCAAAATTCTGCTTATCACTATAACAAAATAAATTAAATTATTTAATATTCATGCAGCATAAGGAAGAATCTAATTTAAATGAAACTATTGATAATTAAAGTCATCAAGAATTTACATACTTTGATGAAATTTTAACGTATATTGGTTTTAGTAATAAATGTCAATATTAACACTTTTTTAGGAAAATATTAAATTTATGTCTTTATAATAGTTGGTTTAATTGGAATGTGTGATGGAGGAGAAACATAAGCTATTTCTATAGTATTTCCAATTTTGGAGAAAGAATGGAATGTTAGTGATTCCTAGAAAAGTCTTTTGGGATCATTAATATATATTGGATATTTCATAGGATCTCTATTTTCAGGTGTATTTGCTGATAAATATGGAAGAAGATCATCTTTAATATTATCATCAGGAATTATGTTTATATGTGCAATAATTGGAGCATTTATGCCTAATTTTATTTCTTATATGATATTCGTATGACTTAAAACTATTATAGAGAATATTCTTAGTTACATGTGTTGGATTTATAATTCCAGTTTCATTTAGTATGTTAGCTGAAAATACACCATTAAAGAGTAGAGGAATAGTTTTGGTTACAATTGGTTTTTTTTATACTGCTGGAGAGTAAGTATATTAAATTATATAGATTAACTGTTTGTTTACTTACATATATATTTATGCCTAATTTAGTATCAGGAAATTGGAGAGCAGTACTTTGTTGGGCATCTGCTCCAGCGTTATTAACATTTCTGATATCAAATTTTCTTTTATTAGAAAGTCCAAGATATCATTTGATAAAAGGGAATGTAGTAGAAGCTTCTTAAGTAATTAAGAAAATATTTTAATTAAATAATAAAGAACCTATTGTAATACCTATAACTACATATCAAAATATTTCATTAGAATTAATCAAATAAGAGAAAGAGGAATAAGGATTATAGGAAGATTTGAAAGATAAATCATTTTTGGAATCATATTTTATTCAATTTAGAAAACTTCTTAAAAATCAATTTATCAAAATAACTTTAGTTGTTTGGTATTAATGGTTTGTAAATACTTTTGTATATGCAGGAGTAACATTTTTATTACCTTTAACATTAAATAAATTAAATCCTGGTGAACCTCAAGATGATGATGTTGAAGATCTTAAAGTTATTACTTTAAGTTGTTTAGGAGAGATACCTGTGATATTTATTGCTATGATTATTGTAAATATCAGAATATTTGGAAGGAAAAATTCATTATTTTTATCATATTTTGGAGTTGGTTTAGTTGGATTGTTGATTGCAATAATAGCAAAAGGTGGTTATTTCTTTGCATCAATGATATTCTTTTTGAAAATGTTTATAAGTTTCTCATTTACAGTATCCTATCAATTTGTTAGTGAATTATACCCAACATATATGAGAGCAAGTGGATTGGGTTTTGCATCATCAGTAGGAAGATTAGGTAGTATTATTATGCCATGGATTGTTGTGTATATAAATGACATAGGCACCTTTCTATCATATGGAATTTTTGGGATAATATCTATGGTAGCAGCTATTGCAACTCTATTATTACCATTTGATACATATTAAAGAGAATTAGATAAAGTAGTAACAAAAATTTGATAATTTAATATTATTTATTTAATATTCAATCACTTACAAAATCTTCATCTAATATTATTCCAAAATCATCATCATTTTAGTATTCAGTTTCTACTTCTAATTTTTATGCAATTCTATTTTATATTTAATTTTATTTTTAAGATTTAGATTAATTTAAAGCTGCTTAAAATTCTGAATAATAATTTAATTATTAATTATCTATTTGATTCATAGAATTATTTTCATGTGATTTATTTGGTTTCCTTTTAGTTTCATTAAATTACATAATTTCATCAAATTATTATTATTCTTTTGTCTTTTTTGGTTATTATAATGATTTTGAAATCTTATAAAGTAATTTCTTTAATCTTTCCTCACATTAAGGTACTGAAAATCCTGTTTCTTATTCAAAATTGCTTAATGGAATTCCATAAAATGCATATCCTAATAATCTTGCATCTTTTTCATTATTCCATTTATGTAATTAATTTGCTAAACCTTTTTATTTAAATTAATCTTAAATATATTTTGGATATCTTTCAGGTATTCTCTTAAATATTTCACTCCAATCTCCATTATATAATTCATATAAAAATAATAACAATTCTTCATCTTCCTTATACCAATATTAATTTAAAAGTACTAAATCTTTATCTTCTCCTTCTAAATTTAAACAAGAATCTCTTATTTTTGCAAATCTTCTTTTACATGAAGCAATATCTTTTGTTTTAACAACCTTTTATACCATTTCCCAATCTTTACCTAATTTATCTACCATTTGTAATAATAAAATATCTTCATTTAATTCCCAAATAGGTTTAGGTTTTTGATTTATAAGATTTTTATATCTCTCCTCTAATAATGGTTTAGATTTAATATTCATCACTTTTGCAATCTTATCCCAATCTCTTCCATATATTTCCACTCCTTAAAGTAATTAATTATCTTCTTATTTAGTCCATGTTCTTCCAGGTTGTACCTTTTTCATTAAAATTACTATTCTAATTAAGACTTAATGTTTAATTCATATTCACTAAATATTACAATACAATTTAATTATTATTAAAAATCATTAAATTTATTAGAATTTTTAAAGAGATTATTAAATATTATCTTTATTTTGAAAATAAATAAGAATAAAAATCTATAATATTATTATTAGTTTAATTTTCTATAATTGTAAATAATAATAAGTTTATGTAAATCTTTTAATATAAATATTAATATCATAATCTCTTTTTTTATTTTTTATTATCTACTTCTTCCTCAATTAAATCTTATGCTTCTTATTCTATTGATTAAGGTTAATAAACATAGGGTTGTGGTTTCAAAATTTCTAATAATCCATTTTCACTAAATAATATATAAGAATCTTTAAATTATTTAATATGTCTAATTTAATCAGTAGAATTAGTTCCATATAATGCAACTATCTATTATTTTTCATTTTTTTAATAGATTTCTTTACCATTACCTACAAAATATTTAAATTCATTATCAGCTATAACATCTATTAAATAATCTTCATGAAATTCATCCTATTAATTATTAATAAATATTACATTTTTAATAGCTTAAAATTAATATAGTTTTTAATCATTTTATTAATCTAAGATTGTAATTTAATTTGTAGTTGTAACACAATAACATAAATTATTCCAATAACCACAAGAATTTAGAGGTTAATCAAATCTAATCATCATTTATAATGATTCTTCTTCATTCTTTTAAGTCAAATCATATTAAACTAATAAACCATCTGTTGAAGATGATAAAAGTTATGTTTAAATTTAAGAATGAAAATTTAATGAAGATAATTCTTCATTTTAAGATGAATCAAATCTAGATCTCCATTTCATAACATTTAGATCATAAAAATCAATTCTACCTTCACTTCCACCTGCTAATATATGTTTTGATTTAGCAATTGAATAAAATTCTTTTTCATTCTTAAATTAATGAATTTATTATTTAGATTGTAAATCAAACACTTTAATTGTTCTATCATTTGAACAAGTAAATGCTATATTATTTTCAACTATCAATTATTATATTCTTTTTTAATGATGATTCTTTTATTCCCAAATAATTTATTGTGTATTTAAATCAATCCATTACAATGAAAAATCAGTCATTGCCAATAAAACAGTATCATTTATAAATTACAAAGAGAGTGGAAACTTAATTTATTGATAATTGATACTTCTTTATCTGAAATTTAGAATTGATTAACAGGAGAATGCTTAATTTTAATTTAATCCATAAATTAAATTTATGAAATAGAAGGAAAATAATGAATTAGATGAACTTCTAATATTAACTTAGAAATCTAAATTATTAGTACCATAATTTAAGCGAATCCAATAATAATGTGATTTGTATCACATTACATTATATTACTTTTAGTTGTTAAAAACAAATGGCAAAATACTCATGTCCTAAATGTAATAAGATGTAATGTTCATTGGACTGTTATAAAACTCATAGTGAAACATGCACATAATCATTTTAAAAGGAACATGAGATATAGAAAATGAAAGGCATGAAGGCTTCTTTTGAAGAGTAAATTGAAATGAAAAAAACACTTAATAAATTATATGAAGAAGTAAATTAAGAATTTAATAAAGTCAAAAGATGAAAATATTGTTCCAATGAATGAAGAAGAGATAAATGATAGATGGGATGAATTATAAGAATTATGTGAATAAGGGAAATTAAATTTAGATTAATTGACATTAGCTGAATAACATGAATTTGCAAAATTTATATAAGAAATGGTTATTTAAGAACCTTGGATTCCATGGTGGGAAGTTAATGATGTAAGCATTATTGATTAATATAAAAGGGAGTATTTTCATTATATGTAGATGAATTAGATTAAAATTAAAAGACAAATAAAGAAATTCATTAAAATTCTTATCTAGATTTTAGATCTACCTTGAAATAGAAAATTTAAACTGTAGTACCATTTAATAAATTATGCAAAATTTAACATGAAGATTTAAGAAATCATCTATTTAATTTAATGTAATTTTTACAATTATATAAATTTAGTGCTTCTATATCAATAATAGCTAAGGTTCTAGATGGAGATATTATTGAATTAAATAGAGAATTCTATAATATGTTTACAATGCTTAGCTATACTATGGATGATAATACTTCATTAATTGGAAATTTAGATCTCTCATATAAAAAATTGAAAGAACATGCTCATAAAGTAGATAAGGGATTAATTTTACCATTTATTAATAAAGAGGATCTAATTAAAATATTCTCTAACAAATTTTTTGTTGTTGAAATTTTATTTTATGCATATGATGCTATTCATTCAATTGAACATTAAGCATAAAATGAAGATAATAGTGATTTTGTCGAAAATAAAAAATTGATAAAAACATTAAATTTGAAAAAATAAAAATTGCTGTTTTATATTTCTTATGCTTTATCAAAAAATCATGAATTCTATTAGTAAATAAGAACTTAGATCAAAGAATTGAATGAGTGAATATATAAAGAATTAATAAAATCAACAATTACTACTGATTTCAAATGTTTCTTTGCTTTCATCATCTGTCTAATCCTACATTTTAAGTTCAACATGAGGGGAATTAAGACCAGCCTCTTATCTCAATTCTATTTCCTCAAAGTCACAATGATTCATTGTATGAGTTCTAGGAATATCTAGTTATTTTAAGATTTTATCTTAATTCAAAACCATAGATTATGAAAGATTAGATTTTTTTGAACTTTTACGTGTATATTAGTTATTTAGTATAAATTATTAATATAATTTTGAAACAGGCCTAACATCAGATTACTTAATAGATAAATTAATTACTTGACTAAGCCAAATTAAGAATGGTAATAATTAATCTAATTCTTTATCTTCTTTATCTGAAATAAAGTCTTTTATTAAAAAACCATTTTCTGGTTAAAATACAAATGACATTAAGGAATTCTTTTAAATTAAAATTGCGTTACATCTATAATAAGTACATCCTTTAAACTTCTTCCTAATTTTTTTAAGTTTTTAGTTAATCCTCCTTTAATTGGAGTACAACTTTCTCTATAAAGTCTAGTTTGAATCCTTCTTTATGGATCAATGATATCCATCACAGGATCAGCATACTCTTTTAAACTGGCAGTCCACAATACAATGTCAAAATATTCACTTAAAGATTCCATGAAGGCTTCTACTCCTGGTCTAACTGTGACAAATACTTTAAATAATTGACTTTAAACAATTATCTAACATATTTGACAATATTACATCAAGTAAAAAATCATAACCATTTTCTGCCTTAAATTAACTGTGAACTAATGTTTCATCTAAATCCAAAACACAGATTTTTCTAGTCTCATATTTAATTTAACTCAACTTACATGAGATTTGGGAGTATCAATTCCTAATTAATATCTTTCATTTATTTTGACATTTTTCTTTTGAAAGTAATATAAGCATGAGCACAGTTATTCTAAAAGTGAAGGTTTTTTCTCTTTTTATTCTTATTACTACTAATATATAATGTCATTATTATTCATTCTGAAAATATTTAAATAATGAATTAAAATTAACATGAGGAAGGTACTATTTTTATATTCAAAAATAGCTTCATAAAAGCAAACCATTATTCTATGCACAGGAAATGTAATAATCTTATTCTAATTAAGAAAAATAAACTCAAGGAATTTATTCAAATTATGGGGGATAGATTTCATATTGATTCTGAACCTGTAGATTGTAAATTCTTATTCTTATATATTAGTACCTGAATTATAAGGACCCCCTCTATAAATAGCAAAAGAAAAAGCCTTATTAGCTTATGAAAAAATAGGAAAAGCCTGTGTTACAGAGGATACTTCATTATGTTTCAATGCTCTAAATGGAATGCCTGGTCCTTATGTGTAAACATAATTAATGATATTTAAATAGGAAATGGTTTTTAGAAGCTGCAGGACCTGAAGGTTTAAGCAAAATTTTAGATGGATTTGAAGACAAGACAGGTTATGCTCAATGCATTTTATCTTATATGGGACCAGAATTAAAGGAACCAATTTAATTTGTCGGTTAAACTTAAGGAGTTATTGTAAGACCAAGAGGACCTGGACATTTTGGTTGGGATCCTATCTTTTAACCAGATGGATATACAGAAACGTAAAGATATTCTAAAATATTTAAGATATGCAGAAATGGATAAAGATGTGAAGAATAAAATATCTCATAGACTTAAGGCAATCCAAAAATTCATTGATCATTTTCTTGTAAATTGAGTGGTATAAAACTATGTGTTTTAAGATAAAATGAAATTTCATGATTTATCTAATAGATCTGCTACAGTATACAATCTTCTAAAAGACTTTTAATTTGATTTTGGTTTTTCTTCATTAGGATCAATAACCTTAATTTAGATTTGTTTATTAAAAGAAACTATTTTCTTTCCAGGATTAATCGTAGGTGAGTAATCTTCTTTTTGAATTGGTTATAAAGAAACCTGTTTATTATGTTTTAGTCTATTGAAATTGGATTTTTATTATTATTATTATTATTATGATTATTATTATTATTATTATTTGAAATCTTTATTATCAAGTTCAAAGAAATCAAATATATTAGTATGTTCACGACTGTTTGAAGTTTTTCTTTTAAGTATACTTTTTAATTACATTTACTAATCAAAAGGACTATCTTCTTTTTTAAATATGTTACGATGAGTTTATTCACATTATTATTTAATAAAAGATTTGGGTATAGATTATTTTTTTTCTTATCTAAATATCTCTCTTATAAGTTCTTTTCTTTGTAATTCAATTCTAGATGTGTATTGTTCAACGGCAGGTTCATAATTAGTAATTTTATGTAAATTGAGTGATTCCATATTCTTTGAAGGATTGAAGATGCTGTGTTATTGTTTTTGTAATTAAATAGTAGAGGGATTTTGAATAATTTCAGGGAGAAATTTTTTATTTTTTGAAGATGGTCTAGATATTAGTTATTGCTTTTTGGTTTCCTATCTTAACAATGCTTGAGAAATCATTAAATAATTAATAAAGAGAGTAGAGAAAAGGATTAAAACTTTAGAGAATAAAAATAATTTAAAAAATGATTGCTGATGTGAAAAGTTATGGAGATTGCATTTTAGTAATAATTCTAATATGATAAGAATTTCATTTTTCTGTAAGTTCTCTGTATCCTTTCCAATCATGAGGAGCTTTACCTGCATTAGAATGTATGACATCTAAAAGAGTATTCGAAGGCCCATCCTTGTGATCAGGAATCATATACTTTAAGTTAAACATGAATTCATACCAAAGTTTTAGAAAATAGAGATTAAGCAAGATCCCATTGGCCTTTTATGTAAAATTTAAATCCTTCTTACCAAGTCTAATAAAATTCCTAAAAGTAAAGATAAATTAAAAATTACTTAGGTGTAAGGTTCTCTGGCATAAATGATTTCTTCATCAATTTTAAATTGATCTGCAATATTTATTTTGTCCTTAGATACATCTTTTTAAAGTTAGTTTCTCTTGAATCTATTAAGAACTCTAAATTATTTTTATTCTTGTTAATTCATTTTACTGACATCAAATTTATCCTATAATTCTTTAGTCTTAGCAAGTAGATTCTTGATTGACATATCAATAGTATGAATCTCTACTGGTTCAATACTTCCTTTAACAGTAACAATGTCTATAAGTCTTAATTATTTTTAGCATTCTTCTGTGAGATGCTATTTTAAGATACCACTTATTAAAATGATAGAACCAAATTATTTAGTAGCAGCTTCTAATCTAGATGCCAAATTAACATTTGGACTTAGATAAGATGCATCAATTTTAAACGAAGATCCAATAGCACCTTCTATACCCCATCCCATATGTAATCCAAATCCCATTTTTACAGAGTAATCCTTCATTCTAGCATTTAATCCAGCATGTTTCTTATACTTTTCTAATTTCTTAGAAATTGAAATAGCTGTAATAATCTTTAAGAATGATAATACTGCCATATCACCCTTTTACTTAATATGATGTTCAGTTCGAACAATAAGTTTTTATGGATATTAAGGATCTGGATGATATTCCATAGGAAAATATTTCCAAACTAGAAGGAAAGCATCACCTATATTTTTATTTGCAGATCCTCCATAACTGTCAACAGTAGAATGAACAATTTCAGCAATCTCATTAACAAATACCATGACATCTTATTATAATACTTCTGTAGCATCAGTGAAATTTCTAATATCACAAAATCCAAAGATAGCCATAATCTTTTTACCAGGTAACATAGGATCAACACTACCTCCTTTTTTAATATTTTCTGCTATTATTTCAGAACCTGCTTCACCAAATCCTACAGCTAATAATGCACCTACTTTCATAATTAATCTCTAAAGAAAATAAGTTTCCATTTTCCTTTCAATATATTTCTACTTAATTTTTTCATCATCTTCATCTTTTTCTAATTGTTCCATTATCAAATCTTCTTATTCTTCAATATTAACTGCTTCTAAAGGATTTTAGGCTATTAATTCTATCTTTTCCATCATCCTTTCTATTGGTTCTATCACTAATTCATTGACATCTTTATTAAATAAAACTGCACTAGCTGCTAAGACTATACATACAAATATAGTTTAAAAGATTGAAAGAATAGCATTAGTTTTATTATAATCAACTAAATCAGCCACAGAACAAGTTGATAAAAAATCATTGGAATCTATTGCTGCAAAATATTATTTATCTGATTATCTATATTCATCTATATTATAACTTGTTTCTTTGAACCAATTATGATTTTGAGAATAATTGAATATTATGAAATTTGAATCATTAAGTTTAGGAGAATTGTCTGTTACATTTTGTCTTTAAACAAAAACAGCAAGAATAGGATAAATTTCATCTTAATGGAATTTGACATATTATTGTGTTAAACTTAAAACAATATTATAATTGTCTTTAAATTATGCAATTCTAAAGATACCTGAATCATAAGAATTAATAGTTTCTTAATATGTATCAAGAGATAAAACTGGAATACTTATTAAAATGGATAAAACTATTGCTATGACTCTTCTCATTACTAAATCAGACAACTTAGTTCCAACATTACTTTCTTTTATATTTTCATTGCTCATTGAAGATAATTAACTTGACTTTAATTATTCATTGATTATATTTGGTGTATTTTAATTTGGTTGATTTAATTGTTGATTAGATTGAGCAGATATTTATGAAACTGCTATTTAATTATTTTAAGGTGTTTATTATGGTTGTATAAGTCCAATGTAAGGTTATTTACATTCAGTAACTAACTTTTATTATTCATTAAGTTCTTAGGCATCTTCATTAGATTTTAAATACAATCTACCTGATGGAGGAGGAGACGGATAAGAAGAATTTCTTTACATTAAATATTGTTTATGATAAGGAGTAACATTATTTTATTATTGTTGTTTTTAATTTTCTTCACTTATAAGTTTGTTTTATTTTAGAATCTATTAAAGAATTTTTTTTTATTGTTCTTTTTCATATTATTATCTCGCATGTTTATATAATTTTACTAATCTTACTAAACGAATTATTCGAATCACTCTTGCTGCCTTTCTAGCCACTCTTGATGCTCTCCCTAATGCCTTTATTGTTGTAGCATTTCCTATATCACCTTCTTCCCCATACCATAAGTCAGTTATCCAACCAATATCTAATATCATTGTTGCTGTCGAAATTACATCCAAAAAGAAGTAAAACTAATAAAATCAATAGGAACTAATTACATACATTCAAAATATAGTTTGGATTTATTATAGATGTCAATATTATTTCAAGTGAGAAAAAAGACATACTTATTATAGTTAGAATGAAAAAGATGTCATCTTCTGTTTTATTAACAGATAAAATTCTTATATCATCCCCAAATAAAGCATAGAGTGTAACTATGGCCATAATTATTGAGAATGTCCATCCTTCTATCAATTAAGAAATCAATTTTTAATATGCAGGTGTTTATTTTATGTTTTGCAATTTCGACAGTCTAACCATTATTACACTATTCAATTTCCGAGGAGGTTTTTTCCTCTGCTCTTCATTTCCACTTTAATTAATCCCTAATTTTGAGCTTCTTGCACTTCTTACACTCTTTCCACTATGTTGGCTTCTATTAGATCTCAAATCATTTAGGTCAGCCACGCTGGAAGGACTTCTTACTTTACGAATTTTGCCATCATTTTCAATTTCCTCCTCTCTACTTGTATCTTTCTGTACAAATGGGTTATCTTTTTGTTTATCAGTCAACTTTTACATTAAATTATTAAATGTACTATAAGGACTTGTATATTTAAAATATCAAAGAAATTGATTCAATTTCAATATTATGAGAATTAACTAGTTCTAACTTTATTTTCTCATCTATTGCATCTATTTTTGTTTATTGAACAATCACACAATTAGATTTCTAAACCGAATTACTTATTCAAGATTAAATTAAATATTTTTATATGAATTCATAATAAACTATTTGTTTTTTGCATGCTTCACAAATTTAATATTTTTGTTAAGATTGTGATATTTCACTTTGCGAAACTTGTTTACTTTCATAACATTATCAACACACTCTAACTTATTATGTACAAAATCAAAATTAGAAATTAAAAAATTTAAATGCCAAACACATCAAATGGCTTTAAGAATAAGAATAAGAAGTAGATGTCTTATAAAAAATTATTTAATTTTAAATTCATGTAAATAAACTTATAATTTTAAGGAAAAGTAAAACATTAATCTAAATTTCAATAAACCACTAAGTTAAAATCATTATTTATAAATTTAAAATCAAATATTGAATTCTGATCATTAAACTATAGTTTTCAATTTCTTAGAAAAAATAATTACTTAAAATCAAGATTTTGATTATGATGATCATTAAAAATTATATCTAAATGCAATAGAATACAAACTCAATCAGAATATATGGTAAAAACTATGTTTATAATTATCAAATTCAAAGAAACTCCAAATATTATCAATTAATTTAAGTAGTTCAACATTAAATACAAATCTATTGTAATAACTATTTGAATCAATTTCAAATCTCCAAAATTTATCATATGTTGAATTAGATATGAAGCAGTATATATTCATTTATTTATATACCCTTTAGTACATATTTAGATGACAATTCAATTTAGGTATTATTTGGAGTTATGAGAATTCCAAATTTAATTAAGTTTATAGCATATATCACTTAATGTAACATCTCTGTAGATACTTTGCATCAATTCTGGAATAAGAATAAAGAAAAAATAAGAGAAAAATTTAATTATTTCTATATATACCATCATTTTTGTAAAATGTTGTAAATATCATGAATAGATTCTTTTGGATATGATAAAGATTTTTATGAAGAAATAATGACTAGCAAACCTTCAATTTATCTAGATTAATTTTCAGAGTCAACTTTTGTTTGATTAAATAATTAATTTTTAATTAGAGTTTAATTTTATAATATAACTAATTAAATTAAATTCTTGATAAAAAGGAAATTTAAAATAAAATTAATGAAAAAAAGCCAAGTGATAAGGCCTAACTCCAATCATAAAAATGAAATAAAGAATAATCAAATCTACATTCCAAAAGTCTCAAGCATGATAATTTCTGAAAAGATATTGTAGAATCTACTTCAGACGACTTCTGGTTATCCACTAACAAAAAATCTACCTAACTAAAATATGAGTCCCTCTAAAAGGAACTATAAATAAAGTCCTATAAAGATTTAAAAGAATGTTTAACATTTCAATTATCTTAATAATTAGATAAATTACGTAGTAACAAATTCAATCAGATATTAAAATCCTTAAAATAAATCCTACTTATCAAGTAGTTTTTCAAAATTCCCTACAAAAAATGGTTAATAAATAACCTAAATCAATTCAAAAACTATATCTTCAACTATTAAGTATAATCAAAATTCTATCCCATTATATAAATTAATTACTTAAATGAAAAATTAAAGTAAGGATAAAAGATCATTATCTTAATTGCCTACAATGTCAACAGAAAGAGTAGTTTAGGATTCTGAGAGATAACAAAAAAAGAGGAAAAAATCTGTTCGATTTCATGATTAAGTTGAGTATCTTGTCATTTAGTGTTCAAAAGGGAATGAAGAATATAAATATAAATTCTTTGAACCATTAGATAAAGAACCTGAGTTTTTGTGAATTTTCCCCCAATCAAGTATTAATTAATTTGTATATATATATATAAAATATTAATAAATTGATAAAATACTTTTAATTAAACTCAAAATAATATAAGTAATTTTCATATAATAAAATGTTTGTATGGAAATGTTTTGGATTCAATTAATGAACAATGTTTAATAAATAATCATCTAATTAGATAATGGATAAAAACAATCCAAACATAAAAGAATATATATTATCCTAATTAGGAGAAGACCCAACTGATGAGGCAATTAAATAAGTTGCTGAAAAAACTTAAGTACTACCAATATTAATAAAATAATGGTTGCTCTTTTATAAAAGAAATAATCAATCATAAAATGGAATAGATTTACAATAATAAAAGCTTGAAAGTGTTCCAAAATTTAATGGAAAATTTGAATAATATTATGAAATTGATGATCCAAGTTATGAAATAAAACAAAAAAAATAATTTATATCAGACAATAATTAGAAGCATACAATTTAAGAGGATAAAACAATAGAAAAACAATTAAAAGAAGTAGAGAAAGAAATAAAAAAGAGAAAAAAAATACTGAAAACTGATAAGAAATAAACAGATCCATATTTTAATGAACTTTATGCATCAGATGAATTATATTAAGAATAGAAAATCAATGATAACTAGCAATTTAACTTAAAAGAATAATATATTAATGTACCAATCTATTACATGATCAAATTAGAAGAGAGTCTAATGGAATAAGCAATTAATATCCATTAAAAAATAGTAAAAATCATAGAGGCAAAATATGATTATCTTAATTTATTATGAGTTTCTAATAATTATATAAAAATGAATTCAGCAATTGATGAATAAAAAATGAAAAAAACAACCTCTTAGCTTTCTGTTAAGCCTACTGTCTTGCCATAAGTAATGTCTACTTGTAAATTGGGTCGGTTTCCAATAGAAGGAAAACTAGGAGAATCATTTCAGGAATCAAATAAAAAATATAACAGATAGTATTTCAGAATTCAAACCTAAGCTGAGAAACAAGAAAAAGCAGAAAAAGATAAAGGAATTGAGGTACATAGATTTTATTTATATAATAAGGATGTTTTTATTTAGATGTAAAATAATCAAGAAGAAGTTTACGAAGACATGAAATAAAAAGATTTGGTTGGACCAGATTCCATTAAAAATTATTATTAAACCTATAAAAAAATAACTAGAATTAAGGAGTAGAATAAGCTATTCGCTATTTAGAGTAAAATATAATCTAAATTAATTTAGACTCTGTCCAAACTAATCTCATAATAAAATCAGAACAATTAAGATTATTACCTTGTAAGATGGGCTTAATCAAATAAAAAGGAGAATCTAAAGTATTAGCAATAGAAAATTACAAATATGGTGATAAATATGTTGAAGTACTATCTGAAGGTTTAAGAACTCTCCCTGTTATTTAAGATTTCAACTTTAATTAAAACAGAATTAAAGAAAATGGTGCTTCATTGATATTACCTTTAATTTCTAAATAAGCAAGGTCTATTGAAATGGTATCAAATATAATTGGAAAAAAAGGATTAGAATCAGTATTAAATGTGCTTCCATCATAAACTTGCAAGTATTTATATCTTAATGAATAATAAGAATACAAGTCTTAGATTTAGAAGATAATCAGTTGGGTGATCTATTAGCTTAAGAACTTTTCAAAGCCATGTAAAAAAATAATACTGTTAAATTACTTAATGTATCTAAAAATCAAATTACTAATATTTCCCACACTTTTATTAAATAAATGATTGAAACAAATGACTCTTTGGAGGAGTTGTATCTTCATTGGAATTTAATTAAAGGAAGTGGAGGAGCTGAACTGTTTAAAGCATTAATTAATAATAAGAATATGAAAGTTTTAGATTTGTCTTATAATTTATTAGGATGTGGTGGTTCAAATTTAACACCTGTTCTAAAATAATTTTTTGAAGAAAATAAAGAAATGATTCATTTAGATTTATCAGCAAATTAATTCAGTTTAGCAGATAGTCAATCAATTTCAGAATCTTTAAAGGAAAATCATACAATATATGGTTTTCATTTTTCTGGCAATTTTGGATATGTAGATTCAAAAGGATTTTTAATAATTTAGAATGAAATGAGGAATTTTAATTAAATTCATACAGATTATAGAATTAGAGGATGTGAAACTCATAGTAAACCATATTCAAAAGGTCCAAGATCAGAAAAATTAATGGATATATGTTGGATTTGTGATGGTTGGTAGGGTTAGAAATTTGAATGGATTCCAAGTAATATTAATCTTTTAATTTAGATAAAAGTGGAAATGCATCAGAAGAACCAATATTTATTCATTTTGATTTTGAAGGATATGAATCGATATTTTTAGGGAAACCAGATGATAATGGTATTTATTCAACAAATAGAATGGTACCAACAGGAGAATTAGATTATTTTTATACTGGATGTTAATTATAAGTGGCAAGTTTGACTGAACCAATAAAAGTTCATAATGAAAAATTTAGAGTAAGGACTAAAATAGCTGATTAAATTATAGATGTGTTATTGGATGAAACAAATCATTAAATCATAAATAAAGGGAAACCTGTTATATAAGATTGGGATCCAAATTATGATGTAATACCAAGAACTTTGGATCCAATATATATACCTGCTAAAATGAAGAAATAGAAACGTGCATGGTCATTTCCTATATCAATATGGGCACCTAAATATAAATTTGATACAGAGGAATTATTACGTAAATGTTTTGAGAGAGATTGGAATTGTTCTAAGATAACAAAATTCATAAAGAAAACTGAAGAATAGGATTAAATTAAAGAAATGTTATGGTAATCTTATAAACCAATAAGAGAGACTTATAGATATTATTCAGCTATAAATCCAAGTGGTGATGTATTTTCTATGTCTTAAAATCCAACTTCTGAATTTGTGAATTAATGTTAATTAATAGATGGAAAATAAATGAAATTAGCTGATGTTGATTTAAAATTTATAGCTACTTGTAGTGCATCGTAATCAGATTGGAAAGGCAATTATAGAAATCCTGAGAGATATTTAGTTAGATATTAGATGATGGAATTTTTAGTGAGATTATCAGAAGATAAATACATAAGAAATTAACCTGGTTCACCATCATATGTTTAAGCTACACGTATGATATTAGATTAATGTTTACCTCATATGTCTTAATTTGATTCACATAAATGGAGAATGGAAAGATATTTTATAGAATAATGTGATGATGTATGTAAAAAATACAAATAAGTAATTGATTATGTTTATATGCATAATTCATAAAAAAAAGTAAAACCAGGATAAGCACCATTTATGTGTCTAGATGAATTGAAGGATGTATGTAATAAGGCAAATCTATTTGATGAGAATTTTGTTGAAAGAGATGTTAATTTAGCATTTTGTTTATCTATGTTAACTTAAGTTGATGAATTAGAAAGTGATAGATTATTTTAGATGTAATGGATAGAATTTATGGAAGCATTGGCAAGAATAGCTGATAAATACTCTCCAATAGGAATTGGAAAATAAACTGAAGTATATATTTAATATATTTGAAATAGAAAGAATGGACTTATGAATAAAGGTTTGCATAACCTTTATATTATAAAATAGAAGCCTTTATGATTCATTTGATTCATACTTCAGTTGATGAAGAAACTAAAAAGAATTGGAAGATACCAACAGTTTCAATGTTCGATTTAATTGAGGAAGATGATTAATGATATTATATATACTTATATTTAACTGAATTGAGTTACAACTAACTGGTGCAATGATGAATAAAATAATATAAATTAAAGATTTAGTGATAATAATTGTTAATGGTCAATTTTCAAGAGTTCCTCAATAGCTTAGGCCAAATCAAATAGATGGAAATACCTTTTTATTATAGAAATTAATTCAAAATAAAGGAAAACTTTATTAATCCAAATAGCAAGCATTTTGATTAGATTGCTTAAAAGTAAATCATAATATTCATAAGACTCTTATCAGAAGATAATAAAGGGTTAAAAAGAAAATGGGATAAATAATGCAAGATGTTATTTATATGGATTATTGTTAAATACTTCTAAGTTAAAAATAAAAAAACTATCAATCCCAATTCAGAAGAATGGATGGAATTATCAGAAATTTTCAATTTTGATGAAGTGACTATGAAATAAAGATGGATAACACTTATAAACCCTATGGCAAAAAGTTTGAATTGGGAAACAGAAGAAGATGATATAATAAGATCATTGATGATGTATATTATTATCAGCTTAAATTTCTTTATTTTAGATAATAAGAAGAAAAACATATATGGACATAAATTGCTTTAGAGCTTTATAATCATAACAATGGATAATATGTTAGAACACCAAAATAAGTCAGAGAAAGATGGATGAATTATTTAAATCCTAAATTAAACAAGTAATTTTCATTTTTAATAATTTAATTAGATCTAGTTGGACTGATTAGGAAGATAATTAATTATTGTAATTAGTAGTGAATAATGGTAAGAGATGGTCAATGATATCTACCTTATTATAAGGGAGAACTGAAAATTAAGTGAAAAATAGGTATCATTAAGTTTCCTACTTAATTTAGATTTAAGAGTCTAATTCATAAAATTTATAAAGAAGAAGATGATGATGATATTGAAGAATTGGCAGCCATTAAATAATATTTATCTAAATAAGCTATTGATTTTATTAATTAAGATAATCTCTTACTAAAATCTACAAAAAAAGAAACTAAAATAAATAATGAAGAATCCTAATCAAATAGTGCTAATATATCAAAATCTAAAAAAATACAATAAATCAAAAATGTAGAACAATAAGAATAATAAAGTTAAATTAAAAAGAAAAAAATTAAGGTTATTGAGAATCTATAAGTAAAATAAGAAATTGATGAAAAATTATAATCTTAAATTTAATCACTCAATCAATAATTTTGCTTATCTACATATGGAAATTGTGATACTTAAAGTTAAGAGAATAGAAAAGGTATATCAAGTTCTCATTCTATAGGATCCTTAATTAATCAAGAATTTGAATGCAAATCCTAATAATAAATTTAATCCTAATCCAAAGGTTCACTTTAATCCCCATCATACATGGGATAAAATTCGATCAAAGATCCTATACCTTAATATAATGGATTTAGACCATATACAAATGATACATGCAATGATTTATTTTAATAAACACCTTGTCAAATTAATAGACTTGGATTTGGACTCAAATAACACTAATATCCTTTCTAATAGTTATCACCATTTCAATAATAGATTTAATAAACACCAATAGTTTATACTCCACTTTATTTGTATAATTCATAATTCATTTCCTAATCTCCTTACAAGAGTCCAATATTATCACCACATATATGGATGTAATAATAATAATAATTTTAATAATAATATGAAATTGAAATACAAAATGAATAATAAAAATAAGAATAGTTTGTAATAATATTATTATCAATTTAGAATAATAAATTAGAATTTCTCTAAGGATAAGATTTAGTTTCTAGATGGAAAAATAAGAGAGTCTAAGAAAAATAGAACTAGTAAGAATTAAATAAGATTATAGATCAGTGACAATTGTTTATATTAATAAATTGATATAATACTTTTCAACATTCTCTAATTATAATTCCAGTTATTATAATATTAATATTTATTTTTCCATTATTTATCTATTATAATATTTATGATTAAGCAATATATAATTAATTTTATAACCTATAAATACTTTCAAACTTATAAAAACGCTATTTAATGCATATTTGCATTATTTTTATCTTTTTTAATATTAATAGTTATATGTTACCTTATAAAGATCACTTCTCTCTTAATTATCAATTATATAATAAATATTAAAACAATAAATAATAGTAAAATGACTTGAATAAAAATTAAAAAATTATCCTATAAAAATATGCAACTCTATACTAATTAAAAAGAATGTTATTGTGATATAAAATTAAATCAAAAGAATCTATAATGAAAGAAGCAGAAAAAAGATTTGGAGTGGATATTAGTAAAACTAAAGCAGTATTATAAATAGATGCACAAATTGGTCAAAAAGAAAAAAAGAATTAGAGATAAAAATAAATCATCAAATTAGTATATGTAGCTAATCTATGTATGATCTTGAAAGATAAGATTCCTTAAAAAGCTTTTCTGTTTATTTAAATATATTAAATTTAGATTCATTCATTTAGGGATCTGACAAATAAATAACAAAATGTATCTTATTTTTATAAACAATTTAAAAATAATATATTACTAATAATCTATATTACATATTATCAATATATCAAAGGGAACTAGAAAAATAAAAATTAGTTTATATGTAATTGGAATTATAAGTAATTATATCTAAAATAATACATAGAATTACTAAAAATTAAAGTTTTAGAACAAATTGTTTGAAATAAAATAAGTAGATGATAACATTAACTGAGTTTATCAATTTTGAATTATTTTTAAAGCAATTAATATTTTTATTCATAATACGTATATAAAGGAAATGAAAAAATAACAGCTTCTAGTTAATGTTAATGAAATGGATTTAATTTTGGATAAAACAACCACATAAGGAGCTCTCTGGTTAGGAAATCTAAAAGCAGCTTAAAATATCAAATAATTAAAAGAAAATAACATTCAAACAGTCATAACAGTGGCCAATAATATTATTGTAAGTTTCAAAAACTCTCTAAATATCTCTCATAAAGTAAAACTTATTATGAAGTCAGATCTATAAAGTTGAAGATACAGAAAAAGCACAAATAATAGAATATTTCGATGAAATTAACAAAGAAATATCGACAGGGTTAAATTCTGGTTCCGTTTTAGTACATTGTGCAGCAGGAATTTCAAGATCCAGTGCATGTATTATAGCATATCTAATGAAAACTTACCAGTGGCCATATGAAAAAACCTTTTATTTTGTAAAGGAGAAGAGATTAGCTATAAATCCAAATCCAGGCTTTAAGAAATAATTAATATAATATAGCAAGGATCTATAAGCAAATAGTTAAAATTAAAACCCAAACTTTAAGGAAACTAAAAATATAAAGGATTCTGACCCTCCTATCTTAGGTTATTCAAATTCATGGGTAAAACTGAATAAGAAAAAATTTTCTAATCCTCATGAATTAGTGAATTAACTTTCTTAAAATTTAGTAAAATCTCCTCTAAAGAAAATTGGTCAATTAAATCGTACTTCAACCCCAGAAGAAAGATAAATTTATAGACAATTTTTAGCTAAAAAACTATTTGTAAATACATTCTCTACAAAAAATTCTGTTTCAACTACAAATTATTAAAGTGAAAAATCGACATAAGAATAGAAAACTATAGAAAAACAACCTATAAAAATTAAGGCTCTTTTAAGCATGTACAAAAAAGTTGAAATAAACGTATTGGAGTCTGAAAGAACATAACCTTGACAATTTATATTACTATAATAACTCAATATATTTATTTATCAATTCTCTGATTTAAACTCTTCCTTTAATTTGTTATATTCTCTAGGAATACACAACTTTCCTATATATGAAATCAAAAAGCATAGACTATAAAAAAGAAATAAATAATTATAAAATTAGGAAACCCTTTATTATATTATATTTTATTTACATATAACTAAATGATAATTCCTAATAACAACGTTGATAATATGATGACAAGCTAAAATTAATCAAATTAGTTACTTAAACAATATAATAGATTTTCCAAAATCATTTGAAAGAAATCTAAACTATTCTTTTATCAAAATACTTTTATTCTAATTTATTTATTAGGTTCCAAAAATATAAGCAAAAAATCAACTAAATTGATAATAATTATACAAAAAGATAATTGGACCTTAAAAATTATATAATGTCAATTAATCCTTTTTAAAAGCTAAAATTGTTAACCATATTCCTGAAAATGTAATAGTAGATCTAATTGATATTTAATTTTTACGCATTCAAAGCTAATAATACTCTATATAATAATTAAAAAAATTTAATAAGCATATATTAATATAATTATTGTTAATTTAAGGAAAAAATAAAAAATAAATAGTTGAAGAATTAAATAAATAATTTAATTCAATTCATTTTTATTCTTAAGTCTCATTTTATTGTAATTACTATTTCTGATCTAATTATTTATTTAATTCTTCAACTTAGACTACTAACTATTATTAATAATAACAATAATACATTTTAAATGGTTGTATTTAATTTATTCATTGTTTCTAAAGAAATTTAAACATTATTTTCTAATTCATTTATTCTTGTCTGATATGATTATTAATTAATTGCTAATGTATCAGATTGATTTCTATGTGAATACTATTCAGGAACATTGTTATTTAATTTAACATCAGATTCTGGTGTTGTAGAATTATGATAACATGATTAACCCATATTAATTATTTTATTAATTTTAGTAAATTATTGATGCATAATGATAAGAAAATAAAAGAAATAAAAGATAGTTTGTGCAATTTTCAAATAAAGCCAATAACTATAATAAAGGGGACATCTGGAATTGGAAAGTAATTAAATATTAAATGTTAAGATTGCATTTGGCCAAATCAATTTTATCAGAATTTAAGTACAAAATTTTGGAGGTAGATTCAGCATTTAGAGATATCTGGATGTTAAATGAAGTTCATCCTCTAATGTATTCTATGTAAGATTAACTATCAAAAATTGATGATTAAAGAGGTATTGATATCTATAATAGTGTTAGTTATAATTTTAAAGGAACTTAATGGGATTAGTAATTTGAATTCATTAAGACAATTGTAATAATAATATACTTATACAAAATGCAATAAACCATTAGTAATAATTGTAAATACAACAGTATTAAAAGATTATGAACTGACTAAAATGTTATGTTAAGAATTTATTAAAATATATTGCAATGTTGTTTTGCTGAAAAGTCCAACCAACATCAAGATTGAAAAGTATTTGCACAGTTGTTTTCCAAGAGTTAATTCAAACGTGTTACATTAAGTATATTTAATATATTGACTAAGATAGCAGAATTATCAAATGGAGATATTAGAAATGCATACAATTAAGCATATATATATTCAATAAATTACAGAGAAGAGAATTAAAGTAAAGATTCTTAATTAACATTTTTTAATATTGTGGGTAGAGTACTATATAACAAAAGATTGGATTATTATAATACTACAAAACAATTAACATATGAAGAAATGATATCTATACCTGAACCCAAATATTATTTTGATCCATTTTAGTTAGTGGAAACTATTTAAGTAACCTAATAAACTTATAGAGGGTATAATACCTAATGTTTAAATATAGGTTTTTGTTTATCAATTCATTGAAATTCTTGCATGATTTAAAAGAAATGAAATAATTTTATGAGATACAGAGTGATGCAGATGTCATTGAAAAAGGATTGTGCAGATTTGATAGAGTTATTATGCATATTATCTTTAGTATTAAGGAGACATCTTAAATAATCAATATTTAATTAGTATGTTTGTTACTTTGGGTTACATGTAGACTAATAAACACGTTAAACCTGCTAAATCTATGATGCTTACATTAAATGGTCCATAAGATTATTAATTTAGATAAGAGAAACTTCTAAAGCAAAATGAAATGAAATAATTAAAGCCATTCAAAAGTCATTAAAAAGACCTTGTATTAAGTATTTTATATGGTAAACGAGTTTAATTACTCAATTCAAAAAATACATACATATCATAAGTCTCAGTTGAGGATGATCAATATGATTAACATTGGTTTGAAGAGGATTAATAAGATCAACAACAATTCTCTAATAAAAAAATAAATTAAAAAAATATAAAAATAAAACGGAATTAAGGTGATCTAATTTCTAGAAATAGAAATTAAAGATTAATTGATTTATGTAATGATTTATTTAATTGATTATTAACATACATTTAGCAATTTCACACATCTTCATCATTAAAGAAGAGCAATCACTCTATTTTTTTGTGTTTAATCTTAAACATTCAAAATAATGTTTTCAATTATTGTCTTATATTGTTGATTTTGAATCAAACCCTTTACAGTAGTTACAACAAAGTTTAATTATTCTTCTTTAAGCTATTTATAATAGAAATATTTCATACCTTATAATGTTCCTTTTAAATGAGTGAATCTAATAACAATTTAATTACTTATTCCATTCTTGGTGTTATAAGATCAGGAATAGTATTACCTAAATTGACTAAAAATCTTAATCCTGTGAAATTTTCTTCAACATCTCCTTTGAATGGTAATTATGCCAAAATGTGATCAAGGGAGGTTTCCAATGGCAAAGCTTATGGGAATCTAATAAGAATTCTGCAAACAGCTGCAGTAGCATTTTCAGCAGCTTCTCTGTATGTAGTAGCACTTGTAAATATGTTTGTAAGTGTTTAGATTATTTAAGGGAGAGCTGAAGCAACATCATTTTATGGACCATATTCACAATATGTAGCCAAAGCATAAGCAGCATTTCTATTTAATTCTTAATCTCCAATAGCTAGTACTGTATTTAAAAAGAATGGAATCACAACTTATTGACATTCTACAATAAGACTTGGTTCATATTCAAAGACTTAAGCAAGACATCCAACTGTGCAAATAATATCATCTATTTCTTTATCTTTATGAAGATTTGATGCCAAATGAGGGAAGATCTCTCTGAACATAAGAACAAATCCATTTTTAAGATTTTTAGCTAATGTAGGAATTAAATCAGTGAGATTCTCCAAAACATTAAGATTCATATCAGAATCATTTTCTTCTTCACCTTCAGAATCAAGATCAGCTCCTAAACACTTGATTTTTTTAGTCAAAACTAAGGTAATAACTTTGGTTAAATCATCTAAATTTTTGTATACAATTTATGGACCTAATTTTTTAGTGAGATGATCAATGACATCTATGGCAAGTGCAGCACATTCATATGATTCATCTTCAGCAATAACTCTGATTAATTTTTATATGACATCTGTTTATAAGAATGTTAAAAATTCAGCATCTAAATTTTCAATTGCAGGTAATCCTAATTATACTTTTGGTAAAACACCATTATGTCTAAATAAAGCATATCCTTCTATTAAATCTCTGTAACATTAAAGAGTTTACATTCTGATATTATCATAGAAGAAATCTACAGTTTCATCTAAGATATCAAAAGTTGGTTTGAAATATTATCCAAATTATTATGGAACAGAAAGTGCAAATTAACCTAATGCATGTATAGCAGCTGCTTTCTCATCCATTTAAGTAACTTTGACTCTCATAGGTCCTTATTGATTTTCATCTTCAGATTCAGTATCTAAAGAGAATTCCTTCTTTTCTTTATCATAAGAGATTCCTTCTTTGGATTCTGCCAATTTCATAGTGTAACTTATGATTTAAGTGAAAATTGGAGCAAACTTTTCACCTTAAGCAGCAGCCATATTATAAAAGAAGGCTAAACAAGCTTCTCTGATTTCAAAATCTTCATGTTTAGTTAATAATTCGAATATTTATGGAGCTAATGGAGTAATCAATTGATTCTAAACTTCTAAATTAGATTTGAATGATTCAGCAATAGTTCCAAAAACTTAGATTGCTTCTGATTTAATACTCATAATTTCAGGAGTATCCTTTTCTTTTAATACTTATAGTAATAATTCACTAACATCCTTCAAATAGGTTGCAAAAGCATCTTTAGAAGATACTATAATGCTTCCAATTGAAGATAGACAATGTCTTCTTGCAATGAATGTTGTTGTTTATTGTAAGAATAATTGAACCAAATTAGGTAAGAGACTTTACATATAAGGAAGTATCTTCTCTGATTCCATATTCTCAGCAAAGATATCAATTGTCAATAAAGCTTTTTCATAAATCTTATGATCTTAAGATTTAAGACAATTAATCATTTCTGGAATAACAATTTAATCATAACTCAAGATTTCTGGACATAACCATTCACTGAAATAGGATAAGCATTTAATTGCTGCTCCTCTTACTGGTGTTCTTTCATCTTTCAAACCTTTAGGAATAATAACATTCATTATTGGATTTTATAATTATCTTCTTATTTAATCTTATAGTCCTTCAGTAATTGCTGCTAATATTAAGAAACCTGCATTCATTTAATTTAGATCTCCTGAATCTACTAATTTTATGATTGTTTCCAAAAATAAACCAAATAAAGTCTTCTTTTTACCTAAATTAATCACTAAAGTTTCTAAGAGCCATAATGTTACATCTTAGAGTGGTTCTTCATCTTAAGTTAAATCCTCTTCTGTGTATGGTTAAGCAACTACTAAGGATAAACATTCTATAAGTTATTTTAATAATGTTGGATTCTTAATTAATACTTTTTTATGTTATTCAACAACATTATCAATCAAATCTAAAACACATTCCTTAAATTTATTACTACATTTTGGATTTAACAAAAGCTAATTTATAAATAATTTATTATTACATTTTAACTAGCAGCATATTCTACAATCATACCCAAATGAGTATCTAATATTGTTAATTTACTTTCAGCTAAATATCCAAAAGCATCAAAACAATGATAAGCATTATCTTCATCTCCTTCTTTTATACATTAATCTACAAATCTTAAAATTGGTTCAACTAGAGTCTTATATTATTAAGCCTATTATTTAAATTATTTATATACTTCTTATTTGTTCATATGTTCAATATTATCGAATAAGGAAATCAAACATTTAACTGTTTATACTCTGATTTATTTATCACTATCTTATAGATTTTCAATAAAGAATGGATAAAATACAGAGTAAAATGGTTTCAAACTATCTCCAGAGTAATCAAATATTAAAGCTAATAACATCAATCCTCTTTATCTAGTGACAATATCTTAATTTTTTGCTGTTTAATTTTATAGAACTTAAAATAATTCTGGCCATTTATTATCTCCTAATGTTTGAATAGCAATAGTTCCTATCAAAGATCCAATACTTGTTCTTATTGGATTGATTGGTTCTGTAAAGAATCTTTCCAATAATAATTATTTTAATTGAGTTTAAGCTGTGGCATCTAATTTATCATAATTTGTAGCCATATTTCTTTTTAATAAGACACCTGCTAAATGTCTAAATTATTACTATTATATTTAAATATAATTCATACATTTTCATTTTAAGATATTATTAATGCCAATGGTCCAATGCAATTCACTGATTTAGTGTATACTTTTAAAACACGTGTAGCCTCTTTAATCTTTTCATTATCACCAGAAAGGACGAACGTAAGCATCTAAAACAATTACTCTTGTGTCAAGTTTGAAAATTCAGCCATAAAAAATCACAAATTAAAAATTTTTTACTTTTTATGTAAAATTGATCATAAATTAAATACACCCGCAAAAACATTATATTCAGATTATAACAAATTATTTCTTTTTTATTTTTATTGTGTTCTTACTAATCTTATTTTCTACTTTCTTTCCTATTTCTTCTTTTTATTTTAGTTCTTGATTATCATCTTATTTTTCTTATTTTTTAATAATCTAATCCTTTTTTAATTTCTTCACAAAAGGTTATTAAAATTTGGCTCTTCGATCTATATCATCAAAACCTAATCCTTATCTTCTTTATGTATATTGGATCATCATTTATATATCACTCAAATCTGTATATTCTCTTTCATTTGTTTATTGATATTATTTTGGTTTCTTTTTAAATAATTCATTTAATATTTCCATTTTTTTTAATTATAATAATAACATTTAGTATATAATATATCAATTCAAATATAATTATTTAGCTTTACCAAACTTAAGAGCTTGAATTATTTTAAATGAATTTTAAGCATAAATAAATTATATTATCTCATCACCAAACCTATATTCTTTGAATGAAAATTTAATATAATTAGCTTATATGAATATCCTTCTTATTAATAGTATTAAAATTAACAATTCACATGTCCATAATACTGCCAATATAACATATAATATCGTATTTAAATTTAAGAACAAGGTAATCAAAATTTCGATTACGATTATTATGAAAATAATCAATAACATAAGAAAATACTTCACTCGCTCAGATTTTGTCAAATTTTACAAGGACAATCTAAATAAATTATAATGATAACTACTTAGATTCCACTTCAGTAGGATAATAGAGATTACAATATGAACATTGCATAATGCCATTTCCTTATCTAAAGCCTTGATTTATATGGTTTAATAAACAGCTTTAATGAAATTATCGATTTGAGCATCCACAATATCTGCCTGTTGATACAGAAGTGCTTTTATTGCAAAATTAGCAAAACAAATTAACACAGTTAAGGGAAGAATTTTAGGTTTTATTCAAATGAAATTAATTGGCAGTAATCTGTGGATGTAATTGTTTCCTCACTCGATATACATGTTCAGTGGGTAGCGAAGATGTACCTTATATAGTAATCAATTTTTATTCAAATATTTCTGCCTAAGCCTAATTATGAACTCCAGTAGTATCCATATATAAATAAATAATATTAATAAGGTCATTTCTCTTTCGCCACTATTTCTTTGTCATTTATGAGCTATAACTTACTCATCTTAGAAACTCATTACATATAATTAACATCATATTGTTTTTAATAGAAATTCATAATATCAATAAGAGTCATCTTAGAGATTTAAGTTAACTTATTAATTCCATAAATTCACTATGCCTCTCTCTTTAACTCTTAAATTTTATTATTATGAATTTTATTTTCTTAAATTCTTTTCTTTGCCATCCTATTTACTATTTAGACTTTTTGGCTTGTTCCTTTTGATTAAACTAATTTTACTTATTGACTTTTAAATTTATTATTTATAATGATAAAACTAATTAAGAGCAAATCAATTTCATTTCTATAAGCTAGTCTATGAGATAAAAATTTCAAGTTATTATTAGATCTTTGAATGAAATAATAATGATTCAAAATTGTAAAGAACTGGAATTTATAATAAAAATAATTATCCATTTATAGTGAATTCATATTTTACATTTCATTTATAAACATGATTTTACAACCTGTAAGTTCTGGTTCAATAAATATATCAGGAGATAGTCATTAAAATGGACTTGATCATTATGTGACAGAGTTGAATAATTAAAATTTAATGTAAGTCAGAAGACCTAATGAAGATCAAATTTTAGCATTCATTGATTTTGAAGGACTTAAAGTTGATAAATTTAAATAACACAAAACAGTGCCTGATTAAATTAAAGATAATAAAAGTATTGGAAGCAAAGTATAGCATTAGGTTCATAGAAACAGTGCAGATTAATCTGAAGACTCACCTTTAAAGTAATCACTAAGAGATGAATTAATTCCATATGAGAGTCCTAATTTAGAGCTTAAAAAATTTGGAGATACTGAAGAACACAGAAAAAGTAAGACTGTTATTAGTCCAGCCATTTAATCATCTAAATCACCAAAACGAAAGAGTAAGCATTTTTCAAAGATTTTCTCTAAAATTACAAATAGAATGCATTTAGCAAGAAAATTTATCTTAAAATTGAAACAATTATCTCCATTTTCAAGAAAGATTAGCAAACAATAAATGTAAATAATTTAAGACTTAAGCTCTGATATTAGTAATTCAAATGAGAAATATATGAATTAAAGTTATATAAAAATGCATGATTCAGTGAAATCAAAAAAAAAACTTAGAAGAATGAATAGCTTTTAAGCATTTATAGCATTAAAATCATACTTTAGTGTTTGTAAATTATAAGCGATTTTATATAAAATTAAAAATGGTACAATAGATCCTTAAGGGAATTTCCTATTCTTTTGGGAATTATTAAAATTCTTTATTACATTATCATCACTATTCTAATTATCAATACAAATATGTTTTAATTTGAATGTTTTAAATTGGTATTTTGTTGCAGAAAAAGAAAATTCATAAAATATATTAATATTTATGTTTATTTATTACTTAATAGATATATTTTTAGGATTTAGAACAGGATACTATGAAAATGGAGAAGTAGTGATAAAATATTAAAGAGTTGCAAGAAGATATTTTAAGACTTATTTTTTTGTAGATTTAATATCAATATTACCAATTTGCATTAATATTATATTGATTCAATCATTTGAAAATGATAATACAATAATTAAGATAGTGAATTGTTTATCATTTTTAAGATCTAATGCTTTAAGTAGAGTATATCATTCTTTAGAAGGTAGATTATTGAGTAATCCTCGATTTGTTATAGGATATAGATTCTTAAGTGTTATAGGAACAGTATTTTTGTATGCTCATGTTTTTGGATGTCTTTGGTATTTAGTAGCTTAAAAGAACAATAATAATTGGATAAATAAAGCAGGAATAGTTGAAGATTCTTGGTTCGCTCTTTATAGTTATTCAATTTATTGGTCTGTGATGACTATGACTACAGTAGGATATGGAGATTTAACACCTGCAAATCATGAAGAAGCATTATTTTGTGTTTGTACAATGTTTATTGCAAGTGTAGTTTTTGCTTATTCAATAAATACTATAGGAATGATTATTGCTGAAATGAATAAATTTGATGAGAAGATAAATGAGAATATGGCTATTATTAATAGATATATGTAAAGAAAGAATTTCGAATAATCTTTATAATTTAGAGTGAGATAATATCTATAAAATTTATGGACTTAAGAAGATAAATTTAGAATTGTTGATGAGAATAAGATTATCAATTGTTTAAGTCCAACTTTAAAAGAAGAAATTCAAATATGTTTATATGGTTAATTTATAACTAATATTCATATATTTTATAGATATTTTAGTTAAGAATGTTTATTAGATTTAACTAAGAATGTTCAGGAATACAGAGTAGCACCTAATTCATATGTAATTGAGAATGGTACTCATGAAGGCATAGCTTTATATTAATTAGTAAGTGGGGATGCTCATATGTTTGTTGATCTGCAAGACAGAAAGTATTATATTGGTAAGATGAAGTAAGGTGATATCTTTGGACATGGACCATTCTTCATGAATAATTTGCATTCATATAGTGTAAAGACTGATAGTGCATGTTCTTTTGCTTATTTATCAAAATAAATGTTTTTAGACATCCTACAAACTCATCCTGTTGATTATGTAATGATTGAATATATTTAGCAAACATATAGGATGATAATAGACCAATGGACATTCTAGAATCAGAAATTAGACTTAGGAGTCAAATGTATTGGGTGTGGTGAGAGTGAACACGATATAGATTAATGTAGTAAACTTCATCTAATAATAAATAAGAAAATTGTAATTGCTAAGCATTTATTTTCTATTCCCAATAAACGATCATAATTTTTAAGAAATAATAGAAGGACTACTAATGCCAAATTTGGTTAAAGATTATTTGAAGATGCAGTATCCTTATTTTAAGAAAATAACTTTTCATTTTCATCTGATGAAGAGGAACCTGATGCTAGTTAAATTGAGAGGACTTATCAAACCAAGATGACATAAGAAATTAGATATTAAGAACATACTTAAACTAATAAATCTTAATAATAATCATCTTAAATATATCATCAACAATCAAAAAATGTAAGATTTAGAAAACGGTCTAGGTCATTGAACTCATTAAGTGTACATTCTGAAGAAGAATCTAAATTTTAAAAATCTATATCTGGAATCAAATCAAATGATTCTTAAATAGATAAAATGAGTGGCATACCTGTTAAGGTATAACAAATACCAAGCTCATAATTATCTTAGAGTTCATTTAATGTATTTCTCAAGGAACATCCTAAAAGAAAAATTTCAAAATAATAAGATTCTGATAAATATTCCAATCATTCAATGGGTTAACGTCAATAACATCTATCTTAACAATTATAACATAAATCTAGTAGTTAATCCAGCAGTGGAAATATGCCTTAAAGTAGCATGGGTATACCTCCAGTACCCAATGCTTCACCACCTTTATTCTCTTAAGATGAAAAATAATTGTTTTAGAGAAATATAGTTGATGATAGTTTGCACATTACTCAAGATAGAAAAAAGAAATCTCAAATTGGTACTAGTTATTCAAATACTAAATCTATTAAAAATCCTTTATAAGCAATTCCTTCTGTAGGAGAGATTAATGAGACAGAAAAATTTAACAACAATTATTTAAAAGAAGGGTCTCATATTTCTAAATAATTATCAATGCAAAGTAGATCAAGAAGCTAAAGATATACTATATCATTAAAAACAGATAGTTAAAAAATAAAGGAAGATACTAAACATGATAGTCAGAAACATGATTTTAAATATAGAACTGATACTTATAGATAATATAATGAAAATAATAGTCCATTAAATGAAGAATAATTTCATAATAAATTTGAATAAGCATGTGATCTTAAATCATATTATCCACAGTATAACAAGGATTAGATTATTTAGAAATATAAAAGACATTAACTCAAAAAAGTAACATATTCATATTAATTAAAGTAATGATTAAATTATATATTAAAATTAATAAAGAATATTTTATAGGATCAGAAATGATCAATTATTGATATTCAAATTTATGTAAAGATAATTATTATTCATATTTATCAATATCTAAACAATATATAAATGAATAAAGAGTCAGGTGCTAAAACTTATAAAGCAAACTAAGGATAAAAATCAAGAAATTAAGCAAAATTATCAAGAGCAGAAAGAGAATACAATAGTAGGATAGTAATAGAACATAAAATAGAAAATAAATAGGATAAATAAAATCTTCAAAAGTATATCAAACATAAAAATGGAAAATACATAGAGAATATCTATTGATTATATTTATTTATATATAATGCATCTCATAAATTTGATATAACAGCTTATTTATATTATTATATTTAAATTAATATTTGTATAAACTTATTCTTATTAAGATTTAAGATAGAATTAAGATATTTCAAAACATTTTTACTTCATTTGTTATTTCCAACTCATCTTTAACAATTTTAAATAAAAATTATAATAAACTTGATTTGTTTAGTAAATTCTGATATGTTTTTAAGAAAAAATGAGCAAAAATATTAAGAATTAAATATGATAAATGAAATTGTTAAATTGATTAATTTAGTAAATGAATTCAAGAGACCCACCCAGTAAAATTTTGTTACTTATCATAACATATCTGCCTCCTTCGTTCCCTCTTACAAATGATTACTTGTTTGAGACTTTCAAATAATACGGAGAGATTAAGAAAATACTCATTTTTGAGAGAGGAAAAACAAATAAAGCATTCATTGAATATTATGACATCAAACATGCAATTTAAGCTAGAAGAGATATGATGGGTAAATCAATTACAATTTAGGGAGGCAGGTATTTATCAGTTTTAGAATTCATAATAGACTTCTTATCCACTTTTCTCGTTTAAAGTAGCTCAATCTCGAAGTGGTTGATCATACTCGTGGCACTTAATATTAACCTCATGAAGTAGAGACATAAGCTTAACCTGAAAGGCAAGTCTAAAATTTGCAAAACACTCCAATATTAATATAAGAAGAAATTAAACCACCTCTAATTGATTTAACTTAAGTGCTTTAATTATAAGCTGTTGATGTATCTCATGGATCTGAAGAATCTCCAACAAAAGCAATGTTTAAAATTATAATTAATTTATAGTATGGAAACATAATTAAAATAATTGGAACGAATTTTAGATGAAGATTATGCAAATGAGGTAGCAAGATCTAATCTTACATAAGTTGATGAATAATAATAAGTAATTAATGAATTACTGGCTTAAAAACCATCAAAATATTTGAAAGTACAAAATATAGATGAAAGAGTGACAGCTAAAATGCTATATAATATGTTCAATAGATTTGGCCATTTGAATGCATTATTATTTTAAAAGAAAGACAATATTGCAATCTTACAATTTACAAATATTGATCATGCTACTATTGCCAAGGAACTCCTCAATAATATTATGTTTTTTAGTAGAGAAGTACTATATACATATTTAAATATTAGATAAGAATATTGTTTCATTAGATTGATAATCTTGAAGCATCAAATCCTAATGAAGAATATTATGTAGGTAGTTAAACCAAATTCAAAATTGTTCCTCTTAGTAAAGTACTCGTTTTTTCTGGAATCAGTGATTTACTTGATATTCAAGACATGGTAAAACTTGTTGGCAAAATTTAAGGTATTAATACATTCTATGATGTAGAAATTAAATTGGAATAATACAGCATTTAGATTACAATGTTGGATATCTATGAAGCATTGAAGGTTATTTCAGTGCTTTCAGAATATGAGTATAAGGGAAACAAAATTAATCTAATTCTTAAATGATAAATAAAGATGTGTATATAATATGATCTTATAACAGTATTCAAATCAATCCTAAAATTACATAAAAATATAAAAAGTAACTCTGCCAATAAAATATCTATTAAAATTATCTATCATTTAGCTGTATTATTATTATTATTATTCATATTGTTGTGATTAACATTAAAGACTGTATAAATCTCTTTAATTTTTCAAGTTAATTTACATTTATATCATATAAATTTAGAAGAAGTTCCTTTTTAATAAATGCCTAACTTATCAAAATGAGTGGCAAATAATTTCAAAAATTACAGATTTTTAAAATTGTACTTGATTAATTTTTTTGTGTAAACTTAATTCTAATAATTATAACAGTCTATACCTCCTACTTTTATTAATTATTATTAAAATAAATTTATATGAAGTTAATAGAATCTATTAGATTATAACATTATAAAAATAATTTATTGATTTAATTAAATAAATGATATTATTTCAAATAGGAAAATAATATATATGAATAAAATTTGTTTGTAAGTTATAAGTTTCTTTGATGATATCTTGTAAGATAGCTCCCTAATTTAGAAATATCACTTTAATTTCTTAAACACAGGGCATTTTTAAATATAAGTCTTCATCTGAATAATTTGGATCACCTTAATCTTCTTAGGGTTTCATATCAATTTTCTTTGTACTTTATAATTAAATAGAAGTTTCATTTTCAATAATATTATATCCATTATTTTTTAGCCAACGATTTTTGAGTAATATTTTGTACATCGAATTTAAAAACTTCTAACCTCTATATAATAAAGATAGTTTTCTTTCATGTTGAAAATATATTTTGACATCATCTCCTAATGAACTTCCACAATGTATCTCTACTTATAATGGATAAATAATAGATGGTGTCATTTTAGCTTATTAACATTCTGATTCATGTTTTTATTTGCCATTCTTCAAACATGTTTTATCACAATAAAATGCAGAATAACAAATGGTACAATGTTATACTATATATATAAACATACCACAAGAAGCACAAGGTATAACCACATTAGGAAATGTTTCTTTGCTTAAATTTAGGTTTGTAATTGATTAAAAGACTTCAACTAATATTTCTGATTTGAAGTTCATCAATCTAATGAATTCATGTAAACAACTTTATAATTCATTATAATATGGATATTCACCTTAATAAAGACCTAATTAAAATCTTTTAATGATTCCATTGATAACAGATTCATAGAATTCTTACATAGATGGAGGACTTGTTGCATTGGGTCTGTAGGTGAATTCAGCATATTAATCAGTTTTAGTCATGATACCTTGTTTCTTCATTTATAAAGTTGGATTGGTTGATTCATTTTTCTTAAATAATTACCATTCTATCCATAAATTCTTGGCTAGATTAGTATTATTGTTATTCATTAATTTTAAAAATGTATATCCCCATGAATGAGATGCTTAAACATTTTAAGCAAGATGTTCCTACAATGGCTAATATTACTCATAAGAGTGAATAATGGAGTCCATATCATGATAATTCAGGGACTGTATTAGGTAAACATAAGAATTAATTCAAAAGCTGTGGGTATTCCAGGAGCAGTGATAGTAGCAGGAGATACAAGATTGAGCAATGGATACAATATACTATCAAGAGATGCCACAAAATTATCTTAATTGACAGATAAATGTGTATTGGCCACAGCAGGTTAATATGCAGATTTTATTGCATTGAGAAAATTTCTATAACAAAGATTATAATTGTATGAATTTTAGAATGAAGTTCAAGTAAGATTATATAATAATATTTAAAGGCTTCAACTGAGACTGTTGCTCATTTATTATCAAGAGAATTGTACTCAAGAAGATTTTTCCCTTATTATACTTTCAATTTATTAGCTGGATTAGATGAAAATAATCATGGAGTTGTTTATGGATATGATGCAATTGGTAGTTATGATAAGATGACTTATGGTGTTTAAGGAAGTGGATAAGAATTAGTAGTGGCTGTATTGGATAATTAATTAAAAGGTTATAATAAAATAAATAAAACTTTTCCTTAAACAAGGGAGGAAATACTGGATATCATTTTGGATTGTTTCAGTTGTGCAGCTGAAAGAGACATTCATACTGGAGATAATGTTGAGATCTTGATTATCACATCTGCTGGAACAGAAAGACTTATTAAGCCTCTTAGAAAAGATTGATTATTAATAAATAAATTAGTATAAATGTTATTGTTGATATAATATATTAATCAAGCAAAAAACTTCTTTTTTAAGCTATGTGCTGAAAACTCCTTCATGATTTCTTTCTTATTCGAGAAATTTTGAGCAAAAGTAAAATTTAGTCCCTCGATTTAATTCTCTAAGGTTATAGCTCTTATTTGCTTTTATTATTACACTATTTATTATGTTCTTGGTTATTGAGATGAATATAATTGTTATTGAGCCTCTTTTACTATCTGCAATATCTTCTTACTTGACATTGGATCAGACGTTACAGGTTTTTTGATTATTTTGTTTTCCTTTTGCTTAGGAAGTTGTAATCTTTTCTCTTCAAACTACCTCAAATCTATTAAACTTGATTTCCTTGCTATATGTGTTTGTGGTTTTGATATTAAGTTTGGTTCTGGACTATATCCAAAATGACCACTTTATAATGGACTCAACAATCTTTTGCTAGTCTCCTATGTATATTACTTAAAAGATCTAATCATGCTTATATTATTCTTAATTATTTTATTTAATATTAAATGCTTTTATACGAATATTATAAATATTGATACTCATTTCATCTATTCTCATAACTGACAATTTAGTTATCATTCTTTCTATGTTTTGTTACCTATTTTTTAATCACTTAACTTATATCCATCATAAATCTTCATTCTTTTTTTATATAACTTATTTAGTTCTAACTTAAAAAGGGATTTGCAGATCAATTTATTAATTTATATTATTTTAATTTATTGATTATAAAATAAGATTATTATTAATAAATTAATTTTGGAAAAGCTTTTATACTTTTTTATTTTATTTTGAAATTATTATGATATTAATAAGACAATATTGTAAATAAATCAAAATTTGATCTCTTTTTAAGATTAATCAATCTAAACTTAAATGTAAATGAGGATCCTAAATGCCATTTTCTATGTTTTTTTGCATCTGATCTCTAAACTATCTTAAAGCATCTCTAACATCTGGAATCTTTTTTTGAACTATCTATATCATTAAAGGAGAAAGAAATAGTAATGCTTAATCATCCTAATCTCCATACCAACTCTATATTTAGATTCCATTATCTGGTTGAAACTTAAAGTTCTCAGCTAAATTATCAATAATTATGGTTCTCTTTACATCTCGACCAATCTTTTAAATATCTTTAACATATGTATTATTGACTAAAGTAGTGTGTTAACGATATAATCTATATCCAATCACTTTATCTTCATCTATTAAATCCAATATGAAATCAGCATAATCTTATTATGCTGCTGTAAAAATGACTATTTCATAATATTCAGACATTTCCTTTAAGAATTACTATGCATATGGTCTAACTAAGAATTATCCATCATCCACTAACTATATAGAAATATACTCATTTACTTCTTAGTAGTGGACTAAAGTTTCGTCTAAATCTATAACTAAAGTGTATTTATTTGTTTTAGATAAGTAAGGTATCTGTTAACAATCAATCACTTCTTCATAGTCAAACTAAAAATCTGAAGAATCTCTTGTTAATCTCAACTACTAAATATGTACTAACTTTAAAATTTAGATTTAGATTTAATACAATTTTATCAAATTAATATTTAACAAATTTTGTTCCTTATTATAAATTTATTTTGTCTGTTATTGTTAACACTTTTTCTAATTAGATAAGGTTATTATCAGTTGCATTTTCAACACTAAAAATTATTGATAAATAAACTTACAATAGAATTAGAAGAGAATATACAACATTACTATTTTTACGTATTAAATTAATATCAATTAATTATGGGTTTTTTCTAGCTCTAACTTTATTTAATCTAGCTTATATTAATGCCTTTTAAGATTGAGATAAAGCATTGGATTATTGCATTAATTCCAGATGTAAAACCATACTGCTATGAATATAAAATACTAAATTTTTTAAGTTCTATTAATCTTCATCAAAAGTATTAGATAAAGCTTTATAAAGAACAACTAAAATTCCAATTCTTTCCAATATCATTGATTTACATAATATTTATTAAGATATTTAATCTTTTTCTTCAAATGTAAAATTAGAAATTTAATTAAGATAATTTTAACATTATTTAATTACTTTTTACTTTTTGCTGATAACAGCTAAAATAGTAAATACAATTTCTTCTAAATTAATAAACTATTAAACTTATTCTTCTGAATCATTAATTGTATAACTTGTGGATTCATTTTTATGAGATTTTGATTCTTCTGTTTTACATTTTAAAGAATCTTATTATTAATTTTTATTAAGTAATTTATCTTATTCAATTTTACTATTTATATGTTAATATATTTTCTTTAATTATTAAGGGATTTAATACAAAAGTTATGGTGAAATCGATCTTTGTGTTTTATTTTTTGATTATTTTTCATGCTATGAATTTGGAGTTGAAGTTCTATTAAAATATTAATCTTTTGAATTAGTTCTCTTTTAAAGTTCTTATAAAAGGGCATTAATTTTAGGAGTTGACTTTATTTTCTCATTGAATGATACATTCATAGTTTATTAATCTTTAAATTATTCATTAATGTTTCTTTATGATCGATTGTCAATAGGAGGCTTTTTATTTTAAGTTGACTATGTCTTTTTTAATTGTTATAGATCGTAATTCATGAGTTTATTAAATATATATTTTATATAAAAATGAAAAAAATCTAGATTTAATTAAAATATAAACATCAATCAATCATGCTTGGATTTTTAAGATGAAGAACCACTATCATAGTTTTTATTAACCATTTATTCATATAAATATTCTTATCTTTGCAACATTTTTGTAACCCAAACAGGCTCATCAGGTATAACTTATTCAATTAGAAATTTCAATCCAATAACTATATGTTCAGCAGCAATCAACAAAAGAAAGTTTCGAAGTGCAAACTATAATAATCATATATAAATACAGTCTCCTTATTTGTTTAATTATTTTATCCTCCAATCAAATTGTTTAATTAATCTTAATTTGCTTAATAAATTGTTAAACAATTGATAACAGTTCCAATATATCCAACAATTAATAGAATGTCATTCCATAAACCAATTGATCTTTTAGCCTCTGCTATAGGTCTCTTAACAAATGTTATATAAGCATATAGAAGACTATCAATAGTAAAGATATTAAATAATAAAATGGCCACTGGAATCAATTAAGAACTAGCACTGAACATAGTCACCATACAAAATTGAATAATCTTAGAGATAGTATGAATAAAATTACAAAATATGTGAATTGATCAACATGATTAGGTGTTGGCATCATAATTCTATTTTATTCAACTGATTTAAGAAATCTTTTACCACTTATACTACTTCTATCAAAACTTTTATTTACTTAAATTTCAGTATTATTGTCTAATACACTTGCAATTTATGAAACATACTATTTTTTCCAACTTTTTAACATATATTATTCATATTAACTATTTAGAAAATAATTTCTTATTTGATGTTTAATTAAAGGTATTATTGTAAATCTTGTTAAATGGACAATTGACCAAACAATAGTCAGTGTAATTGACAATATATTGAGTTCATCGGCATCTGGATCTATGATGGATTTATAGAAGAGTCTAACAAAAGAGTTTAAAAATGAGAATGAAAATACTTTTATAATGTATACATCTTCTAATTCATTTTAATATTGATGATTTTCATATTTTAATGACAATTTAGCAAAGTAATTAAATATCTCATTAGTAATTTTTATAGAGATCCCTAAACCTATAGAGCAGATTATAGTAAAATTAGTGGTTCTTTATTAAAGTTATATAATATATTGATAGGCAATCTATTCTCCAGCAATCATAATAATAGCCAAAAGTATTAATGGAAATGTAGTTTTATAATATTTCCATTTGTCTCTCTTTGAATATTGTATTTCAATCTTATGTGTAACATCATCTATCCAAAATTAACCTTAAAATGATTATATTTTTTTCTTTTGTTCTGTTTCTACATGCATATCAAATTGAAACATTGTTTCACTCTATTTCCTCTTCCAAAATTCAAAAAATATAGTTGCCCAAACAGCCAATGCTATTGTGTATATTGGTACAAATAAAGTATCATATTTGTTTGTTGAATAAATATATACTCCAAGCATAATACCTGGAATAGCAGGTAAAAATAACCAAGTTGTAAAAAAACTTAAAAATACAAAGAAAAATCCTCCTTCTGATCCAAAGTATGCTTTTATTGCACTAGGAGTTCTACATCTATTTTAATATAATGATAAAGGTTCTTTCAATAAATCCCATTTTTCAAGTTTCCATTAATTATACAACTATTTCTTTTCTTCTTCATCATGTAATGGGAAATGGTCTAACAATAGTTAATCATGCATAAATTAATCTAAATTGAATTCATCATATAATAAAGTTAAAATGATCTATTAATCATGATAATGATGAAAGTTTTCATACATATAAGCTTTATTTTTATTAAAAGGGCAGATAATCCCTTGTGTGAAATTATAAATCATCATTTTCTCTTTATGAGCAACTTCATTCTTTAGTTCATTTTAAACCTTAATTATATAATAAATGCATGATTCATTATATGATTTTATAGGAACTGCCTTGAATTTTCCAATTGTAACCTTCTCTTTAATATTATTTAGTTATTATTTGACTAAATTTTAACTCATATTAGATCCAACCAATACATATTTGTATCCACTTCTAATAAGATTTTTTTCTGTTTTCAATAATGTTTATCTAAGTTCTTTAATTCTAGTTGATCTGGATGAAACAAAAGCTGCTTAATTTCTGAAATTATACAAATTGTGATCTGCTCCTAACTTAATCAAGTAGTTTACTATATTTTCATGTCTCTAAATTCTAATAAATAGTATATACTTGTTCAACAGCAATATGTAATGCAGTTTAAGGTTTTTCAATTGTCATTAGATTAATTAATTTTTTACATTAGATTTTCTTATTTTCACAATAATTTTATTCAAAAAACAATTACACTAATTTATCATGTCCTTAGTATGTAGCAGCATGAACTGCATTTCTTCCCTTATATGATGGTTCAAAAGCAGAAAATTATTATTTTAAAAAAGGAATCACTAAATCCTAATCTCCAAGAACACTAGCCCAAAATAAATAGTTTAAACCTACACTCTCATATATTTTTCGATCCATTTTTTAACAATTAATTCTATGATCTTAAATTATTTCTTAATTACAAAATTCTAAATCTTTATTCAACTATTATAATTATATTATTTGTTATTCACTATTTAAGAAATGGGCTAAAAATTTCACAATTAAGTATTTTACTATCAATTTTTACCGTTCTGGATCTTTTCCGTTAGTCAATGCAATATCAATTGGAAATTAATGTCTATCATTTTTTCTCAACACTATTTTTATATATGTTAATTTTACTTAAATCTGGATTATAATACAATAATAATTAAGCAAGTTTTAAATCTCCAAAATAGCATGCCCAATGTAATGGATTGTTTATATGATCTTTCAAATAATTATATAAGGTAGCACCCCTCTACAATAATAACTTTGCTATTTTGTATTTTCTTAAATCAATTGATTCTGTATGATCATTCTACTCTACTGATTCGTCAAAATCTTGGTTATATCCTCTCACACAAACTAACATTAGGGCAGAATTCCCTATCAAATCATTAGAACCCCTAAATTACCTTGTTTATCTGTTGAATTCAAATCTAGACACTGTAAATTTAGAAAGTATTCTACCACTTCATAATGTCCTCTATATGCAGCCTATATAAAACATTTCTTTACATAATGTAAGGCATTTCTGCCATAATAATCTGATTTCTTACAAGCTTCTTAAAGTTATTTCGACGTCAATGATGCTAATTATTACTATATAAATTCTAGTTTTCCATCCTATGCTGCCTTAGAGGATTAAATTCACAATATTATACTTCAAGAAGGTTGATTTCCTCATGTCCAAAAAAATGCATTTATTTTAATAATATAATGAATATCATTCATTTTTCTCATGTCAAAACTGAATCTGAAGACTAAACTAAACTAATTCCATCATCTACTAAAATAACACAATGACATTATCCAAATCAAGATGATATTATCATTTCTACCTAAACCAAAATCAAAATAAAAGATGGTTTCAATAAGATTTTAGATTCTTTGATTTATACATTTAAACTTCTTTAATGGAAATAACTGTCCTCTTCTTTATTAATAATATCAAATTGAATTACATGAGAAATAACTATGAGAGAATAAATCTAAAGGGATAGTAATTTTGGGTTGATTACTTAGATTTTAGTAAAAATATTAACCCTGAGGTAAGAATATCTTAAGACTATTATTAATATTAATCTAATTTAATCTAAAATTATAAATAAAAAAGAATAATGAATAAAAATGTAGAAGAAGTCTGTAAATCGTTTGATTACTTCAATAAATTGTAGAATTATCAAGAAATTTCAAGAAGAAAATTGAGAAATTTGTGAATAAATTATTCCATAAATGAAAGTATAATAAAAATTTACAATGAGTTATGATGATTGAAAAGTATATCCAAAATAAATTCTCATTTAAAAATACAATTCAAAGCAGAGAAATAACTATAAGTAATTTAAAATAATTTCTGACATTAATAAAAATCCTTTTTTAGTTTAAATCTTATTAAAGAACCTTAAAAATTAATTAATTCTCTTAACAGATAGGGATTTAGTTAATTTAAAAGATTAAACCATTTATGTAATTTGTGCTACATTAAAGAATACTATAAATCTTTAAATTCTATGAATTGGGTAACACAAACAGACTATGTATACTGATACTCATAAACTTAAACAAAGAATTTATTTATTTTATGATTACAAATTGTATTGCATTATGTATATCTTCTTGATTATCATATTCATATATCAAAATTTCTCTTCTTCTACTTATTGGGAATGAATAGCAGATTAAATTCTTGAATTTCTATTTTTAATTGAATTGATAAGTGATCCAGGATCTACATTTTATTTTGGAATTTCATCTTCTAATAATTGATTTATGCTATTAATTATAATATAACATTAATTACTGATTCATTTGTGTTTATCTAAAATGAGACAAATCTTATTATGTAGAAATAAACTCAACACTCCATACTTCAATTCTATCAATATTTAATTTTGTAATGTGAGATGCTAATATATGACCTGTTGCAAAAGTCTTATCGTCATCTGTAATATAGCTATCTTTCAAATTTGAACCATCAATCCAAATTCTATGTTGTTCATATCCACTACCTCCAATACCTAATCCGAATTTACTTAATTTCTTTTATAATGATTAAGGCAATGGTCTTCCTTAATCACTATTTAATAAAGCATATTTGCTTTGTCCCTTGCCTTTACCTGTTATAAATTATTAATATTTTGGAACTATAGAAAATATTGATGAATTCTTATCTCCAGTAATATCTGGTGCTAATCTCCACTTTGATGAATTAAAATAACCAAATAAATAATGTTATTCAAAGGCATCTAAATTTTCATCAGGTGTATGTTAATAAGGTAATTTTTCATACTTATTTAATCGTTCTACATGTCTAAATAATAATAGAGTTGGAGAATTTTAGGATAACAATTGATTTGATAAAATGTTTAAATCAAATTAATCTTAACCTTCCTAATAAGCAAATAATAAATTCAATTTTTTTGTTTAATAGAACCATGGAGTGCTCAAATAAAACAATCCCAATATTTGATAATTAATAATAAGGGAATCATCTGTTAATTCTGGAAGTTTAATTTTGTGAGAGGAATCTGTAAACTTTCCTGCAAAATATCTTCTTATAACTGTATTAATTAAAGGAACTTCCATCTTTATTTAATTACAAAACTATTATAAGTCCATATTACTAGTTTTATCTATTGGATATTTATATATATTACCTCCAAAAATATTATTAATCAATAATTTAGCTGCTACATCATCATCATCACTTAATTTATTTCCTTTTGGACTCAACATATTTATTATCTCTTTTATAAATATCCCTGCCTATAAAAATGTTATTTCAACTTTAGTTAACATTTATAACTTAAATTCTTCTTTCTTGTAAATTTCAGGATGTTAAATAGATATTAATAATAATAATTAATATTGTTCTAAATGCTTGTAGTTATTTGTATAAACATATATTTCTGATTTCTATTTTGTAAATAGTTCCACTAATAATCGTTTTTAATATAATTACTTGATAAAACAAAAGTTTCTCTGTTAACAATATTTGTATCACTTTAACTTTTGATAAATTTATAGATTTTATCAGCTAATTATTTATTTTCTGGAAAGGCTGTTCTAAAACCTTCAATGGCAATAAATTATTCATCTTTTCTAATATTTTAAAATTCAATATTACCCTGGTGCTATTTATGACAATTTCTTAAATTTCTCATTGCATTTCTCCAGCTCTTTACTATTTAAAGAACTCTTTTCTTAAAGATTTTTTCTTGAACTATTACAGCCCATTATATCTATATCAATATAATTAAATAAAATTTATATAAACTGAAAATAAGTATTTCAAGGATGCAATTAAAGAAAGTATAGAATTTCTTTTTAAGTTTAAGATATAATTAATTTCTTAACAAAATCATCTATTCATAAATCATATTTATATAATCTATGGATTCATTTAATTGAATTTTATTTATATTATATGAGTTCATTATAAAATTTAATTTTATAACCCAAGCATTGAAAGTTCATCTAAATTTTTACTGATATTCATAAAAGTAATTAAAAAATTTGACCACTTTATTATTCAAGTCCATTATATTAAAATTACTCTATGAATTAATTTTTCTCTTCCATACTTTCTATTTTTATATAGGTTTCTTTCATTTTAGTCTATTATCCCTAATTATATTGAAATTTCTTTTATTTTTTATCTTATTTTTACTTACAAAATTAATCAATTTCTTAATATTTTTTGTTAATACTATGGATTGATTTTAGAGGCAATTGATTTTTTTATTTAATTTATACTTCTCTATACATAAATTTAATATATTTAATGTAAAATAAGATATAAAATTATTATTTTAATATACATTAATATTAATTATTTTTGCCCAATTTTTACTATTAGAATTTATAATTATATTCAATATTATCACTAATATGAGGATTTTACTAAATCAATCCATTATTTATTAATTAAATATTTGTAAAATAATTTAATTTAAAATAATTACTTTATTCTACATCTAAAAATATATCGCTTTTGTAAGAATTTCATAAGCAAAATATTATTAAGTTTATAATCATATCTAAGGCAGATACTTCATATTAGAGAGGGCTCTATAAAAGTAGTAATCTTATTCTAATGTTATCACTTTTATATTAATAAATTAGACTTCTAACTTTATATTATATTATAAATTATTCAACTTTTTTGTGTAAACTTATTACATTTAGGGTAAATGTATTTAATTGATTGTTGAATAAAATCTAAATTTTTTACATTTCAGATTATTTAATTTGAAATCTTCTTTTAAAAAAATTATGTTAAATAATATTATTATACACATATCAAATAAATAAAATTGTTTCAAAAATTTAATATATTAAAGTTCCAGCTTTTGCATTTAAACTAATTATTAAATTTTAATAGAAATAGCAAATTGATATTCGATATGAAACAATAAAAAGGAAAATAATAACCTTAAATCAATAGGCATTGATCCAAGAAACCAAAAATAAAATTTTTGTTTGCAGCCTTATTTTTGATAGAATGTACAATAATTTATAATATATTTGAAAATTAATATATTTTTAAGTTATATAGTTTCTTATTTTACTAATTAATTTTATATGATTTTCATATCATTTTAACCAAGTATTTCTAAAAGATAAATTAATCCTGATTTATTATTTGTATGATATTATTAAGTTCTATACTTATCTCTGAAATATTAATAATATTTATATAGTAAAGATTACGTAACTAATTCAAGAGATGAAGAATAAAAATTAATATTTAATCAAAGATTTGTTCACAAAATAATTTTGTCAATAAAATAATAAGTTTTAACCAAATGCAATCAACAAAATTTTTAATTAACAAAGTGATTAATGTCATTATTATTAAATATTACTTTTATAAATTAGGAACAATAAAGATAAGTAATGATGTTTTGATAAAGTTTAAAGGAGAATTGAATTGACATATAATAAGATGTATATTATTATTTGGTATCTGAAATTAGATTCATGAATAAAAATATCAGAAGGCCTGCAGCAATTTTTCATTCTTTCTCCAATTCATTAAAATGATTTAATATATCATCAATATCTTCATCCATAACTTCTTTTAAGCTCTCAAACCTATTGAGAGGTAAAGGTTTGATAGGCTAGATGATAGCTTTTCTTAAAACATCTATATCATTTGTATATTAACTTTCTTAAGATATCTAATTTTAGATTGATTGAGAGGTGCGGATGATTATTTATGAACCACAACATTACTATGCTCCCATTTTTATTTTAATAATAAAATAAAAGTGCATTTCTCTGAATATTAATGAAGAAAGTTCAATGGTAATAAATAAATAAATATTTAAATAAATAAACTATCCCTTATATCCCTACTTTAGTTTAAATGGAATAAATATAATATATTTAAAGTATTAAGAATTATTGAAAGATATTATTTTTATTATTTGTATATCAATAAAGTAATTAATAAATTATTATTTATTTCAGAATGTGGTATAAAAACTTTTCAAAACAAAGTTGGAATCTTAGAGTTTGGAGGTACATTTTAATGACTATTGTATTATAGAAAGGCTAACATATTATTCAATTAAGATGACATTGGTATGTTCAAGACAAAGGGTGTTTTGAGATGGAAGGATACTGTATTCAGAATGGCTAGAAGTGAAGCATGTGTATAGAATTATTCATATGAATGATAGTTAAGAGGATTCAACTTCTTCTTCTTTGCTGGAATGATAGGATCATTTATTTGGGTTAAATCAAACTATTATGATCCAAAATATGTAGCACCAAAAAAAGTAGAAAGTGAGAAGGAATTAGAGAGATTAGATGCAGAAGCTGATAAAATATTATTTAAGAATAGATTAGAGGCATATTCAAGACCTCATAGAAGTTTGGAAGACTTGATTGCCTTCTTATCTGGGTATTGATAAATAGATAATTTTTCATAGTTCAAAGACCTTTGATTAATTTGCTGATTTTATCAGTTATGAGGAAGCAATGAATAATAGTATGGATTAATAAAATGGTTTGGATTCATGGATGGATGATTAAGATTAAAGAATGCTTAAATATTATTAAAGAAGTATTGGACGCACTCCAAAATTTGATTGATTTAGTCATATACATATAAAAATAAATAAAATATATATTGATTATTTTAATTATGTTATTAAATGAATAAAAATATAATAAAATCACATGCCAGAACTAAATATAATATTAATATGATTACTAGTTAGGTCCTCCTCCAGCTTCTGGAACAGTCCATCTAATATAATCTTTAGGCATCTTGATGTCACAAGTCTTACAATGTAGACAATTCTGAGCATTGATTTATAATTTTTTGCCTTCTTTAGTATCAATAAATTCATAGACTTTAGCTGGGCAAAATCTTTATTCAGGGCCATCATACAATTTTAAGCTTTCCATAGGTCCGGACTCTTTAATTACTTTAAGATGAGCTGGTTAATCATGTTCATGATTCGTACCACTTTACTTATAATCATATTTACCTTCTTGCCAAATTATCTAATAAATCAAAAGTTAATTTTCCATCTGGTTTTTCGTATTTAATTTAAGGAGCTTTATCTTTAGTCAAATATGATTCACTTTCTTTGACATGTGATTTGATATTCCAAGGTTCTCTTCCTTTTGATATGAAACCATCAAATGCACCATAAAATAAACCAGAATAAATATTGTATTTAAATGAACCTTTAAAATTTCTTGATCTATACAATTCATCATAGATCCATGATGATTTAATAGCATTTTCATATTCAATTAATTCTTATCCTGGTTCTACATTTTATTTAGCACATATAGTTTCTGCTGCTAACATTCCTGATTTCATAGCATTATGAGATCCTTTAATTTTCATAACATTTAAAAATCCAGCTGAACAACCAGCTAACATTCCTCCTGGAAATGTTAATTTAGGAATTGAAAAATATCCTCCTTCATTTAATACTCTTGCACCATAACTAATACAAGTTCCATTCTTAAGATATCTAGAGATTTTTGGATGTCTCTTTAGATTTTAAAACTCTTAATATGGATTTAAATTTGGATTCTCATAATCCAATCCCACAACCAATCCTAAATGTATTTAATTAGTATTCTTATGATATAAAAATGATCCTCCATAAGTATTCCTACATAAAGGCCATCCAACTGTATGTTAAACTAATCCTGATTTAAAATCTTCTGCAGGAACTTCCCAAACTTCTTTCAATCCTATTCCATAAGATTAAGGTTCACAATCTGATTATATATTTATAATATTTACTTTATCTTAAATTATATTTTTCAATAACTCTCTCAGTTATTGAACCTCTTGCTCCTTCACATAATATTGTTTAATTTGCTATTATATCTATTCCCTCTTAATAATTAGATTTCTTTTCTCCTTTCTTTCCAATTCCCATATCTCCTGTTGCTACTCCTATCACTCTATCTTTTTCATCAAATATTACTCTTGCTCCAGAAGTACTTGTAAAAATATCTACTCCTAAAGCTTAGGCTTATTCCCCCATCCATACACATAAATCACCTAAACTTATGACATAATTTCCATGATTTCTAATTGTCGATGGATAAAACATATGTGGAATCTGAAAACTCAATTTTTCATTCCAAAGTATATGAAAGTGATCTTCTGTTACTGGNGCTTTGTCTTTAGTCAAATATGATTCACTTTCTTTGACATGTGATTTGATATTCCAAGGTTCTCTTCCTTTTGATATGAAACCATCAAATGCACCATAAAATAAACCAGAATAAATATTGTATTTAAATGAACCTTTAAAATTTCTTGATCTATACAATTCATCATAGATCCATGATGATTTAATAGCATTTTCATATTCAATTAATTCTTATCCTGGTTCTACATTTTATTTAGCACATATAGTTTCTGCTGCTAACATTCCTGATTTCATAGCATTATGAGATCCTTTAATTTTCATAACATTTAAAAATCCAGCTGAACAACCAGCTAACATTCCTCCTGGAAATGTTAATTTAGGAATTGAAAAATATCCTCCTTCATTTAATACTCTTGCACCATAACTAATACAAGTTCCATTCTTAAGATATCTAGAGATTTTTGGATGTCTCTTTAGATTTTAAAACTCTTAATATGGATTTAAATTTGGATTCTCATAATCCAATCCCACAACCAATCCTAAATGTATTTAATTAGTATTCTTATGATATAAAAATGATCCTCCATAAGTATTCCTACATAAAGGCCATCCAACTGTATGTTAAACCAATCCTGACTTAAAATCTTCTGCAGGAACTTCCCAAACTTCTTTCAATCCTATTCCATAAGATTAAGTTTCACAATCTGATCATATATATGTATAATATTTACTTTATCTTAAATTGTATTTTTCAATAACTCTCTCAGTTATTGAACCTCTTGCTCCTTCACATAATATTGTTTAATTTGCTATTATATCTATTCCTTCTTAATAATTAGATTTCTTTTCTCC